GCTTGTACATTCTTCGAGGAAAGCTTTTCAGACTTCGGGACACGAGAGCGGTGCGACCAGCCAGTCGCCAAGTGTCAATTCGATATTCCCAAGGTCAACCATGTCGTCAGATTGCTCATATTATGCCCGAGCACTGGTGAGCTCCCAACACTGAAATGGAACATTCGAAAGCTTCTAGATATCAATCATTTGCCAGTGTAGTTAGATCGGAGTAAGAGAATCAACCCTTGAAAGTAAGTACATGGTCGGAAGAGGGCGATTTGGAGGATCGTTTCCATGCCAGTCTTCGCTCGTTCAATATTGCACCTCTGTCGCAAGAAAATTAAGATTCACGGCGGGCATGACTGGTAAGAATGTAAAGTAGAGTGCAGGTACAACCGCTCCGAACACGAATAGGGGCGACGATATTGCATCCTGCATGGTCCTATGCCACTCCCTTTCGATCACCCACTAATTTGCTCTTATGATTCCTAATCTTCCGTTCTGTTTTAAATGGGTTGAGACGGAGGACGGAGCAAAAAGATCTTGCGTCATCTGTGTCCCCGCTGCAATCAGAGAGGGACGACGGACTAAGGAAGAGATTCGGGTTTTCTTGGGCGCAGACTGGATTCCTGATGACCCGTAGGGCTTCAAGTGAATAGATGTGACTCGAAAGTATAAATGCAACTCGAGCTTGTTCCCATACTTAGTCGACGAAGTTCCTCCGAATGGGCAACGAAGTCGATGTAAGATCTTGGATCAGCCTGTCAAATGTGGAACAAGACCTGATAAGCGTGCCAGAGGGCGAACTTCGAACATTGAACAGATCGAGAGAAAGGAAATCTTGGAACGCGCACGGAGGAGGAAGCTTGGAAGGAGATCTAAGCCTCAAGAGGTTTAGTCTCCGCAAACTTAAGCTTACACGTTCCATGGATCGACAGGGGCAATATGGATTTGAAGCAAGGTACGGTACGTCAATATCCCGCCGAATCTCAATCAATTCAGCTAGCTACGTCGACTACTTTAGCAATTTCTTTTTGAGAAACTTTTTGACAATATCAGTTCGGTGTAATCTGAATCGTAACGTGCTACACGGCGGCGAGAGAGGATTCGCGGTCACGTTAGAATATTAGGGGAAGGTGAATCTTGTAATGGCTGGACTGTTATTATGGCCATGTCATTATTTGCTGCAGTTCTCCCATGTCGTCAGCTCAGACCCACGTTTAACCTTCTTCACATGTTCCTTGCCGGCCAGTGCTACGGGCCTACAGCTAATATAGTGGGGTGCGTGGGGACAAGTTGTATTCACCTCATTGCTCTTCATTTAACCTTGGAGGTTAACTGTTTCACTAACTCCCAAAGTATATAGCCAGACCGGACTTCCGTCACGGTCCGAACCACCCCTGCAGCTAGCATATCCTCAATCATGTCTGTTCACCTCCTGTATTTTAAGGGTGACAGCACTAAATACTTGGGTGCTTAAAGATTTACCCATGCGATGAAACCGTGGAACTGTGAAGAGGAAGGGGGGAAATTCACGGGATCGACACCCCCGGCCCCACCGCCTGCGAAGGTTGGATTACCCCATATCGGATTCGTCATCGTTTATGAGGAAGCAGGATGAGGAAGCAGGATGAGGATATATAAACCGACACCATCCGGATGCCAACCATACCTCATAACATCCCATCCTTTACCTGTCGCTCCTTTTCATCGCCCTCCTCCGCTGACCTTGCGTCACTCTTCAAGCTGCCGCAAACATGAGACTCGCCAACGCATCAGTCCTGGCGATGCTGCCCGCCTCGGGCCTCGCGGCTTGCGGCACCTCCTACCCAAGCAGCCAGATCGACGGCAAGCTACTCCACTCCGTCGTGATTGACATGGGCACCGACGCTGCCAACATCACCGCCACCCAGTACGACCAGTACTTCAAGCAGGGAAGCGCTCTCAAGGGCGTCCAGGCTGTCATCGAAGACAGCCAATTCTACATCAACTTGTGGGCCATCCCAGGCACCGAGTCCGCCTTTAAAAAGGTTAGCCAGTGTCTGAGCGACGGCTATCTGGTCAACCAAGTGCCCTGGCTGTACTACGACACGACCACCGCGACGTGGTGGGGCGGTTACGAAGCGGAGACCGAGGCCAGCAGTTACGAGGCTGCTGCCCTGTCCGTCGTCACCGGCCTCGTCGCTGGCCTCGAGGTGCGCTTCTGGGATACCAACGGCGATGGCTACACCGACCTCATCGACGCCGACTACCTGGAGGGCGTTGCCGTCGACACCATCACTCAGAACGCCAATGGCACCTACTCGGTCTACCGCGGAAATATCGACGTCGCCGACAAGACGCGCTGGGAGGGCACCATTTTCGACGCCGACCTCTTCAGCGGTGCCGGCCCGGCCATCCCCGCCAGCAACTTCGATATTACCATCCAGTCCGGCGATGTCGCGCTGTTCTGGTACGGCAACCACGGCTGGGCCATGAAGCGCGCCCAGGACGTGGTTGGTCTCTTCATCGACGGCGCGGACCATACCTCCTACGACATCGGGGGCGTGGTCTACGAGGACGCCATGCGCTTCTCCCGGGACAACCTGGCCATTTCGAACCGGCCCGGCGAGTTCACTGACGCCCAGAAGTTCTTCAAGCTCACCAACGACTCGGCCGCCGGGCTCAACGTCAGTCTCTGGCTGGTCCCCGTCACCAACACCACCAACCGCGGCGGCCCCGTCGGCATGACGGGCGATGGCAACTCGCGCGACTTCCTCACCAAGGCCGTCGCCCAGGCCCAGGCTCAGTTGAACAACGTGACGGTCAGCACCGACGGCGCCGACGTCTCGTCCACCCAGGAGTGGGTCAACCAGGCCAACTACACCCAGCTCCACGACGCCATCGCCCGGGCCAACCTGGCGCTGTCCCTTGCGAACAGCTCGTCCTTCCTGCTGGACTACCAAACCTACGTGCTGTACCTCACCCTCTATGGCGCTAGTGATGACATTGGCGCCGAGTTCGCCGGCTTCACCTTCACTGGCTTCGAGAACGCAGAGCAGCTCGGCTCGGCTTAGACCAGTCCTTGCTGTGCCTCACTACCTCCATGTAATTCTATCAATAAATCAGCAATAGACTGTATATAGTTGGAAAAGTCAGATACCAGAGACACATTGTGTACACTCCTCCAATCAGACCCAGTATAGTATTGTAACAAACGAGGATATTCGAGTAGAATGTGTTGCGCAGACAAGGCTAACATGCAGACAAGGCGCGCCACTACAATTCGGTCAGTTGAACCGCGCCCCAGTCATACAATCAAAATAAATCACATCACTAACCGAGTCTTTCTTTTCACAGACGTTGTACAGTAAGGCGCCAGGCTACAAGGTTGCCATACCAAGTGGAAAGGATATACGGCATCTGTGGTTTGCGCTACGTGATTGGCGGGGTACGACCCGGAGCATTACTTTGACAGGCTCGAACAATGAGCTGAAACTCAAATGAAAGAATCGGGCGTTAATTGAACAAGAAGGACTGACTCTTGAAAGGACGAATTCCCTCGCATAGTGTCTGGGTCGCCGGTGGAATTCATAATACCAACACTGTCTTCCACCACCTGACCAAGCCCCCCTTGTCAGTGATCACCAACCGCTTCATTCCACCTAAACAAGAGACAAGTAAAAAGAAGACAACACAACACAAAGCAAAAACATACAACAGAAGGGATTCGCTGGTGGTCACCCACCCAACTCCTAACCTCCCGGCGTGTGGCTTGAGTACGGCTGAGCGGACGGGAAGCCCTATTTTCCACACCCTGTGGTCGTATGTACCGGAAATAACCTGCAAAAGAACTATAATCATGGCTTTGAAGGGTCCTGGACCAACTTTCAAACTCAGGGACGTGGACGTGGACCCTCTCAATCGAACCCCCGCGCATCACTCACCCGCCGCTCCTCCGCCCACGCCGCCAGCGCCGCGTAGTCGCGACACACGCGCTCGGCGCCCCACCCGGTGACGCCGCCGAGCGCGGCATCCACCGGCTCCAGCGTCGTGTCGGCCGCGCACATCAGGCTCTGCCGCAGGTAGTCGAAACAGTGCCGCATGTGTCCTGGGCTGTGCTCCTCCTCATTCTCTTCCTTGTGGCCGGCGTGCTGGGCGCTGTGGTTCACACCCATCACCCCATAGTAGCTCTGATGGATCGACCACTGCGGGTGGAGGGTACGGCGGAGACATTAGCGCTTCAGTGGGGTTGGCAAACAAAGCGAACAACGATGAAGAAAAAGAGGTCTCATACTAGGCAATGTAACTGGTGAACCACCGATACCGTGTAATAGATCTGATCGGTCTCGGGCGTAGGGTATCGGACCGTCCCTTGGCCAACTGTTTTCCTTCTTTGGTGGTTAGGATGGTTTGGCACACAGGGCCCATCTAGGGAGCAAGGGCAAGGTTTTGGCTGGGAGAGGGGCAAACTCTCACGCGGAATGATGGAATCCCAAGCGGTTTGGGTGTTGGCATCCTCGTGGGGATCAGCCCCAAAGGTGCGGTTGTAGGTGAAAACTTCTTTGTGGGTTCGCAGTGGGATGGAGGCTGTATGATTCGAGATCGGAAGCGGGGACTTAACTTAGCCTTTAGTAAGTGCTGGAGAGGAGGGCAACCCACGATTCGAATATCCAGGGGGAGGCTGGCATGGTCTATAATGATCAAGACGGCTCCCAATAAGGCCGCCGATGCCGGCCGATATAACGATGGTGATCAGCCATACTAACAGATAGCAGCGCTCCGGTACCAGACGAGTGCGCAAGCGACTGGGGTCAAAGTTCGGATTTAGGGGTTCATAGCGGGGGCGGAGATTGAACATGGCTGCCGGGTGTTCTTAATGGATGAGTATGAAGCGTTGCGGGCAGGCAAGGGAGGAGAACAGAAGCGGAGGGGTTCTTCAAGGTTATTATGGTATTATGTATTAGCCCTACCCTTAGGAGGGGGAAAAGCCACACACTCGTCCAGTCATACTTAGCCCTACCTTACTTAGACTTAGGCGGGAAAGCACCATTCCGTATTTTGCAGAGGTACAGTCCAGGACATCGTGCTAGGGGAACTTTTCTAGGTAACTGCTATCACAGATACACATTTACATATACAACTAACACGAAGACTCTGTGAGCCTCCTTCCATTCTCTAGGTTTGCAGGGAACGCCCTTCAGCGCCGTGGCGGCTCCGCATCGGTCGCTCTTCCATATACGACCCCAATCGTGGTGGTTTTCTCAATTCCACCTTCCCCCCATCTCCCCTGACGAGAAACCCGGTTGCTACTCTCCTTCAAAGGATAGGACTCCCCGCCGACAATACAGGGGCTCTCCTGGCCACTGCCCATACTAGCATAGTGACCCAGCAGCTGATCGGGTCCTTCCAAGCTATCGTTGCGGATATTGTAGCCATGGCTTGACAGACGGTAGCGGAAGCTATTGAGCCGTGACAGCCTCTTTGGCGTGGGGCTCTTGCTGTGGTGGCCCGACCGCGTCATGATCGGCTTCAATGCCGGGACGGAGGTTGCGATCAGGACGAAATACGCCTCGAGGGTCCACCAAATGGCGAGATTGGCCATGGCGTACGTCAGATCGGCCTCCGACGTGATGGCTCGCAGCTGGACGGTCTTGACGATTGAGGCAATCATCGCACTAGGAACGCTACCGTCAGCCTCTCTCGCCCTTTCTCTATCGACCCGAGGGGTGCAGCAACGTACAAGATCCCCAGTCCCATCAAGCAGGAGAGCGAGATCTTGCGCTTCTTCTCCATGTTCAGCCCCCAGAACATACTAGCAGGAAAGGCAGCGAGGACGAGATCAACGGCAGAACACACAGCTTTTGCCCGGCTCTCCCCAGGTCAGTATGCTGCTCGATATCACGAGATATAGAAAATGGAACCTACAGCCTTGAAAATAGCCCATATCGCGCTGGACGGTGGCCGGCCAACAGCTCCCGGGCGTTTGACTAGCCCAGAACTTCTTCATCGGGCGACACTGCGCGAAGCTGACCACGACGGTCGCGATGTCCACCGCGAACTGGATCCAGATGATGGTCCACAGCAGACGGGTCCGCCACCGGACGGGGGGCACCAGGCTCATCAGCAAGGAGGCGTATGCGATCCGCCCGATCCCCGGGGACAGGATCGAAAAGAATTCACAGAGGTACACCCATTTCACTGCGTACATGATTCTCTCCTCCGAGAGGGCGGCCATGTGCGTTCCCAATCCCCAGTGGGCGGCGATGGTCAGGAAGACGGAGTTGCCGATTGCCAGTGCCTGGGGCATTAGAATGGGCCTGCTGTGCAAGGTGCAAGGTGCAAGTCGGGGATTGGAATTTTCCAGTTCACTCACTAGTGCGACTAGGATCAATGCATCGTCGAGTGTGTACCGCTTGACGATCTGGAGTCGGACATAATACCGGATCGCAACGACGATAATGGCAATGCCGGCAAACAACCAGGCCAGAATCAAGACAATGTTGCCAAGGGATTCGGGGCTTGACATGGTCGATGTATGGTGATTGTGTCAGGAGTTCAGACATGGGAAACACTTGATGCGTCAGGAGCAGATATGTAGTCAGGATCTCACCCTCGAGGGCTGTCTGAAGCAAGCATTATCATCAACATCATCCTCATCTTCATCATTAAACACCGATGTCAGTACAGGTGCAGTATCCAGGCTCAGCAATCAACCCCTATACTCGTTGGAATCACAGGCTTTTGGCCCCCTCCCCCCAACAGCTAATGCAACAGTAATCAGCACCAGACACTGTACCGAGCCTCTTTCATCCGGTTTGTTGTTGCCTAGGCCGATCGGAAGAACGGAGGGGCGGAGTTCAGCTTACATGGTGGCCAGCAGCCCTACCAGTAGCCAAAATATGATCTGCAATCTCCAATTTCGGCTACGGTGCGGGGAAGGTGGTGTGAACTGTGGATGTGTTTGCTATTGCATGGTCACCGACGGAGGTCCGGCACGGCACTAGCAACTGAGACAGACAAGCATTGAAGCAAACTGCATGGAAAGGTTGGCGGCCTCAGTTCTCGGGTAGCGCGGATGTAGGTGCTCATCCGTCAATGTATGTACTGTACCGTATGTACTACTGGTAAGCATTCTCACCTGCCTTATCAGAAGGCAACTGCCTCGAGCAATTCACTTCCAGGTCGCATTGGCCATGTAGGATGATTCATCCTTTCCGCGTCTAGACTACAGCCTCGAACAAACGACCTTGTGGGGCCGTGTGAAGTACATGCATTAGTGCTACATACAGTACGTGTCCACGTATATGGCGAACTTCCCAAGTCCGACATGCATTCACCTTCACAGTACAGAAGCTGATGTGGGCTGTACTATGAAGATGTGCTCCCGCGTATCTTGTGAGATGCCAGCCATTTTATACTGTTCTGTATGGTATAACCTACAATCAAGCATCAGGCGGGTAGAGTGCCTTCCACATTGGAGCCTCGCCCAAACGGCCATATGCATTGTGGAACAAGTAGAATTGGAGAGCGATTGAGTCATGAACAGCTCTGTTCTGTGCTGCCAGTCGGGGACGTCAAGTATAAGAATGCAGCTATCTTGCACTGCCATTCAATATGCCAACAATCATCTCTCATTCAGACCCCACCACTATAAGCGCTTCCAGAAACCCTGCTCTCCAACGAAGTCGAATCCACGATATAGCAAAAATGAGACTGAACCTCCTTCTCATTCTGGCTGCCGCTGCAAACGCGGTACCTCTGATTGCGCGTATGTTTGCACCCAGAGTCCCCCATCAATGAAGTGGTACTGACTGGGTCTCAACAGGCAATTCAGGTCATGCACTTAGTGCTCGTACTCGTAAGCTCTTACCTGTTAGCATTGCAAGTTGTCCCTTAGGCATCATAGCTGACACCAACTGGAGAATCCGCGGCGGACGCCGATGAAGCAGTGGCTTACCCGGCTAAGATCGACCAGTCCTGGGTCGATGCGGCGTAAATGGATGGGTGTGTTAGGAAGTGGTCTACTCCGTGCTGCTAGGGTTGGGATTCCGCGATATGTATGGAGTGGCGAGTAGAATGAATGGTATTTCACAGATAGTCCAGACAGGTAGTACGCTCAGTACTGTACTCTTGACCAATGTTCAAACTCACCCATGTACGCTTCGGGTATGCAGCTGGCTTTGAAGTGAAATGCGTGTCTGCCTCTCTTCCTACTTAACCCCACCCAAATGCCCGTCAAGTTCGATAGCATATTTCCGCACCACGCTGCACTCCAGGTTCTCTCATTATGTCCCCAAAACAGCAAGACTATCATCAGCTTCGACGCAGTTCGACCGACGAGGCCTTCGAAACTGAGAATGAGACTAAGCCAGGTGCTGCCCATCTGGAACCCGCACGATCCCCGAACCCAAGAGCTATAATCCTCAGCGCCCTCTCCGTTACGGTCGTTCTCCTTGCCTGCTCCAACATCACCTTCCTTATCTACTGGCTCAGGAGTACCAAGCCAACATCAACCCAGTGCGAGGGAGGTTCATACTACGGTGTGTGTCCCGATTCTCTATTTGAGTGTGGGAAACAGGGACATTGACTTGCGTATTATCCCCAGCCAGCCTCTACCGCACCATTCCCCTCCCAATTCAAGAACACACCGCATTCGTCAGCGACAACGCCAGCGCGGTGGCGCACCTCTGGGAAGACGAGCTCAGCGGCGACCCGGGCGTCGTGGCGCTGGACGGCGATTTCGTCCGGGAGAAGCATCTCCCCGAGGCCATGGCGTTCCCCTGGGATCCGTCCAAGAGCGTGTATCTCCTCCAGGGGTACCATAATCTGCATTGTCTGCGAACCCTCTTCCGTTATGCCTGGACGGCGGACCGCGGCCTCCCGCAACGCATCGCGTTCAGCCACGTCCAGCACTGCCTGGACCAGCTGCGGCAGGATGTCATCTGCAACGCCGACGACACCCCGCGGTACGCGGGCCACCAGCAGCCCGGCGATCCGCCCGGCACCGGAGCGGGCCAGGTCCGTCTGTGTCGCGACTGGAGCCAGCTGGAGCGATGGGCCCGCGAGCGCACCGCCTGCTTCAAGCATGAGGATGAGGTCCCTGGCCGGATGGTCGATCGGTTCAAGTTCTGCCCAGATGGGAGGGTGTTGTGGCCGGTTGAATAGGGTGCGGTAGTGGTACTGCTTGTGGTATAGATTTTAATTGCATTCATTCACACTTAGTAGCAACCGTCTACAGCCAGTGAATGTTCCGGATTAAGTACAGTACTATAGCTTCATGGCCTCCACAATCCCATCGCCGCCCTCATCGACCGAATCCCACACCCCGACCACCGTCAGACCGGCCGCCTCCAGCAGGGTCTGCCACTGCAGACGGGTACGCTCGATCCCCGCGTTGAACGCCATCATAGTCATATCGAACTGCGCCTGGAACTGGGCGGCCCTCTGGTCCGAGACGATGATCTCATGCACGAGCAGCTTCGAGAACCCCGGGGTCATGGCGGCGGCCACCTGCTGCAGGATCCGGAGGCAGTAGGGGTCTGACCAATCGTGGAGGATATGGTGGTAGAAGTAGACGCGGGCGCCGACGACCGGCTGCTCTGTGAAGAAATCATAGGGCACCGTCTCGATGGCCGGATCCCCCTCTCCCTCTACCTCCTTCAGCCCGTCAATGACCGCGGGCAGGTCCTCCAGCACCAGCCGGCCGCCCGCGTCGGGGAACTTGGCCCGGAAGGCCAGCAGGTCATGCCCCTTGCCCGCGCCGACGTCGACCAGCAACGCCGCCGTTTCGGCGGCAAAGCCATCCAAGATCCGCTCCTGCACCGGGTACCAGTCCACCCAGTACTTCCGCGCGCCCATGGTGTTGCCCATGAAGGTGTTGAAGTCGCGGAGCAGGGCCGGGTCGGCGGCGATGCGGTTGAAGGTGCTTTGCTTGCTCCCGAAGGCGTACTGCATCAGCCCGTCCCTCGGGTCGAAGGGGCACGTGTATCCGCGCTCCTGGAAGTAGGCCGGCGCGCTCTGCATGGCCGGCACGATCAGCCGCGACACCATGCGGTGGCCCGCTGCGATCTCCTCCGTGGCCATCGCGTGCGTGATGCGGGTGGCCGTCCAGGTCTGGGGCGCGACTTCGTGGACAAAGTGGACGGCGGAGAGGAGGCGGAGAATACGGACTAGAGGTTGAGGGTTGGTTTAGGCTGTGTTGCGATGACTGGAGGTTTTTGGTCCTACCGATCAACAGTTCTTCTGCACCGGACAAAGCGGCCAGGCTCGCGGCGCTGATGGGCGCGTTCGCTTGCGCGATGCGCGCGAAGAGATTCAGGTCCACGGCGATGCGAGCGCTGGTGGCGACCATGGGCTGTGGATTTGGTATTTAGCGTAGTCGATGATCCGAGCTGGAGAGGAAAACGTACCGCAAAGGCCATATCCACGGCAATGTTCTCGGGCTGTTCCAGTTGCACGGTGAGGGCTTTGCTGAGCTGCAGGCATTGTTTGCGGGCGTCGACATCATCGGGGTTGCTGAGCCTCGATGCCAGGGCTTGGAGTTGGGTGATGAGACATAGGGATTCCTCGTTCGCGGTGTGGCCGTTTGTGGGAGGCATGATGGTTTTGGTTACGATCGAGATAGCAGGAGAAAAGGAGGAGGAGGAGGAGGAGTAGTAGTAGTAATGGTGGTGAGGGTGGTGGTGGTGCTAGTATGAAATTCTTGGTGTCAAATTGTAGAAATTCTCTCACAATCCATGGTCACCAAGGGGGATGATATAGAGTGAGCCATCTGGAAACAATCAAGTGGAAATCTTGAGGTCCATGCCTGGAAATCTTGGTTCATTCACTACATGAGCTTATTCTTATCAGACATTATCATTGGATCCTTTCCACGCATGTCCGCTGTGTTCTAAGCTAGAATTCACTTTCTTTGTTCCTAGGGTCAGAAAGCTTCTTGGGGGCCGGAATCATTCCTCCTTTCCAGCAGACAGATAATATATGTGTCTCAGACATTGAAACATCTCGACTCACTGCCCACTAGTGCTAGTCAATCCTTGATTCTCTGGTAGAAATTGTGATTGCCACGTATCAAGACTGTATAAAGAAAGGTGTCTGGCTGCCTTACTCGAAAGAAAGCCAAGCTTCTATTTTAGCATGTGCTGTGTAAGCCTCAGAATTACATACAATTCAATTACAGATGCGCCTGGCTGAGTAAAGACCGCCTACCACTGTTGGTATCATTCTAGCCTGCCTATAATACACCTTAAACACTACCAAATTCGGCCTGCTTATAGGCTGTAAGTTTAGCCTTTGCTTAGCGGAAAGACGGTCCACTAGGGAGATATATGTATAGAGTGTTTTCTGTAAATCAATATTGGTACGAAGTACAGTACAGTACATTTACAGAATCGGTGACAGCTGCGGCATTTTACTTTGGACCATTTGTATTTAGTAGTGTAGTTAGTAGTGATCGGGCACCACCTGGCAATCGGGACAGCTTCCCCAATACTGTGTCGGTTATAGGGGTCACGGGTAGCATCCTGATTCACCCGAGGCATTCATCCGATGGGTCCAGACCCCTGCATATCACGCCAGGCTGGCTCAAATGTCAGATTTTAGTCCGAGTCAGAACAGCTTGTAATGGCTTGCGCGGCCCGCCCTGATCTCGCGGTCTTTGTTGTTCGGACATTGCCTGTACAAGAACATGATCATCCCTGACCCCTGTCAACGCCTGGTTGCCTACTCGAGGTCGGTCCCATGGTTCAGATAATTGTGAATGAATACACGCTTCATTGGACGATTGTAACCTCAATTTAGTACAAGATCATGGGTGATCCAAGCCGCCTTTCCCACTATTCCCTCCTCTCCCTGAAACCCTTACAGCGAGAAATCTCCCACCACCGAGCTCGCTACACATTGGCCTTCGAGTGCCCATGGCGCAAATTTCCCCTGGAGACCAGCAAAGAGAAAAAGATGCCTCTCGACAAGATATCAACAATCTCGAGGAGGAATCATCATCATCCTCCTCCGCCGCCGCCCCCACTGAAGACTGGTTTGCATGGCTGCAAGTCCTCGGAGCTTTCTGCCTGAATCTCAACACATGGTAAGCAAGCTCACCCACGTTCAACTTAGGGTTACAGTCTAACCAATCAAATCTCTCAAGGGGACTTATGAACGCCTTCGGGGTCTTCCAGACATTCTACGAACTGGATCTACTTGCCTCAAAATCCTCCTCTGACATCTCATGGATTGGATCAACGCAGGCCTTCCTCATGTTCATTATCTCGGCGATTGTAGGGCCGATTATCGACGCAGGCTACGTCCGGTCCTTGCTGGTGCTCGGGTCCTTGCTCACAGTGCTGGGCATGTGCATGACGAGCCTTTGCACTGCCTACTGGCAGGTGTTTCTGGCGCAGGCGCTGACAATGGGGCTGGGATTCGGGTGCCTGTACGTGCCGGCCCCGACGATCGTCTCCCAATACTTCCACGCCAGCACAGCGCTGGCGATGGGGGCGTCGTCCGCGGGCACGGCACTAGGCGGCGTCATATACCCGATCATCTTCACCCAACTCCAACCCCGCATCGGATTCGGCTGGACCACTCGCGTCCTTGCCCTCATCGTCCTCGTAACAATGCTCATACCGGTGGTCCTGATGCGATCGAGAGCCCCGCCGACCACGCAATGGAGCCTGGTGGATCGGACCGCATTCCGGGATGTGCCCTACCTCCTCCTCAACACCGGCCTGATCCTGGGGTTCATGGGCTTCTATGTGATCCTGTATTACATCCAGCTGTTCGCGATCCAGGAGACTAGCGTATCGCAAACGATCACCACCTACATCCTGGTGATCATCAACGCGAGCTCGCTGCCCGGCCGGCTGATCCCCGGGTACTATGCCGACCGGATCGGGTCGATCAATGTCCAGACGGTGGTCGCCCTGGTAGGTGCTGTGATGACGTTTGCGCTGATCGCCATCCACAGTATCCCCGGCCTGGTTGTGTATTGTGTCTTGTATGGGTTCGCCTCGGGGGCCTTTATGGGTCTTCCTGCCGCCGGCGTAGTGAGCCTCTCCGCCGACCGCAGCAAGATCGGGACCCGGCTGGGGATGACATTGGCCGTGGTGGGCTGCGGCGTGCTGGTGAGCACCCCGATCGCCGGCGCAATCCTCAACGGAGGACACAGTGACGGTCGCTATTGGGTCGCGCTCATCGTCTGGTGTGGTGCCCTGCTTTCGGGGTCCGTGGCTGCCATGGCGACAACGCGGATCTGGAAACTTGGCTTCGGGCTCAAGAGGGTGATTTGAAAAGGGGATTCGGTTGGTTCTCGGTGACAACCCTTGCATGTTGTTCTGTGTCCTACAGTAGAAACTCCATGGGAATAAGCACCTGATCCGCGATCTCTTGCCCCTTAACCTTACGACTCCAGAGGTGACTCGAGAGCTCAGAGTGTGTAAGATAAAGTCTGAGAAGGCGGGGTTCTTACCTCCTCGAACCCCAGAATTCAACCTTCCTTACAGAAAGTACAGAATCAATGCTTTTCTTCCATAAGCGCTAGCGTAATTTTGGGTGGCTCTAGGATGGTACGAGCCTGACCCTATTGTAATTCCTTCTCCCTTCTTCCTCGCACTAAATCCTTGCCGCATCTACCGCGTTATGGTCATGGTACTTTTGGCACCCTAATGCAGGCAAATAAAGCTTGGGGGCTCCCCCTCATCATGGCCCACTCCGCAGTATGTACATCCCGATAAACGCTTTGATTGTTAGTCACCATGATGCAAATTACATCCTTGTCGGTGCAGTGGGTAGTGTGATGGCGTGAAAGAGCCCCCTGCGGGGCAAATTCAATTAGTAGTAGGATCGTCGCTCGCTACCTAGTACAATGGATTGGACGTGTGATAACGAGCCGCTCTTGAACTCATTAACTTCACAACCATAACATCAACCGCATGTCGGCGCTGGGGGAGAGAAAGTACGGCCCCCTGACAAGGAAAACCTTTCATAATATGGCGCATCAGGAGTCTGTTGCTGAGCCATTGCTTGCGGAGGAAGAAAGAGCCCGGACTCCTCCTCTTGCCCATCCGTCCTTCGAAAAAGATCTTCTCACGCAAGCACCGAAGAGGAACTTCACGAGGAGATTCGCCCCATGGCTCATTCATCTAAGCATCTTTCTGAGTTACACAGTCGTTACATTGGCCATCGTTCGCCATGCCCTCCCGTCCGCTGCCTCCCACAGCGATAGGAGCGAAGTAACTCGTCCAGCACTTCCCTGTGGGTCCTGCCTCCTCCTCTACCCTGCTCTTCTTTCCTCAACTAACACGTCTCGCGAAGTACCAGATCGAGAGGGTCTGCAATGGCGAACTCGACGATTCCCCACGAACATCGCCGACAGTCCACTGGCAGGGACCCCACGGCCGGAGTTGGAAAGTGCCTGGCATGACCTTCTGCAAAGTGAATCAGAATCCGCCCTGCTGTCTGTCTGTGTCTGTCTATAGGCTAACAACTAACAACTGCCTTCAGACGACAACATCCACGTGCCAATCGAATATCTCCGGGAGAAAAACTTGAATTCGGTGTACACCAAAGATCACACCGAAGGGATCGTGTCTCTTAGCGTCTATCACTCGTTACACTGCCTGGTAAGTCTTTCCCCCCTCTTGCCGATAAACAAACATGCCTCTTTGGCTGTTTCTCTCTCTCTCTCTAGTTATCTCTCTAACACCCCCCTTTTCCAGAAAAAAATAAAGCACATGATGTTCAAGGAACACTACTACGCGGACCGCGACGAAGCCGCCATGGCGCGCGAGTGGAAGCACGCCGACCACTGCGTCGAGTACATCCGGGAGAGCCTGATGTGCCAGCCCGACCTCGCCCTCGTCACCTTCCGGTGGATCAACGACACGGCGCAACATGCGGCCGCCCCGGCCGAGTTCTACCCGACCAATTTCGACGTCGACGCGCACCGGTGCGCGGACTGGGAGGCGCTGGATCGCTGGGCTGGCCAGCGGGCGTTTGATCTGTCTCGGGTGGATCTGTTGAATCGGCCGCGGGGGAATTGAAGATGGAGATGGCGAAGGACCAGGGAGTTGGAGTTGGGGTTGGGTAGGGGACTCGCTGGAGATTCTGGTCCTTGCCCTCGCAATACTTGGAAAGAGGACGGGTGGGTAGGTGACCGCTACCATGCCTTGGTGTTATGCTCTTCATGATTCTGCTGAACATTGATGTTTCTTATCCTGGACTGCAGAGATAGCAGAAGCTGAGATAAACCTGGAAGAGGCTGAAGCATATTCGGAAGCTATGTAGCGAACAAGACAGATGGATGAGATTATGATGTAGCATCCATCCAACGGAGAAAGCCCTAGGCCCTAGGTACTTACGCAATTTGCCATCAGTCAGCTTCTGGGCGCCTTCCCGGAAGCAGCAGGTGAAGAGGGCCGGAGCGATTAATGGCTTGGAACTTAGCCAAGATTTTGAAACATGCATCCAGTGTCTTGGTAAACGTTGCACTGATAGGCGGTAGTGCTTTATCAGTGGCAATCCCAGGCCCGAGGCAACAACTAGACGGGAGGTCTTCTTGCATGAGAATTTGATGATAAGGTGAGGACTTAGATTCTGAGTACGATCAAGTGTACTTTCAAGGTTGACATGATTCTTGAATCACCAGCTCTTGGGTTTTCTCCAGCATGGAGATATGATTTTGCTTCGGTGAAGAAGTCCTCCATAACCGGGGCAAACGCCGACCCGGGCTCTATCCGAGACGGCGAACTCCAATCGCCGATGCCAACGACATTGAACCAAGTTGCTCAGTATGAGGTCCACATAGCGTGGATCTAGCTCTGAGTAATTGCAAGCTCTTGTTCTAAAAGCCAGTTCAGACTTCTACAGAAATTCATTTGGCAAGAGCGCATTGGACATGACAGTGGATTCCGGGCTTCCCACTAAAGCACCCTAAACCCTCATATTGCTCTATCCCACGCCATTGAACCATCTGTCATCACTTCATTTAACCGCTCTATCATGTCTACTTCCGGCACTCAACCATGTATACCGATCCCCAGCACCTCCCATCCGCACACCGTCCCCCATCTCCCCGGCCTCCATTCGACCACAAACCGATAGCCCTACCCCTCCCCAGCACGCACCCTCTCCCCGCGAAGGAACCCTCGCGCAGCCGCCAGCTGACCACCTACCTCACCCACTCAATCCGCGAGGACCTCACCCTCGAAGCGCAGCTCCTCCTCCTCTCCTTCGCCATCGGCATCCAAGACGCCGCCGCCTGGCGGGATTATGGCTGCTTTGCCTCCAATCAAACGGGCAACCTCCTCTTCCTGGCGATCGGGGGCGCCGGACTCGCCGACTCGGGGGATTACTCCTTCCGGCATCTGGGAATGAGCCTGGGCGCGTTCGTGGCGGGCGGTCTGGTGCTGGGTCAGCTGGGGAACTGGCTGGGTGCCGTGCGGCGGCGCTGGTGGTTGTTGGCTTCTAGTCTGCTGCAGACGGGGATGGTCTTTGCCGCGGCGGGGATGTGTGGCCTGCCTCCTCATTCAAACTCACAACCGGCTGAGGCCAAGCAGGATGGGGCAACGACGCTGGCGACGCTGTTTCTGCTGGCGTTCTCGTCCGGGGCGCAGGTGGCCATGGGCCGGGCGCTGAAAATCACGGATATCACGACGGCGATGGCGACTGCGGCGTATGTGGACGTGGTCATTGATCCAGATCTGCTGAGATGGGGGAATCGGAAGAGGAATCGCAGGGTCCTGTTTTTGGGGCTGTTGACGGCCGGGTGTTTTGTGGGGGCGGCGGTGGAGAAGGTCGCGGGCTCGAGGGTTACGTTGCTGGTTTGTGCGGGGTGTAAGGCTTTTGTTACGCTGGTTTTTCTTTTTACCCCGGGGGTGGAGGAGGGGGGATGATTGGGAGGTGGTTGGGTGAATGGGTTAGAGAGGAGATGGGGTTTATCATTGGGGTGTATAGACATGATCAAAGAGAGGATTGTGTGGTATGAGATGGTGGTCTGGTGGCGGTGGATGGTTAGATTCTGTATTAGATCTCAAGAGGGCTTGTGTAGGGCTGGAGGGATTTCTGCACATACTGTTCATTCCATTGCAAATATTACTTTGTCTAAACTAGAATCTGATTTGACAAACAGCCAGTATTCACAAAGACCTCATGGACAGAGTATGGTATGGTTCCTTGCCTCAACGTTCCGTAACTTGAATTGACGTCATAGAAAATCTCAAGAGCTCGAGTTATCAGCACACGACCAAGCCGACCCCCCCGACTCTTTCTGTCTTGAGGTCGTGATAATATTCTTGATCGACCCATACGTGCCCGCAACCATCAGAAACGTACCTAACACGACCACCAGCATGCTCCATCCACATGGACAACAGCGCCCACCGGAGGGTTGGCTGCTCGCGGCCCCGTCTCCAATTGTCATATAGCCACATGCACCCCATAGGCTGGAAGGACATAAATGTCCCCAGGAAAGCGCTGATCAAGGATACCAGGTCATGGAAGATGAGAATTCCACTGGCAATGAGGTATGAAGAGACCGTGACCGCCAAAGTGCAGCTGAGCCAGGTGGCCCAGTGGGTGAATGTGTTTGCAGTTAGATGGACGGAGCCTCGGAGAATGCGGACGAAGAGGTAATTGCTGGCGAACTGGAGATGCGCGTTGAGGGTATTAAATGTGGCAGAGAGGTGTATGATATATGCATTAGGTGCTTACGTGGCAGACAATGATGGTACTGGCGATCAAGCCGGGCAGAGCGATGCCGTAAGAGACATTCTTAATTAGGGTCCTGGCAGGCCCCAGAGCGGGTGATGCGACGTATGAGCCGCAGAAATAGTAGATCACCGTTCCGATCGATGTTAAGTCGCCGTCACAGCGGTCTGGCAAATCAGGAGAGCTCTGGTGTGTAGGGAGGGGTTGCGCATCTCTGCGGCGGTTGGGAAGAATCCTGAGTAGATCACCGTGAGCATTTGTAGGTTTCGCCTGACATTGTCCAGGTGAAAGGAATGTGCATATAATATCAGCTACACATACCAGGAGTTCCGGCAAACGCATACACAATGGAAGAAACGGCAGTTATGGCTTGGACAAAAGATGGACGGCCGACGAGTTTGTAGTCTGACTTTACTCGCCCGTCTGAGGAGCCGTCGAGGGCCTGTCTTGAACTGCAACTGCAATCGCGACCATTATGACTATAAAACCCCAGAGTTAGCCGAAATATCTCAGTCAGGACAGGAAATACCCTCACCAGCAGTAAGAATACTCCCCACCCCTTCCACGCAGTCCATTTGATCTTTCCTAGCGTCCGTATACTTGCCAAACAGTAGGCAACAATAGCAAATATTGCAAAAACCACCGCCGTGCATGTGCCGTGAGCTGAGACCCCATTGAGCCCAATCGGAGCCCGTGCAGAAGATCCAGTCTTTTACTATATCAGCTTGATACCATACAAGAAGCAGACACATGGGATCGTACAGATACACACCCCGACATCGAGAACCTCACGCCCGAGGCGACCAAAGATCAACTCCCCTGAAACGTCGATGGCGTAGACCTCGGGATGGCGAAGTTTGAACGTACCGTTGACGTAGTCCGACCATGTTGTGATAATCGCAATCACACAAACACATATAATTCCAAGGATGAGGCCCAGAGAGTCGTAGACCTGGAGGATGCCCAGATCCCCGAGACTGAACTGGGTCTTGATCATAAGAGCAACAGTTCCGAGCCATCCGACCTTGCTTGTTCAGTAAGGTATCTGTGATATTGAATGAACGGCAAACTCGTACATTTCTGTAGTTTGGGCCATCCTCAATGATCTCTCCAAAAACTGCATCTTCCGCGATAGGAGCAGGAGGCTGGGCTTTCGACTTGTCCGTTGTTGTAGATGTTACGGACTGGATGTCCAACATTTTGATACTTTAGTCATGAGATACTGGAATCTATAGAACAAGATAACCCTGACATGGTGGGAGAGGATTGTACGCGCACTAAGGAACGGTTTATATAGCCGGAGGTACTGCTTATTTTAGCGGTCCGGAAGGACTTACCTTTCCCTGATAGGTAGCAAGTAGAGCATGCCTTTTATCTCGCAGTCACGATTCGAGGGTACGAAGCGGACGCTCATGCCTTTAGCGGGATCAAATGCACGGCATCCCATTTGTAGTTGATGCCGGGGAATGTAAAGCCCTGAGCCAAGAATACAGAAGATGCGGGGACAGGACGGTGTAATACGTACAAAGCATAAAAGAAAAGGGAGTTGACGTATAGAGCCCAAAGATTAATGCAGTCAGGTTAGGTCTACTAATAGCGTAGCCCTAGTTCAGCTTAATATCGACCCCGCACCCGTCATACTAGGCAGGCGTGTCCGGATGAACGATAAGATTGAAAGAGATTAATTATAAATGCAGCTACGGCCACTTGTCCCGACACTTGTGGCTCGTACTCTATTCCCTCCCCACTGGAGCCCGTGCAGGTCCCCACTTGCAACGCATACTCCACTCTCTCCTTGACTGGACCGCCAACATGCTGCCTCGGGGCACTCTTGCCAGGCGCTCACTAAAGGCAACAAGGCGGGTGAGCAAAGCGTGTTTCTTGTCTTTCATAAACATATTCCAATGTCGACTGACTAAAAGTCAGCTGCCAGAGATGTCGCGATCAGGAGATCAATATAATTAGAGCTGTTATCCCGCCAGTTGCTGATCTGGCGGAGTATGCTGCGCAGCCGGCGGGATTGGAGCTAGACTTGGTGGTTGGTTCGCACAGCAATACGAGCTGAGCCCCGATCAATGGCTGGAGTTGGCGAATTCGGTGGATGTGAATAGTCTGGCGTGGCCGTTTCCGGGGCTTGCTGAGATCGCTGGCAACTGAATAGAAGATAGTGATACGACCCACCTAACGTTCAACGATAGACAACTCTTCTTCCCAATGGATAAGGATGTCCAATTACTTACTTCTCGTCCACATTCCGCAGTACAGTATGTACACTACATACCTACATAAATACATCAGTGGCACCAAGACACTTCTTGATCCCCTCATTTCGGTCCCCATCGCCGATCCAAGATCCACCTGTGGGCCGGAATCACATCCAATAGGATGTCCATATCGGCCAATTCGGCCGTAGGCCCATGCCCATCCCCTATCTTTAGATTGCGGGGCTGGGCCCGGAGATCCACCCGAGAATGATATGCGGAGAGAGAGAGAGAGAGAGAGAGAGAGAGAGAGAGACTATACCACCTTCAACAAAGGCGATGTTCGCTCAGACAAACACGAGGCTTTACAGCTCATATAGAGCTGGATATCAGGGATGTAGTATATGAAACGCGAAGCATCGATATCATGATATTGAAGTTAGTGGGTGTAGGTCGAAAATGGTATGGTTCGTTGTTGCTTATTATAGAGGGGATGATAGAGGGTAGGACGTAAGCCCTAGCCCCGAGTATCAGTGGGGATGATGACGGATTCGGCTGAATTGGCCGATGTGCCCACCTGCGCGGTGAGATCCGCTGTGATTTCCGTTCATCGTGGAATACCCGCTGCGCAAACAGCAGCTGCTCTCAAGCCTTCACCAGAGCGATACAAGATCATGAGTGCTGGCGCGATGACAGTGTGCACGTCTACAGACAGTATCAGCTAGACGTGGACCCTACCATAAGCCTTACGATTAAGTGGATATTTCAGCTTGCAGTGGATGCTTTTCTCCATTCGCAGGGCTTTCGGCATAGATTCGAGTACTAATTCATGGCTCCTCGGAGAAGCAACGAACAAAAGCGCAAGGGCGTCCGCGAGCGTGTGAAAGATAGACTAGCAAGCGGAACAGAACACAGCAACAATACCGACTTCGTTAAACAATCCTGATATCCACGTTGTGCATAGAAGCAGGAAACTTGCAGTCCCGCCCGAAACAATCTCCCCACGGACAACGATGGCCCGAGGTACACTTCTCATCCCTGCACGCAAATCCCACAGTGCAGACGGACTGTCTAGCAATAGCGGTGAGGGCTACTCTCTCCTCTTGAGACAGTGACTCTCCATGCTTGTGGGTGCATTGATCGCCATGAAAGCAGTCTCCCAGGAGGTGAAACCTGTTACACAGCTTGTCACGTCTCAACTGCGCGGCGACATGATTAGGGTACGTCAGACTTCGGTCGACCCGTTGGCCTTTGGCATTCAGGTACACCTTCGCATCGAAGCCTTTCAGCGTAGCGGTGGAAGCCGGCGTGGTTGTCATTAGCGGCGACGCCGGCTGGGGCGAGAGGGCTGCCCTCGCGGCGGCCGATGCGTAGCTCCGTGTCGGGGTTCGTGGTGGAGTGTCTGCTGTTTCGTAGGTACCAAAGGACCCGCGTCGCTCCGACCTGAGCTTTTCTTTCATAAAAACATCTTCGAAAGACACGACGGGTAGGGTTTCTGCCAGATCTTGCATCTCACGCGCAAATGGTGGTCCTTCACCGAGTGAGATACGCCCAGTCTCCAGGTACGGCTTGAGGACACGCGCATAGCCATTATCTGTCGAGGCGCAGAATATGACCCGACGGCAGTGAACATCACGTATGTCTTGTACAAAGAGAGCTGCGGAGGTAGTTCAGGCCGAGAATTGTCAGCCAAGAGAGGTTAGCTTACACATAAGTTGGCCGCCGGGGACAATCTCAGGGGAAGAATTGACTGACCTTCCAGCTTACGATCAGCACACTCCTTTCCATAGCCCACATCCACCATATCACACAGTCTATTATCCTTATTGAAGCCATGAATAAATGCTCTCATGGAACTATCGCTTTCCAAGATCTGGGAAGAGCGATATGCCTTGGAAAGGCCTTCGACGTTGGCGTATACACGAATCCTGATCGCTATATCGGGTGAGATTTTCCGGTCGACTGTACGCAGATGGGTTTGTATGGTTTTGATCAGCAGATGCGCCGCCTTGTTTCCGCCCGATTCTTCGCCTCGGACCAAGGATTCTTGAAACTGTGGTCGGAGTGAGTAACTGATTTTAGCTTTCCTTGCAAGGTTCGGGAAAAGAAGGACCGACGTTCATACTATCCCCGTCAATCAAGACAGAGACATAATTTAACTTGGCCTAAGAAATTGCAAGTCAGCATTCGGGTTCCTGACTAGGGTTTGGGGCAGGTAGCAAGAATGAACCTGAGAATTAAGTACGGCCTGGTATTGTTTCTCGTACTCCAGATAATCGCCCCGGTAGGAATCAGAAAGCCTTTTATATTCCTCGGCTTGACATTTGGCTTCTTTCAGCTCAAGCTGCAGACCATCAATATGCGCAAAAAGACCCTAAGAGCATTTGTGTTAGTGGTTTCGAAACGGATTATGTTCATCTCTTCTTCGCGAACCTCAATCAGAGTCATTCTCTTGGCTTCGGTAGCACACAGTTCAGCATATATCTTTCTCAATTCCTCGATGCTATGTTCCATGGCTCCACTCTGGAAATATTGGTCGAGACTTGCAGGATGTTGTCAACACAAACCAAGACCAGAGGATGCTGTGATGAGGTTCGTGGGAAACAAGCAAGAGCAGTTTTGAGAAAGGGAAAATGGTGAGAAGACATTTCAAATCCGGATGGGATAGGTCGCATTCTTAAGTCTCTTGCGCACTGGGCTGTGATAGTTTTCGTCACTGGGTTCACTCGCTGCACATAGTTTTGGTACACTGTGCTAGACAGTGGGGAAGACAAGGGAAGTGCACAGAAAGCCCACTGGCAGCAAAGGCTGGATGTCGATCTTCTGTCATGAAACCACAATAGAGGTAGGAAGATCAAAAGATGCAAGGCTGAGAAGACGCAGGCATGAGGAGACATTGAGCGCCTAAGTACAATCTGTGGGCAAGAAATATCATCCTATCACGGATTTGGTGGCTAAGATGATTGGGTAGAATGACAAGACCTGTGTGAGCGCTTGGTAAACGCTGTGATGCTGCGCCCCTGCAAGCCACCCAAAAAGAGGGCCTCGACTGCATTTTGTCGGAACGTGACGTAAAGCAGTTGAAAGCCAGCCATAACTGGGTTCTCCCTTTGGTCGTTTTTGCCTCTTCTTTACATACTTCCAAAGAGAGTGCGAGAAGCGCAAGAAAACACCCAGCAAACATGTTAGATCAGTGAAACTAGATGCTTGGAGTCAAGTCAAGGCAGTATGAGGTGGTAAGACCGGGAGTCATCGGGTCATCTTTCCGATGTGAAAATTAGAGAATATCAGGCTTCATCTGCTGGGAGACTAGTTTGTTTTGACAGAAAAGATTCAGGCGAGCGACCTTGTCGGCCTTGAGGTATGATTCATGGTCCCCCTTCAGCTCCGCCACCCTCACTCCTTATCGACCATCGCATTTCACAGACTATTGGCCAATCCGTCCCCAACGGCGCAGTCAATCTGCATACCAGAGCACAACGTCTTCACGCGCCGAAGACCATTTCTTCCCAGCCGCTGGAATCTGTTCAGAGTCACGCTTGAAGTGGTGATGGTGGTGATGTACAACTGTTTCCCCGCACAGCATCCGGTTGGACCTTTCAGAAGTAGGGACCCTTTACCTTGTATTTTTTCAAGCAGCACCTCGGCCACATCATCGACCCTGCAAAGCTCAAGCAATGAGCTCAATTAAGGAGCCCACAACCGAAGCGGTCCTGGGGAATGTGGAAGATGATACGGAGACAATTGTGCCAAAGTGTGCTGTTGAAACCCGTGCAGCGGCTGCGCAGTACGAGCTCTGAGGGCTATGCAAGCTGCGTTCTAAGTATCTGGCGCAGGTCGCAGGGAAGATACCAATGGAATACATCTTAATAATAATAGTAGTAGTAGTAGTAGTAGTAGTAGTAGTAGTAGTAGTAGTAGTAGTAGTAGCAGCAGTACTAATAATAGTAGTAGTAGTATAGAAAGAGAGAGAGAGCTTAAAGTGTTTACTAGTCTCCATACTGGCCCAGTAGGCTACTTGCTCTCGGCCGAGGCGCCTTGAGTGAGGAGAACTAGCGAGAATATCCTGTGGAGAAGGCAAAACCACTACGAAAGGTAGTAAGTGTATATGGAGATAGAGAGACTCAAACCAATACCCACGACCTAATTGCACTTAGAAGGCTGTACCTTTCTCTTGGGTGGGAAGCAAGGCTCATCCCGGGCGAGGATTTGCCGTCCGTCATAGACCTATGTCTACTTCAAAAGCTACACGAGATCTTGGTGTCCCCGCGAGGCCGCAAACCGCGACGCCGTCCAATTCTTATTCCCCGATACCATGGTGGCATCCGCCCCGGCGTCGAGCAGGAGTTTGACAATCTCCGCGTGGCCGCCTTCTGCCGCTGCCGCCAGAGCTGTGTAGCCGTTATACCGGGCGCCGGGGGCGTTCACATCCGCGCCAGCCGCCAACAGTCGCCGGACGATGGTCTGATGACCGTGGAAGGCAGCGCCCTGGAGTGCCGTGAAGCCATGATACCTCGAGGCGGATGCATTCACATCCGCACCAGCATGGAGCAGGAACTCCACCATTTCGTCATAGCCGCCCAGTGCCGCGGCCTGCAGTGCAGTCCGGCCCCGGTTACTGGCTGGGGGCGCGTTGATTTCTGCGACGGGCTGCTGTTTACTTTGGTGTAACAGCCATCGTAACATCTCAAGATGGCCGCCTTCAGCTGCGGCCTGCAGAGCGGTGCGCCCCATGTATTTGTGCGGGGGGCGGCTGACGTCCGCGCCTGCGGCGACGACCAGAATGCGAACGACGCTGAAGTAGCCGGCGCCTGCGGCTAGGGCCAGCGCGGTGCGGCCGCCGTTGTTGCCCCCGGGGGCATCCACTTCCGACCCGGCGGCTAGGAGCGTCTCGACCACCTCGAGGTGTCCGTTTACCGAGGCGGCCTGGAGTGCGGTTTGGCCGTAGTAGCCGCGGGCGGGCTCGTTGGGGTTGCTGGAGGATTGACTCAAGAGATTCTTCACTTGGGGGAGATTGCCTTGTGCGGCGGCCAGCTGGAGAGGGGTCCAGATGCTCTCCTCGTCTGGTTCTTCCTCCAGGGAAGAAGGTAGTCTTGCGTGCATGGGACTTGGAACTTGCGGCGAGTTGGAAAAGGGTAGGGAGATGTCTCGTTTGTCAGAATCTACTCAGCGTGCACATCGTTGCGAGGTCGTGCTCTACACCCACTAATTGTCTAGTTAGTGCTTACACGGTTGATCACGGCACGGCATCTCTTGGCACAATAAATAAGCACTCCGACATGCCATGCGAGATAAGGACAGGGCTGTGCACGGTCCCTAGTAGTAAACCTGCCATTGATGATTATGCACACAACCTGTCACCAGCATCCTTCTACAAACGTACAAATCACGTCGTGTGGAACACCCACCAGTCATGACCGCCCTATTGGAAAAGGCAGCGTTCCACATCCTCTTCAGAGACAAGAAGAAGAAAATCGCACACTTCCTTCGCACTACCACTCGGGGTCAGCCAATCCATCAAGCAATCAATCCCTCCATCCATCCATCCATCCCTCGTTGCTTATCATTTACGTTTAGAGTCGCTTTTATCCGAGCTGCACATCAGCCTCGTTCGAGAAGTAGTCACGTCCATTCCACCACAATCCATCTTCGACGCGTCTAGCATCCAAGACTCGACCCATGGACAGCCGTGTAAGTGTTACTTAGCCGCGCCAGAGCGCAGCAGAGGCTGATGCAACCTTGGCTACTGTCTCAGACTGGTCAAGGAAAAGTTTCCAAGCCCATCTCGCCCGAACCCATCCCGACACAATCATCCCCGACACGGCTATCGACGTCCTTTGGTCCTGCTTCTGCTTCTACGCCCTTCAGCCCTTTTCCTTCGCGGAGGCGGACGACCGCAAGGTGGAGCTGCCCGCCTTCGAGCGTGGTCTGCTCCTGCTGTCGCGGCAGGGCACCCGGCTCTTCGGGACTGTAAAAGATGACTTCGGCCGCTGCTGGGGCCGGCTGGATGAGCCGTGCAACTGCGGGCGCCGAACGAATCGCATTTTCCGGAGCATCAGCCGGGTCAATCGCGCGTCAAGCGCGCGTCCGCAATTCGACGGCTTCGACACCTTCGTGACCGATGACATGATAAATGCAATTCTTGCCATCTTCCCATTCCATCCCAAACTGTATCCGTCGCTGGAGCAGGTGCAACCGCTGGCGCAGAGTCTGCTCGGGGACCGAACGGGCCAATATGCGATAAGGGCCGGGGACTTCGCTGCTTTGCTGTCATTGGTCATGAGGCTCAGAGTCCATCAACTGACCTACGATCGGGACTGGCATTACGGCTTCCTAGAGGAGCCCAGTGCAGACACGGAGGAGTTGGTTGGGATCCTGGTCCGATCGTTCAGTCTCGGCCAGGACGAGTATCTGACTCCCGAGATGGTTCTCCACGCTTTGGACATCCTAGTAAGTTGAGTTCCAATCATTCCCGTGTCTTCTTTCCAAACCGTACATCCAACCCTGACGCCGAAACCAGCCAAATCTCGAACAATCGTTCCATCAGCTGTGGGCAACTCTTTTCCAACCCGGCCCGTCCACGGAGCGACCGGATCTAAAGCCCGCATCCTCACTCGACACTATGGACGCGATCCTCCGTGCGGTATCACTCTTCATCCCGCCATTCCAGACCCACCAGCGTTCAGAATTGGCACGAAGAGTCAAGCTGATCACCTTCCACAACTGCTATGATGAGCGATTCCAGGACCCGACCGACAACCTCGACCTGCGGCATATCCTCCAGCAAGCCACGCACAACAGTCCGACCGGTCGCGCGTATCTCATTTTGCTTCTGGGGATTCACGCGCAAGACTCGGACAAGGTGGTGGTGGGTGCATTCTTCCGTGATGCTCCCGCCGCAGACGACAAGGGGCCTCCGGAGAAAGGCAGATCGACCGTCGCCCGTCCGGACCTTCTTTTCCAGCTTCAGCCACAGTTCAGCCTGTTTCGCTGGAGCGGAGAACGCAGCAACAGGCCTCTCTCGCACGACGACGGCAGTGCGACCGGGCATACCGAGCACCGTAACTGCCTCGGGGACCCTGATGGTTCGAGGGTGGCCGTCGAGATTGACGCGGACACAGGACAGGCTACCTTCCTGCGAGGCACGGTCCACGCTGCAGGCGCGCTCTCAGGTGGGTATGAAGAGTTAACAAGGGCTAAGGACAGAACTGCGAGTGTGCACGAGTGGCAAACGAACTTCACCGTGAGCCGCGTCGCCGTCTTCGGTGTGGAGGGCGGGCCGACCTATGCCTACCAGAGTCCGTGGTGAATGCCATGAGCATGTAGTCAGTGTGCCAATGTGTGCTGTGACTATATTCGACTCCTCATACGTTTCGAGTCTAGTGCCGTGTTTGAGCACCATGGCCAGATTTATCTTAAAAGATTGTTCAATACGTATAAACCACCGCCAATGTAGCCCACTTAATGAAACCAGGCTATGAATGGCCTTCTGTAAATGATAGATGTTAACATGAGGGAGTCAGTGAGCTCCTCCTACGCTCGTGTTATATGGAGAGACCATCCAGCCTCTGCCGGCTGCTATTTGTCCTGGCACACTCTCAACGAGCGACAGTTAGGGTTTCGGTGGGCTCTGACTTTGAGCTTATCTTGCACCTGGCCCATGCTTCTTTTTAGTTATCGAGCTATGAGAACAATTCCTTGAGAGGAAGCAAGCAGAGATCGTCAGGTTAAGGGTAAGCAAAGCGCGAGCAGAAGGACTGGGTGGGCAATATCACTTAGTGATCGGGCACTTAGAGATCAGGACCTCTATAGTCAGTCATTTGTCTTGTCGCGTGAGTGTATACCTTGAACAGCAGTCGATTTGGTCTTGCGCCCCGCTATGCAAGTCAGATGACAGCAGCAACAACTCCGATTAGCTTGCAGTACGAAGGCTCAGTCGCTGAATAGCATCAAAAGCTGGGGCTTCCAAGTTATTGAAGCCAGCGTTGCTGTACCGCTATGTTTCGGCAGCAATGGCCATGTACCGTAGGAGTCGGAAGAAGCATAGACCTGTCCTGTCCAACCCCACTTCCATGCAACCGTGCAACAGAGCCATGATTTCCCGTGTGGTGCACAAGGGACTGGACCGATCGACGAATCTCATTTCCTCCCCGACTGCATTAGCGCGCCTCGGCACTTGGGGATGGGACGATTCCTGCATCGGACCAAAGGGACGACCTTCTTCCTCCGAGATGGCCGCCTCTCCTCCCTCCCTCCTCACTGACCCAGAGAAAACTTCATCTATTCTTCTACTCGTGCACGAAGTTCCCGACCAGTCACGCAGACAATGAGACGGTCCTTTCTCGGGCATCATGAAGCTGTTCCTGGCCGAGGTCAGACGCCCACTATGGCCGCGGCTTAAGGTGCCGCATACGTCCAACCGGCAGACCAGGAGCCTCACGTCCACCACAAGACGGTCACAGCAAGACCACAGTTCGTCCTCTACTTCAGATTTGTTCAACTACACGTCAGGACGATGGATGTCTGTAGCAGATCTTCATTCCCGACCGCGCACCGTGCAGAACTGACCTCCTCCCCAGCCACGACGAGCATCTCCGCAAATCCCAACGCAGACGCCCGTTCAACGTCGCGGAACTCATACGCCTGGCCGCCGCCGCAATCAACGCGCCCGCCACCGAGGTCGCCAGCCTCCGAAAACTCGGCGAGGGCGGCTTCAACCGCACCTTCCTGGTCACCATGCGCGACGGCTTCCAGCTCGTGGCCCGCATCCCCTACCCCGTCACCGAGCCCAAGTACCTCCTCGTCGCGAGCGAGGTGGCCACCATCGAATACCTACGTTGGCGGGGGTTCCCCGTGCCCCGCATCTACGGATACTCGGCCACCGCGGACAATGCCGTAGGCACGGAGTATATCTTCATGGAGTGCGCGGCGGGGCGGCGCCTCACGGATCGCTGGTTCGATCTGTCGGAGCAGGAGCTGGCGGGGGTGGTGGAACGGATCGTGGCGCTGGAGGCGAGGCTGTTTGCGCTCGATTTCCCGGCGAGCGGGAGTCTCTTCTTCGAGCGGGACCTGCAGTGCATGGAGACGGTGCGGGTTTCGGATGAGGCGGGTGCCGTGGGGGACGGTCGGTTTTGCATGGGGCCGGAAGTCACACGGGGGCTTTGGTTGGGGCAACGCCGGATTTTGCCGGTGCATCGTGGTCCATGTAAGACTTCTCGCGGCCTTCTCTTCGCCTGACGAAAGATGGATGAGCCAGCCGATACTGATTGAACTAGATACGAGCCCCGTAGATATCCTGGCTGCCGGGGCTAGGAAGGAGATTGTATATCTCGAGGAATATGGTCAGCCTGTGCGAGCATCGAAGCATCGCCCCGCAAATCGGTCCTACAAGCAGTCGCCCAGGGACCATATCAACAATCTGGCCGACTACCTTCAGGTTGCGCCGTACTTGGTTCCGAGCGATGCGTCTTTGACACGACACACAATCCGGCACCCGGACCTGCAACCCAGTAACATATTCGTCAACGAGGACCTGGAGATTACGGGCCTGATCGATTGGCAGTATAGCACTATCCGGCCGCTGTTCCTGCAATGTGGGATCCCGGCCAATTTTCAAAGCGCGGATGGCGATATCCCCAGCCTACTGCAAGAGCCACGATTGCCGGATGGATTCGACAGGCTGAGCGAAGCAGACCAACACTGCGAGCGAGAGCTCTTCCGAAGCCGCTGGCTGCATTATTGCTATCTCACGGCGACGGCCAAGCTCAACCCGCCCCATCAGGCCGCCCTGACCGGGGCCTTGGGAGTTTTGCGGCGGAGGTTGTGCCACCAGGCGGCTGTTCCCTGGGATGGGGATAATGTCACCCTCAAGGCAGATTTGATTCAGCTGACGATAAATTGGGATCGGCTTGTACGATCGGAAGATGCAAACGCCGCAGCCTGCCCGATCGCGTATAGTCAAGACGAGGTGAATGAGTGCCTGCAGTTGAACACTGCGCAGGTGGCGTTGGATGAGCAAAAGCGACTGTCGAGGGAGGTACTGGGTGTTGGATCTGAAGGATGGGTGGCTGCGGAGCGATACGACAATGTGAAGGCATGCGAGGAGGTTTTGAAGATTGATGAGCTATCTGTTGCCGATGCTAGTAAAGAGAGCATCTTAGGTTAGTGGGTATCTAGAGATTGAGCAGGTGGGTGGCTTGTTGATGGTCGCATTGAATCACGAGTTGTGAAAGTGATGATAAGAGGTTCACCTGAGGTTCACACCAGTGTCACTTGAAATAGGCTTCACCGGTTGGTGGTCCTTGAGGTCTGAGAGACGCGATGTCACTATTGAACCCTGCAATGCAGTCCTTAGCTGGTTCTTCTTCAGGCAAAATAGAACTTGAAAGACTTCGTCGAGTGTTGTTAGTGTAGTTTGACATTCAACTTGGACCTTCGATCGGGGCACTGGGCAGTGCTCCCACAAACAAGTAAGCAGTCAAAGAGAATCATTATGCATTGTTGATTGTCCCGACTAGGAGGACCAGGACGCGGGTGCTAAATTATTATCTTGACCACGTCCGTAGTAAACGTGTTCTGGGCCCGTAGCTAGTGTCTTGCATGTCTGGCATGGCGCATGGCCTTGTACGAACTGCTGAGTAACTTGACCCGTCAATGCAGAGGTCGATGAGCCAGTGATCCAAGGATAGACCTGGACATCGCTTTGAAGTGCACAGACGAGGATCCCGACCTAAGGTGCACCTTGCAAGGCGAGAGACTTTAAGACATGAAGTTTCCGATCGGGCAAAGTGTGCTGAAAATAGATCCGATCCCTTGCTTTGACAGCCCACTGGAACCGCGAAAGGGGCGACATGGACCTACTTCGGCAAAACGCCGCACCGTTCATCCGTGAGGAAGTTTTGATGATTTGAGTCAGGCAACGGCGCGCGATTCCTCCAGTATCGATGCAAGCGACAATTCATTTGGTTTAATGAATGTGAGTTGGCGTGGTTGACACATTCCTGGGGGTGGAATCATCAAAGCCCCTGGCCCTGGAATGAGAGTCGGGATGGATTCTAGGCTGATCCATGGATCCTGGGCAGGCTAAATCAAGGTTCAATCGAGTTGGATCAACACAACACGAGATGCGATCGACAATGCTAACTTCGGTTTAAACTATTCTAAACTGAGCAGTTTGCATGGTGAACACGGCGGGCGATATGGGCGATATGGTAACCATGACTTCATGTGCCAGGAAGCCATTCACTCTCCCATATGTAGTGGGGATTTTCCTGCGGCATTCTGGGGAACCAGCGATGGGGAGGGAATCCACCGGATTGCATCATGAAAGAGGAGCCCAGTGGCCCGGTGGAGCCCAGGAACGAGGTTATTGGGGCATAGTGGCCTGCATATTTTTACTTAGTACGGAGTACTCCGTACCACACAGGTCAATCTGACAGGGCTTGCTTGATAGAAAGTACGAATCGGGGATGGCCGGTGAGGGGGGGGAGAGGGGGGTGAAGGGGGAAGAGAGAGGGATGAGCTGCTGATGAGAACAGGGTGAGGATAGTTCGGTTAGTGTCTGTAGGAAAGAGAAAGAGAGAGAGAATTGAAGAGAGAGAGCATGGGTCGGACTGGGTCAGCAGAGCAGAGAGCAAGAGAGAAGAATTGGAAGAATTGGAAGAATTGCCAAGGTCGCTTCAGGGTCCAGAAAGCGAAACTACCAGAGACTACGCCCAACTGGGCGATAGTCACTCTCCAGGCCGCGCAACTCCCTTTCACTGACTGCACTGCCCATTCATTCATTCAATCATTCATTCATTCATTCATTCTCATTCAATCTCTCCCTCTCTCCCTCTTCAAGCCACTCAATCTCATCATCATTATCACCACCATCAACATCATCCCGCCCCGGAACAGGCTTTCTCTCCTTCCCCCCCCCCCCCCCCCCCCCCCCCCCCCCCCTCCTCTCTCTCTCTCTCTCTCTCTCTCTCCCTCTCGTTCTCTTGGCTATCTTGCTTTCCTCCGACTGACAATCCTCTTTTCTACTATTCTCTCCCTTTCCCTTCCCTCTCCGCCCCTCCCTACCTCCCTCCTCCTCCTCCTCGTCCTCCTCCCTCACCACCCCCCCTCCCATTCTCTCTCCCCATCTAGCTTCGGGGGTCCCAACTAAATCGAAAGACTCAGCGCCCCCGTCCTCCGGTGTTTTCGTGGAGCTCCTCTCGTCACTCGTTCCACCTGTTCAGTCCTCTCGCTTGATCCAGTCTGTCGACATATCATGGTTGATACCCGTCAGTAAACATTCCTGACGGTCCCCACCGCCATCACTTCAGCCGCCGAAAACGTAGTCGTCATGGCACCTTGGCCTCAGGCCTGGACCGCCAGTCATGCTGCTGCTGCTTTGCGACCCTTCCCTCTGATCGCATACCTCTCGCTATTCACCCTCCTCGCTTCCACCGTCGCCCATGCGCAAACTGTCGCTATCCTACCTTCCGCTGCCTCTTCCTCCTTTCCCTCCTGCGGCCTAACCTGCTCCGTCCTCCTCCAAGCCCAATCCGACTGCCTGCCACCCGCTGCTCCGCAGACAAACTCCGCCACTTACGCCTCCTGCTTCTGCCATTCACATAATCTCACCGAGCTTCGCACCTCCTTGGACGCTGTCTGCGACGATACCTGCACCAATGCCTCCGATCGCTCGTTAATACAGACATGGTACAACAACTACTGCGCGGTCGGAGCCTCAGTTGCCGACGCTGACCCCACGAATAACGAGGAGGAAAACTGGCAGGCCCATTCCGCTCAATCAGTCACCAAGATCCGCGCGTATAGGAGAACTGCCGCTTCCAACGCTTGGTAGGTATTCCGGAGCGACCAGACTTTCCCGACGTGGGCGCAACTTTGCTGACGTGTCGCTTTGCAGGTGGTCAACACACTACAAATGGGTGATCATGGTCATCATCCTGGTCGTCGGATTCAGCATCATCAGCGTGGTGGGCGTATGGGCGAAGCGCCGCCATGATCGGAAGTACCCGGGTCTGTATCACGCCGCAGCCACGGGTGGTACAGACAGTGCTCTGCTGGCCGCCCGCCAGCAAGAGATCGGTCCCGCGCCAGGACCTGATACGCGCGCGCCGGGTCAATTCATGCCCGCTCAGTATGACCCCGCCCAAGATCCCGGATCCATCGCCAGCAGTTCACACACCAACGTCGCTGCCGCTGCCGCTGTCGCTGCTGCCAACGCCCCCGGGCCCCGGCCAGCGCGCACGTCATCCCGTCTGCAGAAGACGCAACCCGTATCCGACAGTGACACCGAAATCCGCGAAGTGGCTCGGTGAAACCAGACTCACAGAGGCCTCGTTTTAAAGTAGCTGTCCATGATTAGTCATCCCGGGAACCTTGCGCTGTCTCTACCGAACAACTGGTGGCTGGTGACCTGCCGCGCTTTCTAAATCTAATGTTGAAAGGCAAACACGACATCGCATTCCCTCCTCCTTTTCTTCTACCTCTTCTATTTAACTGGCAAACCAACTGCCATGGATCGATCGCAAACGCAGTCACCCCTTCACGGACAAAAAAAAAACGACATAGTCCCTCCCGCTGATCTTTGCATATATCCGGCGTTCTGATTTTGTCTATAAGGGTATTGATTATTTACCGTACAGTACCAGTGATTCTTTTGTTTCCCCAAAATGCACAGTACAAAGCATCACTTTACTTTCGTTTTTCGCATCCCCTCAAATCCTGTTCCGGATGTTGTGCATAGTTTACGGGTTCAGGCATTTTCCATGCGGTTGACTTGACGTCATTTTCGATCGAATATATTCTTCTTCTGTCCTCTTCCACTGTTGTTCCTCTTGCACATTTGCGAACCCAGCGTCGGATTATGAGATGCACCCTTCTATGGTCTTACGGCATCGGGGACACTCTGATCATTCGTTTTAGTGACGAATTGTTGGTTTCATTGGCGGCATGAGAACTCCGCATGCTTACCGATTCTCGCCAAGGATACTATCGTAGTCCGTCCCAATTTAGTGACGGCAGAATGCCAGAAATCGAAAGATGAATCACCCCCGCGCTCGCCCACATGCAGAAATCAGTAAAACCCCAAAACATATGTATAACATGCTAAGATTAGAGATAGATCGTGATTCGTACAAAGCTGCCGATGGCTGAGGACGGATATAAAGTCTAGATGTACAGTGAGCCCAGCCAGAGGCAGGACCCAAGAAGAGCAAGGCTTGCCGAAGGGGAAGAGAATGAAAGAAAAAGATAGAAGTAAAGAATAAGCGCTACTCGTTCTCGGTTCCCACTTACGACACCGTGATACTCACGATCTTGATATCCTGCTCGGGCTTCTCCTTGTACGTCTTGGTGTTCTCGATCTTATGCACGACGTCGAGGCCCTGCACGGCGCGCCCGAAGACCGTATGCTTGCCGTCCAGCCAGGGGGTCTTCTCGGTGGTGATGAAGAACTGGCTGCCGTTGGTGTTGGGGCCGGCGTTGGCCATGGACAGGGTGTAGGGCTTATCGTGCTTGAGGCTGGAGAATTCGTCCTCGAACTCACCGCCCCAGATGGACTCGCCGCCGGTGCCGTCGCCGAGCGGGTCGCCGCCCTGGATCATGAACTTGCGGATCACGCGGTGGAAGATCGTGTTGTTGTAGTACCCGGCGCGGGCGTGGGTGGTGAAGTTCTCGACCGCCTTGGGCGCCGCCGACGGGTACAGCCGCAGGTGGATGTCGCCCATCGTGGTGTGCAGGATTGCCGACGTGCCCAGCTCGGCTTTGTGGGCGGTGGTGGCCTCGCGGCCGCCGGCGCCGGCCTCGCGCGGCCGTTCGTTCTGGACGTCGCGCGTGGACTTGGACACGTCCGTCTCGTTGGTGAAGAGGTAGAAGCGCAGTTTGCCGTAGCCCGTGCTGATGAGGATCGGATCGCGTTCTTCGGATTCCTGGAGCAGCGGGTTGGCGCTGGCCGCCATCGAGACCGTCACGACCCCCTTCTTCTGCGGCTGCCCTTGGTACACGGCGAGGTTGAGCGCCCGGAACGGCTCGTCCTTGGCGTAGACGCGCACCACCCGGTTGGTGTAGGTGTTGATGCACTTGACGCCGTGCAAGGAGCCGTACAGGATGAAGTGGCCTGACTCGTCGAAGAGGACGTTGACCTTGGGCTTGGTGATGGGGTTCTCCAGCTCACGCTCCACCGCCAGTCGCCGGCCGAACTCCACCTCTTCAAGCTGGTAGAGCGCCGTCCCGGCCTGCTGCATCTCCATGATGGTGGTGAGGGATTCGTCGTACTTGCGATAGAGCTTGCCGGAAGCGAAGTCGAAGACGCGGATTTGGCGGTCGGGGAAGGAGATCGTCGCGAACTGCTCGCCGGAGGGGGAGATGGACAGCGAGGCAGGGGTGGATTTGGACTTCTTGAACTCGAAGAGGTTGGTGGATGATTTCAGTTCGAATACGTTGTCGGGTTTCTCGAACGAACCGTCACCCGCCCGCCAGTACTCAATCATCCCGGACTCATCGGCGGAGATGACACAATCGTACGCGTCGTTGAACGCAATTGCGACCACTGGGCTGCGGTGGATGGACTTGACGGTATGTAATGGGGTGGGGTTCTCGCCACGGCCGTCGAAGACTTGAATCATGCTGCTCTCTTCGTCGGTCACTGCCAGGAGCGGTAATGAGGCGCCCCGGCGATGAACCCAGCAGACGCAACGGGGGTTGAAGTCGAGAGTGAGCATAGCCAATAGATCTGCAACCAATGTTAGCCTGAGTCGAGTCGATGCATGGCTGTAGAAAATATACCGAAAGTGATAACGTCGAAGATCTTGACAGTCTTGTCTGCTCCAGTCGTCGCAAAGCTCCTTCCGTCGGCACTGACGCTGACATGCTTGATCTCGGTTGAATGCGCCTTGAACTCCTTCACAAACTCCACGCCCACGGCCATTTTCTTCCAGAATTTGACAACGCCATCGATAGATGAGGTGATCAGGAAATCGGTATGCGGGGTTACGGTGAGGAAGGACAATTGATCCTTGTGCATGAGCGACTTGGAGTACCGCGGCGACGAGGGCAGCGCATTCACGTAGACTTTCTCGAAAGGGAGCTTGCGGCGTTTCTTCTTCGGGGCATCGGCGGAGGGAAGAGCTGGACCGAAGTCATCATCGGATGACGAGTCGTCACCTAGGAAAAAGCGTCAGCAACTGATCGAGCCCGAGGATGTCTTGTTTCGCAACCGTGTGCTAATGCTCCAGGTATCATGCGGGCGTACCATCCTGATCGCCGCCATCCACGGCGGATATGGGACGTTTGGCGGATGCCAGCTTCTGCTCCTCTTCAGCAGGCATTATGAATCGAAGTATTAGTGAGTGACGCTGTAATTGAGTGGGATGTAAAGTGGACGAGGGCGCTGGTCGACAGGAGACCGGCGACAGACGGGGCGGGCGGTCAGGTCGGGCAGTATCACGAACTTTTCTGGTTTGTCCCGCATTGGCTAGAGTTGGCCGTTCTCTGCGTTCTCACCGTCTAGCTCAAGCAACCCCTGAGCTGCCAGCCTTTCCCCTGACGGTAGCCATCTTTTTACTATCTACAGTCATCATGGTACGTTACTTTGACAAGATTTTGTTTCGGTTTCATCGATAATCAGTGCTGACCCGCCTGCAGTCCTTCGCCAACCCCACGCAGATCTTCGCCGACGATGTGATCGAGGAGAAAGGAGAGAATGCTCGTCTTTCCGCCTTCGTCGGTGCTATCGCCGTCGGTGACCTTGTGAAGAGTACTCTGGGTCCTAAGGGAATGGACAAGATTCTCCAGTCAGCGTATGTGGGATGATCGATGGGAACATGGCGGGGTTGCCAACCGCGAGCAGTGGGCTAATTCTATCGGTGCCTTTAGGTCGACCGGCGATATTCTTGTTACGAACGACGGTGCCACGATTCTGAAGTCGATTGCCCTTGACAACGCCGCAGCCAAGGTCCTCGTTAACATCTCGAAAGTCCAAGACGATGAAGTCGGTGACGGTACGACATCGGTGACGGTGTTGGCGGCCGAGCTGCTGCGGGAAGCCGAGAAGCTGGTCAACCGCAAGATCCACCCTCAGACTATCATCGAAGGTTACCGGATAGCCAGCAAGGCTGCCTTGGAGGCTCTGGAGAAGGCCGCCGTTGATCGTAGCACGGATAAGGAACTGTTCCGCAAAGACCTCCACGCAATCGCTCGCACAACCCTCAGCTCCAAGGTTTTGGCCCAAGACCGTGAGCACTTCGCTACCCTCGCCTGCGATGCTGTTCTCCGCCTCCGCGGCTCGACCGACCTGAGCCACATCCAGATCATCAAGAAGGCCGGTGGCAAGCTCAGCGACTCATACCTCGATGAAGGTTTCATTCTCGACAAGAAGATCGGTGTGAATCAGCCCAAGCGCCTGGAGAACGCCAAGATTCTGGTTGCCAACACGGCTATGGACACGGACAAGGTGAAGATCTTTGGCGCCCGGGTGAAGGTCGAATCGACGGGCAAGCTGGCCGAGCTGGAGAAGGCCGAGCGCGAGAAGATGAAGGCTAAGGTTGAGCGGATCAAGGCTCACGGCATCAACTGCTTTGTCAACCGCCAGCTTATCTACAACTGGCCCGAGCAGCTGTTCACGGAAGCCGGTATCATGTCTATTGAGCATGCCGACTTCGACGGCGTGGAGCGCTTGGCTCTGGTTACCGGTGGTGAGATCGCCTCGACTTTTGATCACCCCGACCAGGTTAAGCTGGGTCACTGCGATGTTATCGAGGAGGTTATCATCGGCGAGGATACTCTTATCAAGTTCTCGGGCGTGGCTGCCGGTCAGGCATGTACCATTGTGCTCCGTGGTGCCACGGAGCAGCTCCTCGACGAGGCTGAGCGCTCCCTTCACGACGCTTTGGCTGTTCTTTCCCAGACTGTCAAGGATCCCCGTGTGACTCTTGGTGGCGGCTGTGCCGAGATGGTCATGGCCAAGGCTGTGGAGCAGGCCGCTCAGAACACGACGGGCAAGAAGCAGCTGGCCGTCGACTCTTTCGCTTTGGCCTTGAAGCAGCTTCCCACCACCCTCGCCGACAACGCCGGTCTGGACTCCAGCGACCTTGTGACCCGCCTGCGCCAGGCGATCAACAACGGTATGACCAGCTCCGGTTTGGATCTGCTCACCCCTGGCGGTGGCATTGCCGACATGCGCGAGTTGGGCGTCGTGGAGGCCTACAAGCTGAAGAAGGCTGTGGTCTCTTCCGCGTCGGAGGCAGCCGAGGTAAGACCGCGCTCCCTAACTACTGCTCTTTCCACTATTTTTAGAGGGTTCATGCTAACATGCTCATTTCCAGCTTCTTCTACGTGTGGACAACATCATCCGGGCGGCACCTCGTAGACGTGACCGGGTTTGAGGCGAATTCATGTGAAAATAATTTCCAGTGAGGGGTGGACAGGGGTAATAAATAAAACTCGACATTTTATGGTTCCCATTGAGTTGCGATCAGAAACCCGGGGACCGGGACGATGTATGTTTAAATAGCGCGCTTGAGTCGAAGCGCAGTAATTACCGTTCAAAGACCGTTTCGATACGTTAAAGGTATGTAGCTGGTGAAGGTCCCTACCGCGTTGACCTTATCGCCGATGGCCCTAGTCTGTATCTTGCAGAGATTGATATGGATAACCAACTAGCATGGAGCTAATCAAGGCCCGTCTTACTGTATGGTCCGCGGAGAAAGGAAAGTTATCGGCTTCAAGTTGTAGTAATGCTAGCCATTGACCGGTGTGACCCTTCAAGGTGATCAAGGTACTGTCTCGTAGGATCTTGGTCTAGTGAGGTGGAACTGCTGCAGAGACTCGTCCCTGAATTGATGGATAATGAATGATCGTGGTGAAGCTGGACTCCCGGTCGGAGAATATATTCCGTGCAGCCGCATGGCCAGTCCGCCGTTACTATCCGGTGCCACAGATGAGCAAAGAATACGGGATGAATGAGGCTTCTATCGGACTTGATTGTTCACGATGCTCCGTGATTGATCTGGAGTACAAATACAATAAAGCACAATTGGTGCTGCGTGTATATGTCAAGATTTGTAGAGGAGGAGGTGCCTGGATTGAAGCTCAGCTCAGCTCAGCTCAGCTTCGACGCGGGAGATCCACCGTTCAGTTCGAGTTGGAGTTGGACCCTTGAGTTTCTTTCCCCGCAGGGTCACTGACCACTTGGCCGGACTTGGTTTAGTTTGAGTTGGAAAGGTACCATCTGATGTAGCCTAATGCTGAAAGTAGGGTAGGATACACGGATTGAATTTCTACTCGTATCCTATTTTTACCTATTCCGACTCAACTGACTAGGTCATCAATCATCAATGTGACACCCCGGCAGAATCTTCCCTCTTCCCTCTTCCCTCTCACGCTCGTTAAATAGCCTAATGCCGTCATGGCCATACGTTACTTCACCTTCCCTCCCTCTTTGGCTCCTTAGTCTCTCCTTCTTCCTTTCCTTTCCTTTCCTTCCATCCCCTTCTCCAGATCTCTGAGCTCCGACTCTCACACCCCCTCACGATAGACTCATTCCTTACCCCACAAGCAGTGAGCTCACGTCAGACCTAGTGCACCCTCTCCCCGCGCCCTAGTCTGCATACCTGCTATCTTCAATCGGTGGAATCTCCCTCCACTCCTTATAATCAGTCTCGACTTCGACTGTGACCTCGAGCCCCTCCCGCATTCTGCCAATCTCTTTCAGCCTTCGTCCCTACACCTTTCGCCCACGCGCCTGCGCATGTCGAGGCAGCGGCCGCCTCATTCCTTCGCTTGAGACACCCTTCATAGTCTATAGAGCATGGTCTTGTCCCCGCGCTGGTGGACGGCTCTGCTGGCCGTCCTTACCGCCAGCCAGAACACAGTCAGAGCGATACAGTTAGATCTCAATGATGAGCGTAAGCGCATACATACCTGTCCACGCGCATGATTCATGCGCCAAGCACTGACCTTTCTCTACATAGAATCGATCAAGAACGCCGCCGCGACGGCAGCCTACAACATGATGAGCTACTACCACGGCAACGAATCCGGCCAGATACCGGGCAAGTTGGTAGATACCTGGTGGGAAGGAGGCGCCATGTTTATGACTCTGATTCAATATTGGTACTGGACCGGCGACACGTCCTATAACCCAGTCACCACCGAGGGTATGCTCTGGCAGAAGGGCCAGAACGATTACTTCCCCGCCAATTACAGCAACTATCTCGGTAACGATGACCAGGTGTTCTGGGGTCTGGCTGCGATGACGGCTGCCGAGTTGAATTACCCAGAGGAGGACGGCCAACCGTCTTGGCTCTCGCTCGCGCAGGGCGTCTTCAACACTCAGGTACCCCGCTGGGACACCACCAGTTGTCAAGGTGGGTTGCGCTGGCAGCTGTGGCCCTACCAGGCTGGATACACCACCAAGAATGCTATTTCCAACGGTGGTCTCTTTCAATTGGCGGCGCGACTGGGGCGCTACACCAACAATCAGACGTACAGCGACTGGGCGGAGAAAATCTACGACTGGATGGCGACCACCCCGCTCCTGAGGGAGGACGAGTGGACCATTGCCGATACGACCACGACGCAGACAGAGTGTAAAGATCATGGGGATCTCCAGTGGACGTACAATTACGGAACATACATCAGTGGAGCGGCCTATATGTATAACCACGTATGAGAGCGTCCTGACCTGATGGTCTCCCCCAAGTGACTACAGGAAGCTAACAAGGATTAGACCAACGGTGGCGACAAGTGGAAGAAGGCGCTCGACGGCTTGCTCGGAACTACCTTGCAGAAGTTCTTCCCCCAAGAATTCGGCGGGAACGTCATGTCCGAAATCTCCTGTGAACCGAATATGATGTGCGATCGCAATCAAGACTGCTTCAAGGGATTTCTGTCATCCTGGTTGACATTCACCACCACCATTGCGCCGTACACCGCGGGCGAGATCATCCCGAAAATCCAGCAGTCGGCCCTGGCAGCGGCCAAGCAATGCTCTGGCGGCAAGTCGGGCACTGAATGCGGCCGACGCTGGCACCAGGCGACGTGGGACGGGGAGACTTCACTGGAGTCTGATATGAGTGCACTGAGCGTCTTCTCTTCCACTATGATTGCCCACAAGGGCCAAGAACAGAGTCATCAGGGACCGTTGACTTCGGATACTGGGGGCACCAGCAAGAGTGATCCCAACGCGGGCACCGCCCCGAAGAATCCACCCAACGATCTGCCGGAGATCACGGCCGGGGATCGGGCGGGTGCTTCAATTCTGACGGTGGCGTTCGTATGTGGTTGGACTGCTGCTGTGGCCTGGTTGGTCTATGGTGGTTAGTTCAGCGTGTAGAAGTATATATTTCTCTTTCAGTGGCAGGCGTTGCCGTTTGTATATAGGAAAGTCTTCTGTGGCAGGCGTATCTCTATTGCTCCTTGCTTGCCATCGCTCAATGACTCTTTGTATTAATATTTGGAAGGTGGCTGTCCTTGTGATGTTGGTTGTCCGCTATGCGCGCTTGCTGAGAGGCTTAGGAAGGGCATTATGCCCCTGGCTGCGAGTTTCTGCTTCAATGGGCAGCAGCTTGACCCTCAATAGAACTTTGCTTAAATGTGATTTGTCTGGATAGCTGATTTTGAGGAATGATTCCGTGAGGTATGCTATCTAGCGACAGGTTTAGCTTGCGGCAGTCTATCCTGGGCTCTCGTCCAAACAATTGAAGTGGTCAATGGAGCAATTTACCAGTATCATAATGCATGTTAGGAAGAACAAATACAAGGAGCTTCAGACTGGGAATGGTCATGCGCTCAGATTTCATCGCCTACGATTGTCTACGAGAATACGGAAGTTCAGTTCGGTCCAAATTATGGTTCCATTGGTATTAAACTGGTAAACTGTTTGTAATAGATTGAAGGGCGAGATCTTGTAACCGCTAACATCACAGGGTTACTCGGAAGGGGTCATCCTCCCACAGACATATCTCAGCCGGCATCAACAGACACACACGTCCCAATTCCAATCGGATGGTTCCTTGTCCCAGAAGGATGGTTGGAGGCGGGGACAGGTCAGCATCGCCCGGGATAGTCGACCGAGGTCGACCATCCACGAGTACTGGCAAGCTAAACGCCTTTCTTCATCTTGGATTTAGTTGTGTGATGAAGAAAGGAAAGAAAAAGGAAAGGAAGAGCGGAAACACTCGCGCGAGAAGAAAAACGATTCTCCTCGGCAAGCGGCCGCTCTGTTGTTCCGAGTGCACGTACCGCCCGGAGATGCTAGTCTGTTTCCGGCCTCGGGGAAACAGCTTCCCGCGGGCAACGGAGCAGCAGCAGTTGTCCGACAAGCTGATAGGAAGCGCAACTGGCTTGTCGCCTTTTGTCCCTCGCTGCTCGCTGCGTGCCTCGCTCCTCTCCCCGTCTCCCCCGTCTCTTATAATTCCGGGGAAAGAACCTCGCTTCCTGTTCGACTTTTCCGATTGTCGCGTGTCTCGAGGTCTTGACTGATCAATTCGTTCGACTCTTCTTTCCCCCTACCCCAATCTCAGACCTTCACCATCCACTACATCACACCACACTCCACACATCATGTTGGGTCGTTGCGGACGACAGGCTTCGCGCCTGCTCCCGCGCACTGCGAAGCCGGCTTTCGTGCTCCCTCGTCCCATGCGCTCGGCGGTGGCTCCTTTTCCTTCTATGACTGTTCAATCTCGCTCTGTTTCCTCATCCAGCCCTGAAGTGCAACAAAATGTGCGTCCTGGTGCCCCGAATAGCATCGCTCCCATGGCCCCGGCGATGTCTGATGTCATACCACCCGTACTAACCATCGGAGTAGTTGCTTTCCGCCCATCTCGAAGAGTCCGACCCCGCCATCTACCAGATCCTCCAGCAGGTTGGTCCACCTACTTGCAATGCAATCAGGACTGGAATTGATGAAGTATGACTATCGCAGGAGAAAAAACGCCAACAGCATTTCATCAACCTCATCCCCTCCGAGAACTTCACCTCCCAGGCGGTCCTCGATGCCTTGGGCAGTGTTATGCAGAGTCAGTCAACCGCCAATCCGAACACATTCGACTGAGGTACTGGAATGAATACTGACGTTGACCAGATAAATACTCCGAGGGGTATCCTGGAGCTCGGTACTACGGCGGCAATGAGTTCATTGACCAGTCCGAGCGCCTCTGTCAGCAGCGAGCGCTGGAGACCTTCGGTCTCAACCCGGAAGAATGGGGCGTGAACGTGCAGCGTAAGTACCTTCATTCAGCTTGTCGTCAGTCAACTTGTAGGCCTAGTCTAATTGATTGCAGCTCTCTCCGGCTCCCCTGCCAACCTGTACGCCATCTCTGCCGTCCTGAACACACACGATCGCCTGATGGGTCTCGACCTGCCCCACGGCGGACACCTGTCCCACGGCTACCAGACACCTACCAAGAAGATCTCTTTCATCTCGAAGTACTTTGAGACTCTGCCGTACCGATTGGACGAGTCGACGGGTCTCATCGACTATGACGGTCTCGCGAAACAGTCTCTGCTCTACCGCCCCAAGATGATTATCGCCGGTACCTCGGCCTACAGCCGATTGATCGACTACGCGCGCATGCGGGAAATCGCCGACGCCGCCGGTGCGTATCTGCTCAGCGATATGGCGCACATCTCTGGTCTGGTCGCTGCCGGCGTCCTCCCCTCGCCGTTCACCCACTCCGACATCGTGACGACCACTACACACAAGTCCCTGCGCGGTCCGCGCGGGGCGATGATCTTCTTCCGCAAGGGTGTCCGCCGGACGGACAAGAAGGGCAACAAGGAGATGTATGACCTCGAGGGTCCGATCAACGCCTCCGTCTTCCCCGGTCACCAGGGCGGGCCCCACAACCACACCATCACCGCCCTGGCCGTGGCGCTGAAGCAGGCCCAGTCGTCCGAGTTCAAGACCTACCAGCAGACCGTGCTGGCCAACGCACAGGCTCTCTCGGAGCGACTGGGATCGCCCCTCAGCAGCGGCGGACTGGGCTACAACATCGTCTCCGGCGGTACCGACAACCACCTGGTGCTGGTGGACCTGAAGAACCGGGGGGTGGACGGCGCGCGCGTGGAGCGGGTCCTCGAGCTGTGCGGTGTCGCCAGCAACAAGAACACGGTGCCGGGCGACCGGTCGGCGTTGAAGCCCGGCGGCCTGCGTCTGGGCACGCCCGCCATGACGACGCGGGGCTTCCAGCCGGAGGACTTCCGTCGGGTGGCGGATATCGTGGACCGGGCGGTGGTCATCACGCAGAAGCTGGACAAGGCGGCCAAGGAGAGCGCGACGGCCAAGGGCGTCAAGAACCCGAACACGGTCAAGGCGTTCCTGGACTACGTGGGCGAAGGCGAGGAGATCTCAGAGATCGTGCAACTGCGCCAGGAGGTCGAGGACTGGGCGGGCACGTTTAGTCTGCCGTGGGCCAAGGACGAGTAGTTTTGCTGTTGTTTGCTAGTTTTTATTGTCGGCATGTCTGCGAAGAACCATATCCCTACTAGATGAATGAATATTGATGTCCGTTTATTGGTCTTTGTTTTTACAACACGAGCAAAGCGCATCGCAATCCATGATCATGTAGATGTATACCTTGGAAGACTGGTAAAGTAGCCCCAACAATTGCATGGCAGATCCCGGTGGCAGGTGACAAATATTCATGCTTTATGGCGATTCACATTCTGTCCTTGGAATATGGTGCAGCATCCATGGAAGGAGACGAGTCATACTTCAAGATCCATGAGTAAGAATTGGCACTTCCATGGATGGGTGCCGATTCGTACCTGCTCCCTGCTGGCCGACCCTCGTACTTATAGCTCTGGCTGTGACGCTAAACGATTGGTCATTGATCCCGGAGCTGCTCAACAGATCCAGCCGATTGGCTGACACCGCCGAGGTTAAGCTCACTGTTGCGCGGGCTGCCGACTGATAACGTTTCCTCCGTACCAGCGTGTAATTCATGGTATTGCCTGTGGTACTATACGGCCAGAATCTGTGCATTCATCAGAGGGATAAATCTATACCTGCAGGATTGCATCTCTGAGAAGTGTGGTTCAATGCCATGGCATATAGCTAAGAGGGCAGGATGGATTGCAGCAGAAACAACCATCATGGATGCATGGCCGAAGCAGATCCAGCGATCCCGCAATGACGTCGACCCACGTGACCGCGCCCGGGGGGAGCTTCCCCTCAAAACCGAATGGTAAAGTATTGGAAGGGGAGGTAACTTTCACCCACTGCACTGACACTGGCAATTAAATAGCTGGCCTATCTCCCCGAAGGCCCCGGTGTTAGACTTCTTCTGGCTGTGAATTCTCCTCTCTTCTCTTTTTACAATCTACTAAACAATCGTGACTTTGTTTCCCAAAGTTCTTGTACACAAACACCCCTCACCGCAGTTACTCCGGGGCTTTCCATCCCCCGCACTCTTGGTCGGACAGAGGTAGCGAAGACGACAAATTTAGCACCACAGGTTCTCACGGCGCAACTTTTCCAATTTGCGGGAGAGTTGTTTTTGTGGTTCTGGTTTTGTGAGATAAAAAGCGCACGCATATAATGGAGAGGTTTATCCGTCCGGTCTCGAAACAGTTGTTGCATTCGTCGCGGCCGCGTTATCCCTTCCGTCTTCCTCCGCCGGTTTATGCGAAGCGGTTGTATAGCGATATGGGGCATACGGTCCCTCCGGTGAGTTGTCTGGTTGAAGTGCTTCTGGTGAAAGGGGTGAGGTTTGTTTTGAAATGCTGATCGGTTCTTGTTTTGGGCTTGGTAGTTGAAGGACAAGTCGCTCTTCATTGAGAAGGCTTACGTCAATGGGGAGTGGGTTGGTGCTGAGTCTGGGGAGACGTTCGAGGTCCATGGTACGCAGCTCCATCATCATCATCATCTGCTATACCCCGTGAAGGAGATAGGGGCAGGCTAATAGGTTCTCCCTCGCACGCGCAGACCCCGCCTCCGGCTTGCTCATCGGAACATGCCCCGAGTTCTCCTCCGCCGATACCGAGAAGGCCATCCTGGCGGCCAAGGAAGCCTTCCCGGCCTTCCGCACGACCCTCGCCCGCGAGCGTGCGCGCATGCTGCGGCGCTGGTACCAGCTGATGGTGGATAACGCGGACGACCTGGCGACCTTGATCACATGGGAGAACGGCAAGCCCTTTGCCGACGCCAAGGGCGAGGTCAACTACGCGGCCGGGTTCTTCGAGTGGTTCAGTGAGGAGGCGCCCCGCATCTACGGCGACACGATCCCGTCCTCGATCGCGGGCAACCGCGTCATCACGCTCAAGCAGCCCGTCGGTGTCTGCGGGTTTATCACCCCCTGGAACTTCCCTGCCGCGATGATCACCAGAAAGATCGGGCCGGCCTTGGCGGCGGGGTGCACGGTGGTCGCGAAAACCCCCGGCGAGACGCCGTTCACGGCGAACGCCCTCGCCGAGCTGGCGCACCGGGCGGGCATTCCCAAGGGTGTCGTGAACATCGTCACCGCCTCGAAGAACACCCCCGAGGTGGGCGAGGTGATCACCACCCACCCGGAGGTTCGCAAGGTGTCCTTCACCGGCTCCACCAATGTGGGCAAGCTGCTCATGAAGCAGGCTTCCTCGACGATCAAGAAGGTCTCGTGGGAACTCGGTGGCAATGCCCCGTTCATCGTGTTCGATGATGTCGAGGACCTCGACGCCGCCGTGGCCGGTGCCATCGCCTCCAAGTTCCGCAGCTCGGGCCAGACGTGCGTCTGTGCCAACCGCATCTACGTGCAGCGCGGGGTGTACGATGAGTTCGCCAAGCGGTTTGCCGAGAAGGTCAAGGGCTTCAAGCTGGGCGCGGGCTTTGAGGAAGGGATCACCCACGGCCCGGTGATCCACGACCGCGCCATCCAAAAGGTGGATGAGCACGTGCGGGACGCCGTGTCCAAGGGTGCCAAGATCCTAGCCGGCGGACAGAAGGCTTCGCACCTGGGGCCGAACTTCTACGACCCCACAGTGCTCTCCGAGATGAGCAAGGAGATGCTCCTCGCCTCGGAAGAGACGTTCGGTCCCGTCGCGGGCCTGTTCCCCTTCGAGACGGAGAAGGAGGTCGTCGACCTGGCCAACCAGGCTGAGGTCGGACTGGCCGGGTACTTCTTCAGCGGCAACGTCAAGCGCATCTTCCGGGTGGCCGAGGCGTTGGAGGTGGGCATGGTCGGTGTCAACACCGGTCTGATCAGTGATGTTGCTTCTCCGTGAGTACTTTTCCAATTCACAATGGGTTCCAATACTAACAAGCTACTAGATTCGGCGGTGTCAAGCAGAGTGGCTTTGGCCGGGAGGGTAGCAAGTATGGTATCGAGGAGTTCCTGGTAGTCAAAAGTGTTACCTTTGGCGGAATGGGCGAGCCCCTTCAGTCGTGATTGTGACTTTTGGTGTAATCGGGTTTCAGCGCAGAATTAATGAATGAAATACCGTCCGGGCAGGGACCTGTGACTGTCGGTTAACGGCATGATTGACTTATTCGTAGCTATGCCTTGTCAATGTTTTTATGAAGAAATCAACCTTGTTATCAATACCGGGGCTTATCAGACCTGCTTATCGATAAGGGGAAAATGGATCCAAGCGTTATCCGGAACAACGATCCCCCGGGCTGATATTATCCTCCCGAGCAGCAGACTGATCGGCCCATGTGAAACTTTTCGGCGTAGCAGTTTTCTTGCCTGCTTGCTCAATTCCCCCCAAATCCTTCGTGTCTCTCGTTACGACTCACGCTCGTGCTTGCTGGAGCACCTTACTTCCTCATTCCCCCGTCATTGAGTCAGGAACCTCCTCAGCCCCGAACTGTCCCCACAGCCTCGCCACGCCTCGCCAAAACTTCCGTCGCAAGCAGACGCCAGGCCTTGTGATGTCCCTCCCCCGGACCCTTTCGAAGAGCCTGCGACTTTCGCACAGCACACCTTTGTCCCTGCGTCTGCATCCTGCCACCGGCAGCACGAGCGTCCGCCATGCCTCGCTGACCTCGGCCATCCATGCTGGGATCCGTCGGTCCCGGTTCCGGGAGGATAAGCTAGATGGGGGACGAGAGGAACGGTCGGGGCGGTCGCTGTCCGCGCGGATGGGGAGGGAGCGGGGTGACGACCGGAGGAATAAGAAACACGATAGGGGGTTGAGGGGTGGTCCGAGACGCGGAAGAGACGACGCCGAGCGGGCAGTATCGCCGTCCAGGAAGGGTCGTCGGGCTTGGGAGACGGAAGCATCATCATCCAGGAAGGGTCGGGCTTGGGAGATGGAAGACAAAGGATTCACCGAGAACGAGGGACATGAACGACGGCGCAGCAGACGCGAGGAGACCTCCCGGGATGGAGACCGGTTTCCTTCATTCCAGCGCGGGGAGAAGTCTGTCGACACACGGACGACCCTGAACGTCAAGAAGCCCTTCCTGGGCCCGCAGTTCGACGAGGACGAGTTCATTCGCTCGGGCAGCTTCAAGAAGCTTTCCCGGGAGGAGGATAAGGGCGCGAGCGGCGACAAGAGCGGCCCCGACTACAAGCAGGGCCGGCGAGGCCGGGTTGCGTCTCTAGACCGAAGCGACAGCAGCACGCAGGACCTCCGGCCCTCGAAGCAGAAACCCGGCAACGCGCGGCGCAAGGTCGGGCAGTACACCCACGAGAGCACCGACCAGGTCCCCGAACGCGTCAAGGCGCACGTGCTGCCCCCGACGGAGATCCCCTACACGACGCCGGCGTCGCAGTTCGTGTTCGGCACGGCGGCGGTCGAGGCCGCGCTGCGCTGCACGCGGCGCCAGCTCTACAAGCTCTACATCTACCAGTCCGAGGGCGAGAGCCTGTCGGAGGCCAAGTCGGCGATCCGCAAGCTGGCGCTGCTCAACAACGTGCCGGTCAAGATGGCCTTCGCCGAGTGGGACCGGCTCCTCGACAAGATGAGCGCGGGCCGGCCGCACAATGGGGTCGTGCTGGAGGCCTCGCCCCTCCCGCAGCTGCCCGTCGCGCACTTCCACCGCGTCGCGTCGGTCACGGAGGAGAACTTCCAGGTCGAGCTGGGCGTGCAGTCGCGCGAGGAGGCCGCCGTCAATGGCACGGACACCCTCGTGCCCATCAACCATGCCCGCTGGCTCGCCGATAATTCCGAATCCATGGACAGCACCCACCGCTACCCCGTTGTGCTTTTGTTGGATGGCGTCCAGGACCCCGGCAACATGGGCGCCATCATCCGGTCCGCGTATTATCTCGGGATTGACGCCGTGGTCCTGGCGGGCCGCAACTCGGCCCCGCTGACGCCCGTCACCATCAAGGCCTCCGCCGGCGCCGCAGAGAACATGCCGCTGCTGGCCGTGCGCAACGAGCAGGAGTTCATCACCCAGTCCAAGGAGAACGGCTGGCGGTTCTTCGCCGCGGACATGCCGGGCCCCGCGTCCCAGGCGGTCGTGCAGATCGGTGGCGGTACCGCGGATGTCCCGGCGATCGCGCAGGCGCCCTGTGTGCTGATGATGGGCAGTGAGGGGACGGGGTTGAGTAGCCATCTGCTGTCGGCTGCGGACGCGAAGGTGGGCATCCCCGGCGCGCGCTTCGATCCGCGATTGGGGGTGGAGAGTGACCCCGCGCGCGTGGACAGTTTGAATGTCAGTGTTGCGGCAGCGTTGTTGATGGAGCGGATCCTACAGTCGCCGGTCATGGTGGATGAGTCGTCGGTGAAGAAGACGAAGAAGACGACGAAGGGGAGGAGTCGGAAGTAGGCGGGTTGTTTGGATTGGGGTCTGCACTGTACAATATTTGCATGAATGATTATGTTTTGTATACAACAATGAGCAGATGGACATAAAAGCCGGACTTATTTGCATTGGTGGGTTTTAAAAGGACTAGACGAATTCTTGATAGCGCTGAATACGCCATGGAAATACTTCATCATTCATATGTTAAACAACCCGCTAAAACACATACAATCTATACGCTAACACCAGGCAACACAGAAAGTCACCCCTGCACCTGCTTCATAATAACCATACACGCTCCCTCCTTCTCCCCATCACCTCCAGTCTCAACAACAGTCTCATCCTCCCAGATCCCCAGCTCCCAGCTCCCTCCCAGCTTCTGGAGTTCCACCGCCCGTCGACACAACTCCACCACCCGGCCCCCCTGCTCATGATCCCCACACTCGAACACCACCATCCTCGCCCCAACCCCGCCCACCAACCCGAGAATCCGCGCGTAGAACACATCCTCCTCCTGCGCCTGGCCTACACCATCCACCGACTTCATCCCCGAAGAAGAGGAAGCAGGCGGCACCAACGCCAAAACCGGCTCATGAAACCGCACACTCCGCGCCGTCGTGCCATCCAAAAACGCTTTTCGGGAGATGTAAGGGGGATTGGAGATGATCACGTCGACTTGCACCTTCCCTTTTCCGTCCACTCCGCTCTCCCCCTCATCTTCTCGCGCCAGCACATGACTCGCCGTGTCCTGGTGGTGATGGGTAAGGAAGTCCGGGATGCGAGGCAGCAACTCCTCCAGCGCGGGGGGCTGCCCCACTGAGTTAGAATTGGGGGTTGCAGCTGGGGCTGAGGGTGAGGCGAGGACGTCCGCGCGCCGGAATTCCACTTCCTGGGTTGCGCGGGTCGACAAGTCGCCGCCCGTGACGTTGTGGTGTAGGTTTGTGCGCGCGAGGCGGAGGGCGGGGGGGTGGATGTCGATCCCCACGATTTTGAGGGAGGGGTAGCTTGGGGACAGTAAGGCGTGGAGGAGGAGGGTGATGCAGCCTGTTCCGGTGCAGAGGTCGAGGATTCTTAGGCTTGGGGGTGTGGGTGTTGTGGTTGGTGGGGATGGGGATGACGATGGCGCGGAAGCGGAAGCGGCGGGTTTGGGTTGGGGTTTTGGCGGGGGAAATTGTTGGCGGATCTGCTCGGCCGCGGCGTAGGTGAAGGTCTCGGTGTCGTTGCGCGGGATGAGCACCCCCGTCTGGCAGAGGATGGTCAGGTCGCCGAAGGGTTGGTCACCTAGTAAGTATTGCAGCGGGGTGCCGCGGGAGCGGGCGTGGCAGAGGGTGCGCAGCGTGCGGCGCCAGCCCTTTGGGGGCGCATTTTCGGGGGGCCGGTGGTGCGCGGGTTTGCGGTGGAGTTGTTGGGTTGTTGGTGGACGTTCTTCGTGACCAGATTGGCGTGCTTGCTGGAGGTGTTGTAGGCGTTGATAGCGCTGTTCTTTGCGGAGTTGGGTGAGGTCGATCGCGTGTTGGCGGAGCCAGCGGAGTTCGCTGCGGGCGGAGTCAATAGTCCGGCATTCGCGGAGGAGCAGCGGGAGGAGGGCGTCTTGCTGGTACGCTTCGAGGATCGTGCGGGTCGACAGTCGGGGCATTGTGCCGGCCAACGGGGTATTTGGTAGGTGCTTTGTCACTTGAGAGCGACCGGCGGTGGATTGGTTTGTAGAGGGAAATGGTAATGATGGTGTAGAGAGAGTTATTGCGTGCGTGAGGAAGCGAATCAAGGATACGACGCAGCAGCCCTTCTACTATACTGTACAATACCATAAGGACTCTCCGGCTGTTGCGAAAGATAATTCCGCCGCCCGGCTTTTTTGCCGCCGTAACCTTCCTTCCACCGCCTCCGCGGCCGGCAGAATGAATCAGGCACCGATCAAGAGGACGACAGTGACAGTGGGACATGCATCTCGCCCATCCAACTCTCCAAGCTCTCCACCCCTCCCAGAACATCCCGCAGATACATGCTCGCCAATTCCCGTCGGTCCGCATTCGCCCGCCCCATCCAGAACACCGAGTTCTGGATCGGATTGCGCTTTGCCGCCGCCGCCTGCTCGGGCAGCCGCAGCATCAGCTCCAACAGCCACCGGCCGAACGGATCCTGAAGGCGCATGGCCCACTCCGTGATCTCGGAGTCGTCAGCGGGGACGGATTCAGCATTCGTCCGCACCAGTGCTTGGAAGAACTCCACATTGCGCGGGGCCAAGCGCACCGCGGTGCGGAAGTGCCCAGCGGGTAGGGCGTAGGGAATAACCGGCTCCTGATCCTGATCCTGGTCTTGCGCGGTGAGGTGTTGCTGTTCGGTGACGCGGAAGTAAAACTCGTCCAGTTTGAGGAGGGTGAGGAGGGCGGGAAGATTGTTCGAGACGAGGGCGGTATGGATTCCTTGTTGCAAGCAGGGACGAGAAAGGATGAGAGGGTGTTGAGGGGGCTTGAGGGGAAGCGTAACACTGTTAAATCCTAGAGCGAGTCGGTGGATTTCAAGGTAGGTGATCAGGGCTGGAGTGAAGCCGTCGTCCGTGGGTGATGAGGAGGGAGTAGGCGTCGCGGAGTCGCTAGCTGTGCTACCTTGAAGATATTTGTTTGGAATGATCAAGGGACTGAGGAAAGGATGGGTAGTCTCCTGGTCGACGGAGTGGTTGGTGATAGTGATGGAGATCAAAGAGTTGATGGCAAGGGTGTAGTTGGTTGTGGGTGTAGGGGTCGATGTGTCGAAGGTGGTGTCGATGGTCTCGAAGCCCTCAAACACATTTGCATCATCTTCTTGATTGAGCACACGATTTAACATCCTCTCTTGCTCTTCCGCCATGGAGATTCCGGCACCAAACCAGTGTCGTTGAATGACCAGATTCATCAACTCCGGTAACTGGCCGAGTATGCGCGGCACGGTACACCATCTACAGTGAAGGATGGCTGTCTGCAGGTCTTTCCGCTGCGCCCGGCTAATAGGCGTGTAGTCCAATGGTCGTAGTGTTCGAGCAATTTCAGCCCTCGACCCACGGCTGTAGGATGATGTAGATAACTCCGCGCTGTCATCCCAGAAGGCTAACAAGATCAAAGCACGGTAGATGCGTTCAGTCGACACAGCCGCAGCAAGGATTGGGGACGAACGGGCCAGATTGACATTCAAGGAGTGAAGGAAGATCTTCTCGATGAGTTCATTGGGTAGAGATTCCAGCAGCGATTGCTTCTTCTTGCGCGGCTTGTCGAGGGGGTTGGCAGTCAGTAGACGAGCGCGCTTGTGGCCCCTGATCTGCGATGAACTGAGCTTCGCCTGAGATGATAGCAATGGCCGGCCGCCTCGGGGTCCGCTGGGAATGGGCTTGGGAGTGTCGTCATCATCATCGCGTATTCTGCGACGGCCGCGAACGTGAATGGGAGTTAGTAGCATGATGGTTCATCGAACACAAGTCGTGCGCCTATACTTTGACCATCGTGTTGGGTTAGGTTTGAGGAGGAGCAGTGTCTCGCTGCAATCAGACGATGCTGCTTTGATGATGTACAGTACTGTATGTAATATCTGCCCTAGGCATCGAACTGTATCGTTCAAGCTGTTTGAATTTCAAGGCTGCCACCTCCAATGAAAATGATGGAGGACAAGGAGTGTTTCGTTATACTTCCATGCTGTGAGAATCTCGACTAGTGAAAGCTTCATACACGCGCGGGTAATACAAGATCGCCCAATGTTTCGCCTGTTTGCACCGTTTACTTTGTTTGACTCGAGGCTATCACATTCGTAAGCCTCAGGCCGCAATGACTCCAACATCTCTCTAACCAATCTCCCACCACGAATCTTCCTCGAACTCTCCTCGGTCTTTCCTCGCTTCCTAAGCAGAAAGGGGGTCGATGGCTGATCCTGCTTAGCAGTCATTTTCATTGCATAATTTCAACTCGTCAACACCCCGATAGACATGCTGGACCTGAAAAGCTAAGGCGACACTGTCGCACGTGCCTTATCGGATCTTATCACAGCTTATAACCGAAGCTTCGTCACGTGCACTCCCTCTTTAACTTCTTCAACGACTAATCTACTAACCTTCAATCCACACTCACCAGAGCCTACCTTTGGCCACTGGACTCTTGCCCACAATGTCTTGACTAGGTCTTGCAAGAAGAGTCACGCAATGTCATCCCACTCATTGAGACCTGTGTCCGCTGCTCGTCGCGAGGAGTTGACCTGCAAGATTGCGGCGATGCGGATGATGCGGCATTGATGCGGCCCGCAAGCGCTGCATGATGGAATGTCCAGAAGGAACTTGGTGTCCAAAACACTAGTTACCTTACTTCATTTAATCACCCTTGAGGTCCGTGAGCGAAAGCTCCGCAGTACGTCCAGCCATGACCCAGCATGGAGTACTCGCGATCAGCAGAGCCTGTACGTCTTGTCGAGACCGCAAGCGCAAATGCAATGGCGAGCTTCCATGCTCTTACTGCACCCGCACGAACCATGAATGCTTTTATCAACAGAAACGTCGTGCAAAGCCCTATACCCGGAACCGCTTAGCAGAAGACCCCAGCGGCAAAGATGATCATGGAGCTCCTTAGTGGATAGACAAACGCAACTCCAACTCCTGGAGGCAACTTCTCCCGCGGTTTTAGTTAAGCGTTTAGCAGCAAGGGGGGAGAGCGTAACTTCTGATCCAGCCTTGCCATTACATCCCTACGCCTATAATCCGGGGTTGATCCGGAGCTGGACTTTCTACCGAATGTCGTGGGACTGATAGATCTTCCGACCCTAGAGATGATGACTAGTCTTGCCTCTATCTACTTCGTTCAGATCACCCCAGTCAACGACTTTCTCTCTCGTGCTGAGGTGGTGGAGGATATTGTAGAATGCCGGAACGACCCAGTGTCATGCAGTGCAGTCGATTCCCTTCTCCTGGGCATTGCTGCGCTGGGTTGTCTGTTCGATAATGGTCGTCAGACCAAAGGCTCGGAGCTCGAGCGGCAACTCGTTTACAGCGCACGGGTGACTCGAGAATAATCCAGCCAGCTTCCACACCCTCATGTCGACCATGTGATTGGATGGCTGCTCCGTGTCATCTATCTTCGTGTTAACAGTACACTAGGAGCATGAGCCAAGAATTGGATTTGATATTAATGACATACATATTGCGTGATTGTTGCATGGAGGAACTGGGGCTTGTCTAGAATCCCCAATATGTAGGAGCTGCTGGAATTAAATGACGTTGATGCGTTGATGCGATATAAGGGCTGCGTTGGGGACTCCGACTGCCGATTGCAAGCCAGATCTCAATCCCCTCCATCGCCTCTCTCCACACCACACAATCAAACGAAACTTCTATTATCCATACAACAACAAGTCCAAAACATGCTATTATCACCTTTGGAACTACCAACCGTAACCAGCGGCTGGGAGCTCCACGGCACTAGCCGCGGCGGCGATGGCAGCGGGGCGCTGGTATGGAACGACGCCCTGCCGTTACCGGCCTTAGGGCCCACTGACATCCTAGTACGCCTGCACGCCTGGGCAATCAACTACCCAGACACCTCGATCGCAAACGGCACCTTCCCCTGGTCGTATCTTGAGGAGGGGGAGACCAAGGTTCCCGGGGAAGACGGGGTCGGCGAAGTGATTGTAGTGGGCTCACACGTGGAGGACCTCTAAAGCACCTTCCGGCGCCACGCTGTCCCCCCCCTGCCCAAGCCCTAACCTGTATGCCCACCAACCTCACCTACGCCGAGGCCGGCACCCTACCTTGCTCGGCGCTAACCGCGTGGAACGCGCTGCATGGTCTTACCCCGCTCAAGGCAGGGGCCGCAGTCCTCACGCAGGGCACGGGCGGTGTCGCGCTCTTCGCCGTCCGCTTCGCCCTCGCCGCCGGCGCGACTGTTATCGCCACCACCTTGTCGAGTGAAAAGGCGGATCGTCTGCGGGAGATGGGCATACAGCATGTCCTCAACTACCGCGAGGATCCGGACTGGGGCGAGAGTGCGCGGCGACTGCCGCGTGAGGGACTGGGATGCGCCCGGGTCATCGAGGTCGGCGGCCCGCAGACCATCGCGCAGTCGTTCCAGTGCGTCGCCCGCGGCAGCGAGATGGATGTCATCGGGTTTCTCGGAGGCCAGGATGGGGATGGCGGGCCCTCGGTCTTGGGGCCGCTGCTGTGGGCGTGTATCGTGCGCGGCATCGAAGTCGGTAACCGCATCCAGTTCGAGGAAATGAACCGCGCCATCGAGGCGTTCAATATCCGGCCCGTGGTGGACGAGCGGGTCTTTGGGTTTGCCGAGTTGAAGGATGCGTATGCGCATGTGTGGAATCGGCGGGTATTTGGGAAGGTGGTGCTTACTGAGCAGGTGAGGGAGTGGTAGTTGAAGCAACAGTTGGTCTCTGTGAATCGTTAATCCTAGGGTAGTTCTACAAACGATAAATGAATATAGAGATCTGATCAAACACAGAGAGCTGCTACATCCGAATCTTTGTGTGGCATTCAAGCAGTAGTTTTCTTTCCTGACCTGATGCACTGCAGCGTAACCCATCGCCCAGAACAAGACAGGTGCAATATGTGATTGCCAAAAAAGTATTACGTGCAAAAAGCACAAGTCTAATAAGGCAGCAGTGAACAACCCACGAAACGCTCAAGATCCAATTGCCAACAATCCAAATAAGATACTCCTAAGCCCTAAGTACCTACTCAAACCACTTACAATCCCTCACCTCCTCGGTGGTCTCATACCCCTCCGCACACGTCCCCCCCAGCCCATCCGTCGTATAACAAATGGCATCCTGCAACCCATTGCAAACAAATTTGCCCACGGCCTGGGGCGTGCCGCCCACCCCGACCGCCTCGGCCGTGGGATCATACACACAGCTGACCCCATACGCCGTCCAGCCCGAGACCTCGTCGTCCATCTGCGAGGGCCCCGTCCCCGTCATGCTGAAATCCGGCGGATCGAGTTCGGGGCACGCCGTCCCCTCGGTGATTGTGTCCCCGTCGCCGGCGTACTCGTACAGCTCCCACCGGTTGTTGCCCGTGTTCGATGAGTCGCTGTACCACCAGATGCGGACGCCGCGGGCGACGGCCGTGGCGGTTGCTGTCGCGGATGCGGTGGTGGTGGTAGCTGTCAGACCGGAGAGGACGGTGAGGGAGCCGAACTGCGAGGAAAGGCTCGCGTCGAGGGACTCGGCGAGACTGGTGATGTCGGCCGGGGTGTCGGTGGTCGTCGTCCATGCTTCCATGGTAATCTGGACTCCCGGGGCGGGCGTCCCGACGGTCGAGGTGGACGAGGCCGTCGCGGAGCAGCCTGTGGTCGTGGTGCAGTCGAAGTCGCAGCTGGAGCCGGCGATGCACGCGGTCGTGCAGATTTCCGCCGTGCGGGTGCTGCATTCATCGTCGTCGTCGTCATCGCCGGAGGAACTGTTGTCGTCGCCGGAGGAACTGTCGTTGTCGTCGTCGCCGCCGGGCGTGTTGGTCCAGTCCGGGGGACAGAGGAGGCAAGGGCCCTCGCAGAAGGGGAAGCAGCCGGTCCCGGTGCCGGGATCGCCTTTCTTGCTGGAAGGGGTGGGCGTGCCTGACTCCCAGGTGGTGGTTGCGGTGTTGAGGATGGGATCCTTGGTCGTCTGGGACCAGGGGTAAGGGGGTGGGATGAGAATGGTGGTGGTCGTTGTGCCGGTTTCGTAGGGGGGCAGGGTGTACACCATGTTGGGTAGCGAGATGCTGCTGGTCATCACCAAGGTGAAGTTCTGGGTCACGCTGGCGTTGATGGTGACGCCCCAGACGGGGATTGCGGTGAGGACGGCTGAGTTAGGGTTAGTAGGACTCTTAGGAGAGGTACAGTACTCAGGGTTGTGGAATGGCGAGGGCAATTGGACTCACTTGTTGGGAAGGAGACAGTTATGGTGGTCGTGGTCATGTTATAGCCAAGGTAGGAGGTCGTTGAACCATCCCCGTCCGTTGTAGTTCGTGTGGTCAAGATGCTCTGGGTAATGGGTGTCTCCCAAGGTGGGATCGAAATGGTAGATGGAGTGTCTAGCGGCAGCGGAGGCATGATCAGGGAGCATGGAGGCTCACATTGCACCACGGGGTCAGGCTCGGTCCAGATAGAAGGCGCAATGTACACATCGCCAGAGCCAGAGCCAGAGCCAGAGCCTGACCCAGATCCAGAGCTAAAGCTGCTCGAGTTTGCGCAGGCTCCTGATGGGCAGTATCCACGCTCACAAGCATAAGCACATAATGGACCATAGACAGTAGCGTCAAGTCCAGCAGCTGCAACACCCACAACATCGCTGGTTGGGTCCATGACGTTCAACGCACCCTCCCCAATGCAAGTACAAGCATTTATAGGACAGAAGCCATGAGCACAGCCGAAATTGCAAAGGCCTGCAAGGTTGCCGTCGCCGGTTCCCGAGATACAGGCTGGCGGGGAGAAATCCGAGACAGTTGGAGTTGACAGCGGCACCTCGACCGTCCCACAGGCTGTTGGGGGGCAGAAGCCCAGGTTACAGTCGAAAGTGCATAGCCCGCTATAGCTGGCGTCCTCGCCTGAAATAGGGTAGCCCACCAACCCGGTTGCATTGGGCTTCTCGTAGCCGACCCCCATCTGAGTGCATGTGCAAGCCCCCAGAGGGCAGTACCCGTAAGTACAGGCGAACTCGCACAGCCCTTCGAAATTGTTGGCACCGGTTCCGTTCATGCAAATCTGCTCGGAGAGAGAGAGGTCTGGTCTGGCTGACACTGCGCCGGCGGTTGCGCTGCCCACCCAAGCGTTCCAGTTCGTGATGCCGTCGGTACAAGCCGACGAGATGTCCTCGCCTTCGATAGTGGCAATAATCACATTGTCCCGCATCAGTGAGACGGTCACAGCCCCTGTGCGGCCAGCGAGGTCGATGCTGCCGTGGTAAACACCAATATCGTCGTCCGGTACCGAGCTCCAAGCAACGGTTTCCGCATCACCGCCAATGGAAACCATCACCCCGGAGAAAGACCCGAGAACCGCCGAGTAAAACACCTTGTCCTGCGCGATTTCGTCCGGCGGGAATTCAATCTGCAGCTGTGAGGCGGTGTTGCCACTGGTTCCTCCGCTGGCACACGCTGCCCCCGGGCTCAACCGGTACCAGGCGATAATCGTCTCCTCCGTCACTTCCGCCGTGCCTTCTTTATACATGTCAATCCAGAAGGGCAAAGTAGCTCTCCATCCATCGTGCGGCATATCCGTCGCATAGTTATACGGCCCCTCCCCAATTGAGAACGCAGCCATTGCATTATCATAAAGAGGGCCGATATAGTGCGACTCGCCGTAGTCGTTCCACGTCAAGATTTCAACAAACTCGGGTTGCACGAACAATACCTCCTGCCAGCGGTCGTGCCAGAGATCATCTCCGCGCCACATCCAATTCTTATCGTAGCCCGGTAGGTTGGTAAAGAACCACGGCGACACAGGCATCATGTAGGGCAGGCCGTCAAGGTACTGGACATACGAGGCATCTGTATAGGTATCCATATCCTGGGGGCCCCAGGGCCAGGCAGCCCAGCTCAGAAGCCCGTCCACCACCCCCTTGGCGACGGCAGCCTTGGCCCCGAGTGAGGACCAGTCCGGGATGAAGAAACAGTCCGTCGAAGCCTTGATCGTGGTCCAATCATCGGCACTGTTGGGACCCTCGAATGTAGAGACAAAAGCCTGACCTTTATAAAAGTAGTACGAGGAGCGTGTGCTGTACTCGGCGATCAGATTAATCACGTCGTCCATGGGCCAGGCTCCGTTGCCTGCGTAGTCGAATGAGAAGAAAAGTTTGAAGCCGAGGTCGTCAGCGGCATCAAAGGCAAGTGAGAGGGCTAGTGAGTTTGTTGCGTCGTCGTAGGCCATGTTCAACGCGAAAGCGTCAATGTGCGCATCCTGGGCCAATTTGATGTCGGTCTCCCAAGTGTCGGACGTGTAGTTCTGGGAATTTGTTACCTGCACACACGGTTAACATGTCAGAGAAGGGAAACTCGTTTAGGCGGTGCGCCTTACCATGAAGTGGGCAAAGACAGCAGCTGCCTGCACGCGGCAGGAGAGCAGAAGGAGGGTAATCAACCCGCAGAAGGACGCCATGGTTGAGAGAACAATGCAGTCCTAGGATCGGTAGTTCATTGGCCCTTATAAAGAATATCGAGAAAGATCCTTGAAGTCTAGTTGTAGTCAGGGAAATGGCAGAAAATTAGGATCTCTTTGAGATGAAGTTGTGGCACCATCGCTCAAGCCTACTTTCGACCGGCCGACTGAGATATCCGAGCTTATGGTCAAAATCTATGAAACATTTACGGTAAATCCGCCGAGGGGATAGCGTTGTCTGCTCAGGAACAGTGCCACTAGCTAGCAATTCTCGTATTCGGAGAGGTGAAATGGGACAGTATCCCAGGATTCGCGGCAGTTAGTCTCAAGTATTTGCCCGTTAATTCGGGATCTATATGGGCTCCATGCGCTAAGTAGATGACCATTGTTTGCAGGAAATCTACCAGGCCCACGTGGCCGCCGCAAATTAATTTGAATCTCCACTTTTTGTCCCCTTTTCTCACGTCCATTATCGTTGCAGTCCCACTTGGGTTGCTTATCTCCGACCTCGTATGGCAAATTCCTCCGAGAAAACGCTGTAGTGCAACTCCCAATCGGATGGACCGGACCCTAAGACCAAATAGACCAAGCTTAGCGTTGCTTATTGAGGCTCGGTATGGCTTGGCAGGGGCTTGATATGATTTTTGAATTTGAGTGAAGATGAGGCTCCTGGCCCCTGCCAATCAGGGACAGCAATCGGGGGCGAAAATATCTCTTCGGTCAAGCCGCGAAGCCCTAAAAGTAGCTACTAGCTCACATTGGGCTGCATGTCCGTGGCCTTGGCCTTAGATCCTTCCGGCTTCAACTCAGCCTCGCTAGTGAGGACCATATTCTACATTGCAGGATTACAGTCTTGTGAGCTTTATTCAGCCTCTACGCAGTCAGTCTAGAGTGATCACTCCTTTTTGCAGCATATTCTGCCTGTCTCCTGGTCACTGAATCCCCCCTGATGTAATAGGAATACAATCAATTGCAGGACCTCAGCTGAGTCTCAGATCGCTTACTGCACGTGCGTCTGACAGTTATACCACATGGCGCAATGACATAGGGGTCCGAAAATGCCTCGTGTATTCCCAACTTGATCCACCACAAGTTGTATTTTTTCGGAACCATGCAACTTCCGCCAGAGTGATTAGGATGTTGTCGAGTCACGGATGTCAGATAGCGGACGCTAGGATTTCGGTCTTGGGTGGTTTTTTTACAGCGACATATAAAAGTCCCGTCCGAGAGCACCACGCACTTCCCAGTTCATTGCTCCCTTGCTCGTCTTGTTCTCGGACTGGGCTCCATTTCGTACAATGCGTATCCCATCATTTCTCCTGTTTGGGCTGTTCGCCGTGCCCGTCCTAACAGCAGATCCGGCCCTTACAACTCTCTTTGTTGTAAAAGACCAAACCGACGACCAGGGCGGCTGCATGTCTAAAATTGACACCCTCCAAACCTGGCTCACTGAAAGCAGAACCCTCGTTGCCTCCGGGCTCAAGGCCATCTCTGACGCACAGGACTCCTCTGCGACTACATACAATGTAGCCAGACGGTATCTCGCAGCCCATTTCCAGGCCGACCCCAGCAACGCTGACGCGCTTGCCACCGTGCAGGGTGCGACTTCCCTCCCCTTCTAATCAAACCCAACCCAGCCCTTTATCCCAGACTATTTACGCACTAACCACCCCTTACAGGATACCTCACCCAAGTCTCCGACTTTCTCTCCGGCAAAACCACCCTCTCCAGCACCCCGCGCCTCTATTGCAGCGACACATGGTTAACCAAGTTGTCCCGCGACGATGTAGCCTGGGACTCTGACGGCGACGTGGTCATGCAAGAAGACGGTGGTGGGGTGTCCGCCCCCATCGCCATTGAGGATGTCGACGAGTACGACAGCGAGCTCTGGAGGACGCAGAAGAACGGCAAGGTCGTGGCAACCAAAAACGTGCCCTACTGGTCCGCCGACCTCAAAGAGTACGTCTTCGACGTCAACTACAATGGCAAGACCTACTGCACCTCCAGCGCGAAGAACCTGGGCGCCACGCAGGACCAAACAATCCCCAGCACGATAACGCTGTGTCCGTCTGCCTTTACCAAGACCGCTGCGGTCGCGACGCTCGGGGCTAAGACGCCCGCAGCCGGAATGGCGATTGGGGACATCCTCCCGCGCGGCGCCACCTTTTACCATGAGCTGTTCCATCTGGTGTTGGGGACTGCGGAGACGCCGGATTTGACGTGTATGGTTACTTTCTAAACTGCTCGCTCGAAATGAAGAGCGGCTTTGATCTGATCTTGGCTAACGGTACACTATAGACAGCTGGGTAGACCAGCAAAATCGCCTGAAAGAGGCCACCACCATACCTGATGGTGATGATGAGAATTACGGGCAGCTTGTGCGCCGCAACCCGGAGTCATACGTGTTCTTTAGCGTGGGTTACTGGTACTTCCAGCAGACGACATGGAACTCGGATGATACTAGCAAGAGGTGGGCATTTCAATCTGGTGCTGGCGAGTTAGTCAAGATCTAGTCATTCGTGAGCTTTACTGTTAGGGTGGTTTACTGGGTGGGGTTCAATCAAGTACTGTACATCAGACCCCTACTGTGCAGCTGGGTCCCGTAGACAGTAGACAGATATCCATGGTTCAGGGGCTCTCTCCCAAGACTTCTCAAGACTTCTTAATTGTGATTGGTACTATTGAATGCTCCTTTAGGGTCACATTTCATGATCCAACAACACCAGTACTGCCCCTAATCCCGATGTAGTCACGTGCCACGGTCCAGGTATATAACCCTCCAGCATCCCCCCTCCCAACTAGCCCTAAATCATCTCACCCCCCTCCACCATGGCATTCAGCTATCTCTGCCATCACAAACCGGGGCGCTCCTTCTCTCACGACCCCAGCAATCCGCAGCTGATAACCTGGACCCGGTTCCAACTCGCCTCATCATCGCAGCCCGACACCAACGCATGGGCATCCTATTTCCAGCCCCTGGTCCATGACGTAGGCCACTGCCAGACAGTCTGGGGTAGAGTCAAGAAGAGCGCGAGGCCTGAAGTATTAGTGGTAACGCGTACGTCATCGCCCAGTGCATCCACCCGATCACCATACTAACCTCTATCTTTTGAATTGTGTTGAAACAGTATGGTGGACAGCCTCCGAATACAAGGACTTCAAATCCTCCCCCACGGCACAGCTCTACCACGAGACCCTCGCCACCAGCGGGATCGTCCTCCTCGCAACCCGCGAGACCGTCTACAGCGGCGCGTCACCGCCCTGGTTCCATCTCCTCCAGAAGGGTTACATCCAGCTGATCAGCGTGGATTTTCCGGCGCCGGTCGACGAGCCGCAACGGGCCCAGATCCAGAAGCTCAGGGGGTATCGCCCGCCGGCTTTACGGTTCCATGCGCAGCCAGACGAGTGGGATGCAATGCGTGGCCCGGTGATTGTGTGGGCGGCGCAGACGGAGTGGCGGGACGGACAGGAGGTCCAGCTGATGCTGTGGCCGCATTTCTGGCGCGATGCTGACCGCGCGGGGCGGAGGCTTGTTGCTAGTGTTAGGGAGAGGTTTGGGAGGCAGCTTGAGCAGTTCCGGTCGGTGGAGTGGCAGGAGGAGTTTCTGGAGTTTGAGCTTGTGCCTTGTATTTGATGGATTAGGCCTGGGTCTTTAGTCTGGCAAAGCAGCCTGTGTATGTTGATCTGTGTGATACCGAGTTTGCTCGTTGTCTGGAACTTCGTGATTCTGCGTAGAGCCATACGAGGCAGGAGCTGATAAGAACCCTACCTTGCGGTTGCCGGTTGATGTTGAGACACGAGAAAAAGCACTTCTTGTATAAACTGAAAATGGCTACCGAAATTTTCACAACGACCATATAGCAATCTCCCGAAAGCCCAGTCACGATAAAGTGAACGATCACGAGTCGATACCTTATGGTATCACACAAATAACGAGTTCAGAATTGTGTAGACGGAAAAGGGGATGGTAGTGTGTTCGAGATGGAAGGAGACCGGATTAATTGTCGGAAAATCAACAGCCAACAAAGTGGCTTTTCAAGGAGAAATTGCATATGCTAGTCCTTGAAAATTATTTAAGTCTCCCACCCGGGGACCAACACTTTAGGAAACTGCCCGTTGATCTCGGCATTTGGTCGGAACAGAATATCCAATGATGCCTTGGCCCCCTGCTCGGGCGTCAGGTCGGCGATGTCGCCGCCGCCGAGATCGGTCTTCATCCACTAGAGACAGCAGCATCATGTATTAGTGGGTATAAATACGGGTCTTTATAGGCAAGAGAGCACAAATACCAGGGGCAATGGTCAGAAAGGCGAAGCCGTCTTTCTCGTGGTCCAGAGCATACTGCGGTGAGCGCGTGTAGGCCGGCCTTCGAGATCTTGTACGCCGGGGCGGGGACGTCGTGGGACGCACGCGCTAGGGCGATGAAGACGAGCGAGGTTGTACTGCAGCCTGTTGGAGATAGGGTCGGGTTAGGTGGATAGGTAGGGATGTCTTACATGTTCGCAACCTCCTTGAGGGAACCCGTTGCAGAAGCGGTAGAAAAGCCCGCGTCACATAGTGGACACCGAGGATGTTGATGGTGAAGCTCTCCGTGAGGTTATCCCTTGCGCAGATAAGTGAGTACACACTGAGATTAGATGTAGGCAGGCCAGAAGACGTACATCAATTTCACCCCGTCGCCGACGTACTGGCAGATGCCGGCATTGTTGATCAAGATATCTCTTCCTTCCTTGCTGCTGAGCTGCGTCTCAACCTCGGCTGCAGCGTTCCGGATGAACATCTCAATGTGTCACGTCGATTTGAACGACTAAGACTCGTCCTGCTGAGGCAGCAGCAAGCTCGCTCAGGGCCGATGATTCTCTTCGTGCGGTAGCAAAGACCTGGCGGATCTGCATGGCGGGACAAGTGGACAGTTCGCGCACGAGCGCAATGCTGGAGCCTCGGGAGGCACCTGTAATCAAGACTAAAGCCATATCCGGGTTAAGAAAGTTGCTAGTAGAGGTTGTCAATAATTGCTGTCGCTGGGAAGGTACCCTGTGAGCTGATTTGTCTCCTGCGCCGGCTGGGTTAGACGACTGGTAGCCCTAACGCCGGCTGGCACGATATAATGTTCTGCAACCAGAAGACGACGATTTCGCATATTGGCCTCTATGATCAGTTGCAGGCTACAATTTCGAATCTACCCTATTGGATATAAGTTGAGATTACATGTAATCAAATGCGATACCTAAGCTCGTTGTGAAATAACATGCATAAGAGCTAAACCAGCATCAATAATACGTATTACCACAAACTAACTAGGTATACCACGTCGGCGCCGGTAGCTCCCCCAACAGAACATACCGGCCCAGCTCCCGATTCTTATACGCCACCGGATCATGCAGCGTGTGCGTGCGAATATCCCGCCAGAACCGATCGAGCCCGACCTTTAGAGAGGTAGCCCTCGCCCCCGTCACCTCGAAGATGCCATTAGTGACCCGCAGCCCGACGTCCGTGGTGACGACCTTGACGCTCGCGATCCACTCGGCCACCTCCCCGCGTTCCTCTGCCGTCAGCACCGATCTGTCCGCAGCGTGTCGCGCATACAGGCCGGAGAGCTGCCCGCCCGCGCGATCAGCCAGCGCTTCCGTGGCGCGCAGATGCGCAAAGAAGTTCCCGTACCGCTCCAGGATGTAGAACTCGTCGGTGGCGGCGGCCTTGTTGTCGCCGCCGAAGGGCCAGGCGCGCGTGTGGGCGGTAGTGTATCTGGCGGCGAAGTCGAGGGCACCCAAGGCGATGCCCAGATAGAAGTTGCTGAAGACTAGTTGGATGCTGTTTGGGGTCAGTATTGCTCAACGCAGCAATGCTAAGGCGGAGTGGTCTTACGTTGGTAGCAGCAAGCTGGCGAAGGGGACGCCGAGCACATCCTGCCGTGGTTGCTTGGTTGATGTATCCCAGCCCAGCGCGTCGGTCCAGGGGGCGCGGACGTTCTCGATCTTCACACCCCCGGACTCAGTCAGACGCAAACCGATGTTCTGCCAGTTGTGCGCGAATTGGATCCCGGGCTGTCGGGTGTCCACGAGGGCGAAGATGTGTTGGTCCGTGCCCTCGAGGACGCCCTCAAGCACGGTGAGGTCAGAGACCACGCCCCCTGTGTTGAAGAACTTGGCGCCATTGAAGACGATCTGGTCCCCATCTGAGGTGATTTGGAGGTCGCTGTCACGCGGGTTGACCGCCCCACCAACGAAGTAGTTGTTGGTGATGATCCGCTCATGAGTGCGCTCGATTTGGTCAGGGGTGCCGACTACATTGGCGGTAGTGGACCAGAGTAGATGGTAGCCGAGCAGCATGCCGATGGAACTGGGGAATTGTTAGCTACGAAGAGAACGGGAGTGCAGGAAGTACTGTGCAACGTGGTGCACTCACCCATCCGCCTTAGCCACTTCTCGGATGGCTTTGTACCCTACCTCCCAGGGCTGTTCACCTCCTCCGTATCTCTTAGGACCAAGCAGCTTCAGCAATCCGGAATGCTTCAGCAGAGCCACCTCGGCTCGGGGCGATTTGTTCTCCTGGTCTCTTTGTGCGGCATCTCGAGACAGGACTTCGGCCACTTCCCGCGCTCTGCTGATCCAACCTTCTGCTGTGGTAGGAAGTGAAGACCATTGGTCTTGGTACGCGCTGTAGACGCTGGGATCCGTAGCTGGGACATTTGCTTGCGCCATGGTGGAAGTTGAACGTGCACGTGAATGCGGTGGTAAATGCTCCTGCCTGTAATATACGAGTCACCAGTATTGGACGTATACTAACTCAAGGACTCAGCAGAGATCATTTATACGCATCTTCACAAATTGCTCATATAGCATGAGTATGGCGTAGCGAAGACAATCGGCGATCAGCACATGTCGATCCTATGCTGTTGGCTGGGAGTTGAGCGATTCGTCAATTTCTGGAACGATGTCGTAATTGACCTCAAGTTTGGGACACACCCGAATATTGTATAGAACATCAAGGGGATCGTAGAATGAACATGGTACGTAGTGTGGTGTGGGGGATTCGCAAGCCCCCACATGCTAATTGTTGCGAGGAACCGTGCGATCGGAGGCTGCGATTGCGTGACGGGCCGCAAGTCAGGGCCCGGTGGGTACGGTGGGTTGAAGGTTCTCGGCCGAAAAAGTCCCCTCCACCCTTTTTATGGAATCCAGGGCTCAGAAGTCGAGATAAAAATTGACAAAAATATCATTCTGATACGGAAATGTGGTATGATCAAAAGCCCCTTCTCAGGGGAAAGACGTTCGACAATCTTACCGCGCCACTTTCGCAGTCAACTCGACCACAATCCGATGCAGCTGCGGCGTGCCTGGGTTATCCTGCGAAATGTTTCCACGTCGTAGCTGCTCTATCATCTTCATCATGCCCAACCGTCCGGCCTCCTGCTTGCGCGCTATCGACGTCCTACTGGTCGCCGGCTTCATCGGGCTAACGTATCCCGCGCAGCGGGCAGCAGGACCGTTTGACGTAGCGGCGCGCCTGGAAAGACGGAGACACGCAGCGATGGGGACGGCTGAGGCACGGATGATCGCGAGAGGGAGGTGTACGCTGACGAGGACAGGGGGAGACCTGAGTAGAAGTAGTTCGAGCTCAGATGAGGGGCCTTTTCAAGCAGGGCGATAAAGGCACAGCGAAAACCAATATTGGCCTCATACACTGTGGGGTAACGTTACCTTCAGTTAGTCCACTGCAGAGCTAAAGGTTCCATACATTCGGCTAGTGAATCAGCTTACCAAACATGCTGTCTTCGTATGGGCCAGGAGACAGAATTTGAATTAGATCTCATATACATGAAGACCTATTCCACAATGCGTGCAGGGTGGAATGGACACAAGTCTGGCAAATATCTAGTTCGTTTAGCAGCGGCCTCAGTAGCAGCGGGCAAACCACATGGTCCATCAAGCGACTGACCAGAGCCACGCTACGCGCATTAATTTCTGCGAAATGAGACTTGTAAATTCAACATTGCGTATTTATTCGAATGCCCGCAGCAACATTTAGAATGAGTAGCGCGATACACAGTCCCAGAGCCAGAGGCCGGTGTGACTGCGACGAGACCTTCTCATCCACAGTCGGAGAGCGAGGATCAAGCATAGAGCCTGAAGGCCATTCCGAAACAACAAGCAGAAGGAAATTGAATGGCCGGTGAGGGTCGCTGTAGAGCGCATTTGTATCTTGCAACGGGCACCGTAGTGGGCTGAGCGCTGGCCCCCATTCGGAGCGATCTGACATGGCTGTGTGCGTGATGAGTATGAAGGGTATGAGGTACGGTATGCACCGCCCCCAAACCCGTAAAAGCGAGCTGCGTACATATCTGGATCAGCTAAGTCAGCTAATCATTCGTGTTGATTTGATGTGGTTGTTGTGATATTGAAGTTCGTGGGCTCCGGTCCGTCTCTCAGTGTATACCCGCGCTATACCCAACTTGGCGATATGGTTATCGATAAGTGCAAACAGGACATACGGCTGAGTCAGCCGCTGACTGGCCAGTGGCGGGGCAAAAAAAAATACCGAGTCCGATCCTGCGTCAACTCCCAATCTCCAACACTCCAACTCTTCAGTTTTGTGGATTTGCGGTTTGCGTCCGGAGGTCAAGATGTCGATGGATTTGGATGCGCCAGTTCCCATGTTGGGGCTGCAGGACCAGCCCCCGGTCGCTGCGACGTGAGTCTTATCGTCACCCTGGTCTAGCCGGAATTTTGCTCATATTTTCCTAGGATTCTGTGCTGCAACTGCGGTGCCCCCATCGATGGAACCACTTCTGCTGGTGCTATGTGCCAGGACTGTCTGAAACTCAACGTCGATGTCACCCAAGGGTAAGCTCAGATTTTGCTTTTGCATCAGGTTCGCAGACGGAATCAAGGCTGATTTACTCCGAAATCTAGCATCCAGCGCGAATCGACCCTCCTTTGCTGCAAAGACTGTGAGCGGTGGCTCCAGCCCCCCAACCAGTGGGTGGTCGCGACTCTCGAGTCCAAGGAACTCCTCGCCCTCTGTCTGCGCCGTCTTCGTGGCTTGTCGAAAGTCCGCATCATCGACGCCAACTTCATCTGGACCGAACCCCACTCGAAGCGAATCAAGGTCAACATCACAATTCAGCAGGAGGCTTTCCAGGGCACGATTATCCAACAATCATTTGAGGTGGAATACGTTGTGGCCGGCCAGCAGTGCCCCGGTATGTCTTGCAGCAACCACATTCGCGCACGTTCGACTCAGGCTTGCGTCAATCAGGCTTGCTAACATCATCGCAGATTGTCAGAAGAGTTTCACGCCCAACACGTGGCGGGCTGCAGTTCAAGTCCGACAGAAGGTGCCCCACAAGCGTACTTTCCTCCACCTGGAGCAGTTGATCCTGAAGAACGACGCCCACAAGGATACGGTCAACATCAAGGAAGCCAAAGATGGTATCGATTTCTACTTTGCGCAGCGAAACCACGCCGAGAAGATGGTCGACTTTCTTGCTTCTGTTGTGCCGTGCAAGATGCAGAAGTCCCAGGAGCTCATTTCCATGGATGTTCACACCAGCACCAAGTCCTACAAGCACACCTTCTCGATTGAGTTGATCCCGATTTGCAAAGACGATCTCGTCGCATTGCCGCTCAAGCTTGCCCGCCAACTCGGAAACATCGCCCCCCTCACCCTCTGTCACCGCGTCGGAAACAACGTGAATTTCTTGGATCCGACTACTCTGCAAACGGCCGACGTCCAAACCGGCGTGTACTGGCGGTCGCCGTTCAAGAACCTCGCCGATGTCACCCAGTTGAAGGAGTTCATCATCCTGGATATTGAGCTTACCGGCCAGTCGAATGGCCGTTTCCACCTTGCCGAGGCTACTGTTGCTCGCGCCACGGATCTTGGCTCCAACAACACTACCTATTTCTGCCGCACACACCTTGGTGGCATTCTGCACCCCGGCGACTCCGTCCTCGGCTACCACCTCAGCGGCACCATTTTCAACGACGACAACTTCGACGCGATCGAGCAGAGCCACCAGTACGGATCGACGATTCCCGACGTTGTGCTCGTCAAGAAGTTTTACGCGCGCAAGAAGAAGCCCAAGAGCCGCAACTGGCGCCTCAAGCGCATGGCCCGCGAGTACGAGGAGGAGGCCCTCGCCGGCGCTGGTCAGCAGAGCCGCAAGAAGGAGCAGGAAGCCAACCGCCTGGAGGAGGACTTCGAGATGTTCTTGCGCGATGTCGAAGAGGACGAGGAGCTCCGACACACCCTGGACCTGTACAAGGTCCGCAAACAGCCCCAGGCGGCGGATGCTATGGATGAGGACGAGGACAACGAGAGCGAGGATGAGACGCCGCAGATCAACATGGACGAGCTGCTTGACGACTTTGATGAGCTGAATATGGATGATGATTGAGCTTTCTGCGAGTAATATCCCTGATGATCACGGCTGGTGTTTATATTCTACTCTACTTTTCTGAGGGGTTCCTGTCGATAAAGAAAAGTTTTATTACCCCCTGTTGTTCTGTTTTCGATCGAGATTCCAGGTCCATAGCATCTGTTGCATTTTACCACTTTATCTTGGCAATGAACATAGATGTCCACAATGACAGGTCTTGTAGTGTACTAGGTACTAGGTGCCGAGTAGTTTTGTTGGAATCCCTCTTCTGGTGAGATTGAGCGATCACTCACAATGTGGCAGCTGGCCTGGTGGGGACAGGCCGGCCTACAGGGACCCATTCAGACAAACAAGCCACGCTTACCGAAAATGGTCCAAATGGCCCCACCGCAGCTTATCGCCGATCGGGCTATCTTTACTGGGGGCGATGCGGCGATGATTTCCCACTCGTCTCCAACCTGATGCTTGGCCGGTCACTAAACCCCTAAAATGGCTTGTCGCATTCGCTGCCTTGCCTTCGAGAAGCCGGTGGAATCTCCCGACGTGTCATCACCCATAATAAGTAAACGAGACACGGCCAGTTTCGCTGAACGTTCATCATGCTCTCGACTCACTCGCATAAGAGTCGGACAAGGAATCCACGCCGTTTACCTTGAATCCCGCGATGTCAGAAAGCAGGCCAAAGGCTCGAGAAGGCAATGCATCTATTCATCTGACCGACTGCAGAGTCGGTGCAAACGCAACCACCAGGCTGGCCAGATACGTACTTCACGCATAGCTTATCGAGCCAATCAGCGAGGCCCCTTGCCTCTCCGGTCCAAATCATCATGGATCCAAATGATGCAGTTCGTTTCTCATACCGGGGAAAGGCACATGCCCCTAAGTTTCGCACTTTTGGCATCCGTCCGACCCAATCCTTTGCTGGAGCCAGTTATCTGCCAAGGGGACGGGAACGACTAGTCACCTGTGCAGCCCTGGTGATGCAATTCCCGGATGCCAAGCAGGATCGCCCGGGTTTATTTGATCGCCGTCCGCCCTGCAGCATTGTCCATCTTCCTCTTTGTTGGCCTGGCTAATTTTTTTTTTTCTTGTTTCTTTGTTTCTGACTGCAGAAAAGGACCGTCACTCGGATGGTGCCAGCATGCATGCTGATAAGCCGGGTGGGATGTCTCTTGTGTCGCTCTTGTGTTCGGAATCTTAAGTCTATATAGTCTGCCACACCTCCTAAAGTCCCCGCGTGCAAGGTCTTCTAGGCCCTTGTTTCGCCTTTCGCGACACCCGCAGAAAAGTCGTGTTGGTAGACTGTACTGTAGGCGTGAAGATGCATTCACATTCGAAGAAGTTGTTGAATCCCCTCACGTTCTTGCTCGCTACGATAGGGGCGCGACCCGGCGGTGCCTATGTCGCGCAAACCCCTCTGACCGGCGACACCTGCATGCAAACGACCGTGGCCATTCTGTAAGTCGATTGGAATTTAGGTAGACGTGGAAGATCGTCTGGACACTAACTGGCTCAGGGGAGGTGGGATGGCCGGGGTGGCTGCAGCGGTATGTGGGTGTGGTGTTGAGTAACCCTCGCGCCAGGCTCAACCGACTAACCTGAGCAGCAAGCCCTGACCAACGCATCCGTTACCGACTTCGTTCTGGTGGAATCGCGCGAGACGCTGGGAGGTCGGGTGTGGCATACGGACTTTGGGAAAGATAAGGACGGGAAACCGTATGCGGTGGAGTTCGGGGCTAACTGGGTATTTCCACCCCGCACTTACTATACAACATCAAGGCTGGGCTTTAGACTGACTGCGCCCCATCACAGCTACAAGGGTTGGGTTCGGCTGATACTGGTACGTCGTCGGTACATTTCTTCTAGGATCGACCAACAGACTGACTATACTGATAGTAAATCCTGTCTGGGCTTTAGTATGTGTGGTGTGGTGATTCTGTATACGCCGACCCATGCTAACCGACAGGCCAAAAAACACCATCTGCGCAACACCTACTCCAACTACAGTTCCCTGCGAACCTACAACGAGACCGGCGAAGTCGACTATCAATATCTCCTCGATGACTACGCTCGAGTCTACGAGGTTGCCGCGCGCGAGGCCGGCCGGATCCTGATGGAGAACCTGCAAGACCAAACTGCCCGCACAGGGCTTGCCCTGGCTGGCTGGCGCCCTCGCAAGAACGACATGGCCGCCCAGGCGGTCGAATGGTGGAACTGGGGTATGATCCGATGAGACTTCGCCACTCCGTCATAGGAAGAACCCCAACTCGAGGCAGACAGGGCATACTCCCTCCCCTTTTTGCTTCCCTTCCAGTGACCCCCCAACCCAAGGGAGCTCGGCTGTGGACTGACGCTTGTGTTGTGTGCGACATCTAGATTGGGAGGACGCCTCCTCGCCCGAGACGAGTTCCTTCGTGTTCGGGATGGCCGGCGAGAACCTGACCTTCAACCAGTTCGGCAAGGCGAACCACTTCGTCCTGGACCCGCGCGGCTACAGCATCATCATCGAGCAGGAAGCAGCCGCAATCTTCAGCCACCAGCGCAACAAACCCACCCCGCGTCTCCGACTCAACACCCACGTTACCACCATCGACCACTCCCCCAACGGCGTGACCATCCACACCGCCGACGGCGCCTGCATCGAAGCCGCCTACGCCATCTGCACCTTCTCGCTGGGGGTCCTGCAGAACCACGCCGTGACCTTCCGCCCCCCGCTGCCGCGATGGAAGCAGACGGCGATCGAGAAATTCAACATGGGCACCTACACCAAGATCTTCCTGCAATTCCCCGATACGTTCTGGCCGACGGACACCCAGTTCTTCCTGTACGCCTCCCCGACCACCCGGGGCTACTACCCGATCTTCCAGTCCCTCTCCTCGCCGACCTTTTTGCCGGACTCGAATATATTGGTCGTCACCGTCGTCGACGAACAAGCCTACCGTGTGGAACGTCAATCCACCGCCCAAACCACCGCCGAGATTCTGGAGGTGCTCCGCGAGATGTTTCCAGACCGAACCATCCCGCACCCGACGGAGGTCACCTACCCGCGCTGGTCGCAGGAGCCCTGGGCCTACGGCAGCTACTCCAACTGGCCGGCGGGGACGACCCTCGAGATGCACCAGAACCTGCGGGCGAATGCGGGCCGTCTGTGGTTCGCGGGCGAGGCGACCAGCGCCCCGTATTTTGGGTTTTTGCATGGGGCGTGGTTCGAGGGGCGGGAGGCCGGCGCGCATGTCGCGGTGTTGCTGCAGGGAAGGTGTATGGAGTCACAGGAGGAGGAGAATTGTGGGGAGCGGATGCATTACGAGCCCTTGAATGGGACGACGCCGTTGGAGGCGTATAGTATGGTGAATGGGTGGCCGGTGAGTAGTACGGATTGGTAGGGGGGGACGCTCCCTGGTAGCGATAAAATGCGGCATGCATCAAGCGTGAGACTATTGCTTGGGACTGTAGATGGATGGTATGGTGATACGGCCTTGTTAGCCAGCCTAGGAGTGATCACTAGAATCAAGGGTATTAGCAATTCATACACAGTACACAAAAAGTCTGATAGACAGCCAATCACCATCTAATACAATCCGCCTCTTCTACAGGGATGCAGGGAAGGAGCCCTTATCTCGGACGTCCGACGAGTCAACTCCCATATAATGGGTCCCTATACTGTGTAAAGCTCTTCATCCAGCGACTCTTCTTGTATCGGCTGATATTCTGAAGATGTGTGTGACAGCTCCAGAGACTCAGGACTTGGCTCACCCGCCTCGTGCACGGCATGGTCCTGGGAAGGGCTGCAAGGCTTAGACATGCATGTTCATTTTGGTGGCGCAGATCCTTCACGCCGGGCCTGGAATCCATCAGGCTGTTTTAGGCACCAAGCTGATGATGCAAAGTAGTGTATAAAATGTCTGTTGAGACTTGCATCGAAGACCACGCGCCTGAGTTCTTCTCTTCTGAGGATCCAAGATGCTAGTGACTATCTTACACCAATCCATACCTTCACCCAGGAAACGCTTTGAGTCTACCTCGGATGACCAATATTAACATTACCTTCGACACGATCCTGAAACCGAATTCGAACCTTGGCGTTCCAGTTCTGCTGTGAGGCTTGATGAGGATGTACTTGGGGCCCAGTAGCCATTAACAAAGACTGTACCAGACGATTTTTACTCTTCCCAAACTGAACGCGGGCCCCTGGTTGTACCCATTCATAGCAGTCCCCGTGTTAGGATTGACTCTGGTACTCGCCATGCTGATGGTCAAGTACGAGCAGTTGTTCCCTGACGTGAGGAGGCTGGCGAAGGGTGCCAGAGGCTCCCTTGGCGAGGTCAATGGAGAGCCAGCCCTTCCTGAATTGAGGCCCAAGGTATTCCTGGGATCCAACAACAGCTTTCCTGTTCAGCGTCTGTCTAATGACCCCCACCCCCCACACTCCCCGATCGGCCCATCTCGGTTGCGATTGCCGCCGTAGCATCGGATCCTACTCCAGCAGGCCAGACAGCTACGCTATCTCGTACTGCTGATATCACTGCATCTGCTCTCATCGTTTCTGCCCAAGGGTCATCGCAAATTATGGCTGCGGTAGCCGAGTTGAACCAGGCAATCGGCTGCCCGTGCCTTGGAACTGGATCATGCAATCATTGGCCAATTGCGTCACCAATCGCTTTCTTGACCATCCACCATGCTGTGTACAGCCTGGCTTTGGTACATGCAATGATTCTATACTGAGCCAACGTACTATGATCTCTCACAAAAGGTCTCCATCGGATGTCATATCTGCCTAGCTACCTATCTAAAGCCGTATATCGGTGAGATGCGTGTTCACTATATCAGTCAGATAGAGATAGAGAATCGCGAGGAGAAGAGAGGCCATTACCACACCGGCAGTATTCACAGATCCGGGAGGTCGCATCTGGCCGTGGGGGAACCGCAAGCACCACTCCAGTGCCTCGACCAGTTCAGGACCCCAGGGGTGGGAGCTTGGAAGGATGTCCAGATCCTGGGTTTCGTGCGGCGAGCCAGGCAGGACTCTCATTGCCACATTAACCCTAGGAGTGAGGTCAAAAATGTCAGCATGAACCTAACCATCCCCCAACTCCAAACCAAAACTGCTTCGCAATTGGAAAGGAAAGACACTCACCCCTCGCGCATCAGCAGCGTCGCGAATAGCAGCTGCCTCCGCCGCAACAGACTCTCTGCAAAGGTCAACAGATACGTGTGCGGTATCGCCTCCAGCGCCGTCCACATGCCGATCCCATGATGACCCGGCTCAACACGGTAGGCGTTCAGCAGCGCGTGATAGAAATCGGATCCAGCTGCAGTCCCCTTTCCCACCTCCGTTCCCTCAGTTTCTCTCTCCTTCCCCTTCTCATCCCCAGTATCCAGCTCCACAACCCCACCCTCCCCCAGATCCGCGCCATCCTGCTCCAACCGATCCAAAAACGGCATCCAGGGATTACAAACCACTAGCGCCTGCACCTTGATCACCCTCTCGGACCTCGTCTCCACCTCCAGCCGCCCAGCAACATTACTGCGCGCGAACCAGGCCACCCACGCCGCCAGCGCGGCCCCGGCATCCTCCCCGCCCACAATTACCCGCGTGGGGTCCCCGTTCAACCAGGCAATGCGCCGCTCCAGCCAGGCGAACACCTCCCACGCATCCTCGTAGGGGTCCGGGAAGCTCACCTGCGTCGTCTTGCGGTAGTCCGCGCTCACCAGGATGATCGGACGGCCTTTGGCGTAGAGGGCGGCCACGAGCCGCGCGCAGGTTGCGTCCTCGCTGTCCAGCGTGCCCGTGAAGAAGCCGCCGCCGTGGAAGTACAGGTAGACGGGGAGGTGGAGCGGGGTGTAGCCTTGGGGTTTGGGGGCGTAGACCCGCGCGGTTAGCGGGAGGTGGGTTGAGGGGCTGGACGGGGTGGCTGTGGACTGAGAGGATAGCTGGATCGGGCGGTGGATGTGGTGCGTTTGGATTGTGACTTTGCTGTGCAGGTCTGTGGCGGTTGGAGGTGGTATTAGCTTGGGGACTGGATGGGTGGGGGGTTTGGGGGACTTGCTCTCGCGCTCCATCGCTGCTTGGGATACTGCTTCGCGAGCCAGGTTCTGCTGTTGTTGGAGATCGAGGAGGTGGAGTTTGCTGGGCGAGGGCTGGGGTTGGGGGCTCGAGGAGGGCTTGGGGGTGCAGGTGCTGGCTGCTGGGGCTCCATCGTTTGGAGACGGAATAGGTATTTTCACCTCTGCGCGTTTATCGGCAGAGTCGTCTTCTTTGATGTCTAGCATCTTGCTCGTGGAGGAGTTTTATCTTGTCTTGATAATGGTAGGTGGATGGTGGGAGGAGGCTGGATTGGTGGTTGAGGGGGCAGTATCAACTCGGAAAAAGAGATATCGTGGTAAATGGCAGTTGCCCGAAACGTAGGCCCGGTAGAGTTGTGTAGATGCCACTTTCCATCGCTGAACACCGAAATAGGTGGTGGGTGTCTTCTAGACCTGAGTGGTATGTATGGTTCTTTGTGTCCACGGTGCGGTACGCGACTGCCCTTTGTGTGAATATTCCACACCTGCCTTTGTCCGGTCTGTTTACTGGAATGACCTCTTCGGCTTATTGACTGCCTATGCCTTGTAAACCGCCTAATGTTAGCCCTGAATTTGATTGGTAATCAAGCTGGTGGATTGACGAGCATACTGGCAAGCAAACCCCACTGTTGATGGCGGGAGAGTGCAGCTCGAAGAAGGCTATTGATTTCTTTCTCTGCATTCATATTTGAGCATATTGCGTGTTGCTACCAATTCAGAGAGAGCAACTCTTTAGCTCTCTGTAAATTCTGTGCCTCATTACGCTTTCTTGGTCTGTAATGAACAGTGGTTACTGTCAACCTCTGATATGTACAAAACTGTGTGTGCGCCCTCCAATAATCAGGTATAACCGTTCCATTATCTTCAGGAGCACCAAGATTATGCTAATGAACCGTGGTTGAGCAGAACAGTACTAGATCTAAATGCATCTTACTATCTCTCTGTCCGTCAACCCTAAACTCGCCCTTCCAACCCAACAGCGGATATGCGGCTTGAAACTATCATTCGAGGATAGGGTTCTTGACGTCACAACGGCATCTGTTCCTGAGGCCGAGATATCCGAGTGTAACCATCTCATCCCATTTGACTTCCCGAGGTTATCATAGAAGCACCGACCCTCAAACCTGCTGACCGAAATTAGTGCCGAAATTAGATTCTGGGTGCAGGTCATGGGGTCGTTGGATGGCAAACCAGCAGCATCATAGTGCTATGACTAGGTGTGCAGATGTTATCCGCAGCAAGCAGCTACAGTAGTATCCGTCTTGTGGGCAAAATACTCGGAGAATGGAGATCTTCGACACGTCAGATGTAGACTAGCCACTTAATCCAGAAAATCATTAATCGTCATGCAAGGTACGATGCATACCGCCGCAAATCAAATGTACAAGCAAGCAATAATACAAGAGCCATGCATCCGCTAACCGTAAGAACGCTGCACCTCGACCCTCTCCCCCCATCAAACCAGATTGCCCCGCAGAGCCTGCTCCCGCTCAATCGCCTCGAACAGCGACTTAAAATTCCCCGCCCCGAACCCGGAGAAATTATGCCGCTGGATGATCTCGATGAACACCGTCGGGCGGTCCATGAGGTGCTGTTGCGTGGGTCAGTAACCTACACCTCTCGTAACCATCCCAAAAAGGGTGTGGAAGCATACCTTCGTAAACAACTGCAGCAAATACCCCCCCTCATCGAAATCAATCAGGATATCCAGCTTGCGGATCTCGTCGAAGTCCTCGTGCAGCACCAGGCCGGCCTTCTTCAGTCGGATCTTGATGTCCTCGTAGTAGGTGTCGGGCACCTTGATGAACTCGACGCCGCGCGCCTTGAGGTTGGTGATGGCCGCGAGGATGTCGTCCGTCAGTAGCGCGATGTGTTGCACGCCCGCCCCGTTGTAGAAGTCCACGTACTCCTCGATCTGCGACTGCTTCTTGCCCTTAGCGGGCTCGTTGATGGGCATCTTGACGACTTCGTTGGGCGAGGCCATGACGATGCTCTTGAGGGCGGAGAATTCGCTGTGCGGGCGGGGGAGGTAAGCAGGTTGCTGTTATGTTGGGGAGAGAGGGGGGGGGGGAGCAGAACGTACGTGCAGATATCTTTGTCGTCGACGGACCAGAAGCGGTGGAAGCCGAGGGCGTTTTCATAGCTATTGCGGTGTCAGTGTCGGTGTATCATCCCACATGTTTCCTGTTTCATGATCCTGGTATCTCGACGGGGACATACTACTGGCAGATCTTGTCCATCTCGTCCCAATCCTGGTTCCCCACACAGTGATCGATCCGTCGCAGATGCACCCCCGGCAGGAGAGCGGTGATCGGGTCAGCAGAACCCTTCTCCACGCGGTATCCCGGCAGGAAGACGCCGTGGTACTCACTCCGCTCGATCAGGGTGTGTGTCGTCTGTCCGTACGTCTGGATGGTGGCCACGCGCACCCGGCCATCGGCGTCCTCGAGGATCCGCGGGCCCGAGACGGCTTTGGCGCCGTTGGCCACGGCGGCGTTGTAGACGGCATCAACCGAGTCCACCTCGAAGGCCACGTCCTTGACAGCGTCACCGTGTTGCTCGAGGTGGTCGTGGATCTCGCGGAGGAGGTCTTGTTCTTCGGGGTTGAAGCGGGCGAGTTGGTCGAGGGAGCGCAGGGGGGAGGTCAGGATGAAGGTGATGTCGCCGTTGCGGACGACATGCGAGCAGATGGCGCGGCTGTTGGTCTCGAGGCCGCGGTAGGCCACCCGCTCAAAGCCCATGCGGGTGATGTAGAAGGAGGCGGCTTGTTTGGCGTTGCCGACGTACCAGTGCACATGGTCGTAGCCTTTGTAGCTGGCGAGGCTGGAGGTGTTGGTGGGGAGGGAGGAGGTGGTGGGAGAAGAGGTGGCGATGGGGGCCATGGCGATGATGTGCTTATCAGGCAGTCGATAGATGTGTACCAGTGCCTTTTCCAATATTCTGGTAGAGAGATATGCAGGTAGTAGGGAAGTAGTACTGTTTGAATGTGTAATGAAAGAATCCTGAGGCTTGCTGTTGGAGTTCTACAGATGGAAGACGGCAAGCTTATAACCCTATCTAATGACGGATATTCCCACCTCCACTGTTACTGCACTCGGACACTTCTGGTGATAACGAGTCCCGAGGGTTTGATAGTACAGAGTGAGGATCCAGTCTATTTCCCGGAGAGGCAGGGAAGAGTGGCGGCTGCGGACGGACAGGCCCGGCTGACGGCGGGTGTTTGAGCAAACATCCGGATTGAATGTCTCGGACGGTTAGACGCGCATTTCCGACGCGGGTTTGACTCTGGCCAGAGAGCCCAGATATACTCCGGACAGATAGATAACATCCCCTCATATCCTTCACAGGGTGGTCTCCTACAGGAAAAGCATTTACGTTTATCATCAGCAGTCCCCTTCACCTTCCTGCCTACACGTAACCTTCATAGAATACGCAGACACACAATCACAATGACCACAATCGACCCCTGCAAACCATCCCTCACATCCAACGACGCAGCCGTCCTGCAAGCCCTCTTCGACGCAGAATCCTCTCCCTCCTCCGCTCTCGCCATTGACGCGACCCTCCCCACATTACCTTCTCACCTCAACATCTCGCCAGAGAAGCATGAATCCCTCAAGTCAGCCGAGCTGGAGATCATCCGCACGCTCCAACAACCAGAGCCCTCGCTCGCCACCGTCCAGAAAGCCATCACCGACCTGGACCACCTCATTACCGACGCACCCACCTACCCCTCCGCCTACATAAACCGCGCCCAAGCCCGCCGTCTCCTGATCGACCTCACCCCAATCCCAGCCTCCTCCTCCTCCTCCTCCTCCTCCTCCTCCTCACCATCCTCCTCACTATCCTCCTCAAGTATTCAAGACACAGACACAGACACAGACACGAAGCTCTTCGCACCCGCCAACCGAACACCCGCCTCCGCCCTTCTCGCCGACCTCACCCAGGCCATCCAGCTCGTCAGCCCGCGCTCCCCCGCCGATCCCGTCTCACCGGGCCAAGCACGCATCTTGGCAGATGCGTACACACACCGGGGGTATCTCTTGTTGAAAGCCGCGAGATTCCGACACTCGCACGGAGAAGGCGGTCCGGAGCGGTTGCACGGACTGGGGGCACAGCAGCTGGAGGAGATGGCGAGCGGGGATTTCTTCCTGGGGGGACGGTTCGGCAACAAGGTCGCGCAGCAGCTGGCGGTGCAGACGAATCCGTATGCGAAGATGTGTGGAGCGATCGTGAAGGAGGCATTAAGAAAGGAGGTTGCGGCGGGGTCGGTGATGGATTGGTGAGGATCAGGCCATAGTGCGAGGAAGCTGAATCTCGGGGTCTATAATTGATGCATTATTGTACAAAGAACCAATATGATCTCGTTCTTCAGCTGATCATGCCATTGTTGCCCTGGAAGTCAAGTATATGTAGAGTGAGACGCCGACTGACTGAGTTGGGTGAAGAAGACGCCGACCAAATCGAGCAATCCGGATAGGCTGGAGGTGTCCGGATCGGGGATAGTGTCCAGCAAACAGGCCCAACAGACCAGACAGAACAAACAGGGGAATCCCGAGATGACGTGATCGCCGAGACCGGCAATTGGCTTACAGTTCAATCCAATCAAGTTGACTTTCAGGTACCATACAATTTCACTGAATATCTTCTTTTTTATCCTCATCCTCATCCTCTCTCCTCTCCTCCATTCTCCCTCCCCCCCCTCACCCTCACCATCGGTGACATCCGCAACACAATGTTTCGCAGCAGCGTCACCCGCGCCGCCCGCGCAGCCAACATCCAGCCCCCCGTCGCCTCCCTCCGCACCTTCGCCACCGCCGCTTCGCCCTCCTCCTCCCCCTCCCCCTCCGCCACCAACCCCGTCACTCCCGCCTCCACGCGCAACCACAAGATCCTTGTCATCGGCGGCGGCACTGCCGGCCTGAACGTGAGCCACCAGCTGCTGCACACCGGCCAATACACCCAGGACGACATCGCGATCATCGACCCCGCCGAATGGCACCACTACCAAGCGGGCTGGACCCTGGTGGGCGGCGGCGTGAAGACCAAGGAGGAGCTGCGGCGGCCGCTGCCGGGGCTGGTGGACGCGAAGCTCAAGCTGTACGGGCAGGCGGTTGACGGCTTCACGCCCGACCAGAACACGGTGACGCTGGCCAACGGCGACCGGCTCGGGTACGAGCAGCTGATCGTCGTGCCGGGCATCCACGTCAACTTCAACAGCATCAAGGGCTTGCCGGAGGCGCTGGCGGACCCCAACAGCCTCGTCTCGTCGATCTACGGATATGAGCACGTCGACAAGGTCTATCGCACCCTGAACAAGCTGAAGCGCGGCAAGGCGCTGTTCACCCAGCCCGCCGGCGTGCTCAAGTGCGCCGGCGCCCCGCAGAAGATCATGTGGCTGGCCCTCGACCACTGGAAGCAGGCCGGCCTCTACGACCCCGCCAACCCCGCCCAGTCCGCCATCCAGATCAGCTTCGCCACCGGCCTGCCGGGCATGTTCGGCGTGCCCAAGTACAGTGCCGCGCTGGAGGCGCTGCGCCAGGAGCGCGGCGTCGAGGGCTTGTTCCAGCACGACCTGGTGGCCGTCGAGGGCAACACGGCCACCTTCGCCAAGGGCGACGGGTCCGGGGGCCAGGTGCAGCGCGAGTTCGATCTGCTGCACGTCGTCCCCAAGATGGGCCCCCACGCGTTCGTGAAGAACTCGCCCCTGGCCGACGCGGCGGGATTCGTGGACGTGGACAACGCCACCACCCAGCACAAGAAGTTCAAGAACGTGTGGTCGATTGGTGACGCCTCCAGTCTGCCCACCTCCAAGACGACGGCAGCCATCACGGCGGAGGCGCCCGTCCTGGTGCGCAACCTGCTGCGCGCAGCCGAGGGCAAGGCGCCCGACGCGGAGTACGACGGCTACACCTCGTGTCCGCTGACGACCGAGTACGGCAAGGTGCTGTTGGCCGAGTTCAAGTACGCAGGCGTGCCCAAGGAGACGTTCGGGGGCTGGTTCGGCATCGACCAGGCCGTGCCGCGCAAGGCGTTCTGGCAGCTCAAGAAGAACTTCTTCCCCTGGGTGTATTACAACAACCTGGTGAACGGGACGTGGGGCGGTCCCAAGGGGTGGTTGCGGTAGATGTGGGGGTGTGTATAGAAGTGTGATACTAGCCAGTAGGGAGAAAATGTAATGTACATTCTTGGTTGAGTGAGTTGTAATTCACCTGCAGTTATGCTTGTGCCTGTGTTGTAGTCACGTACTGTCTTGTACATTGTGAGTAGAGTGGTTAAGAAATGTATAAACCGGTTGTAGATCGTCTTCACCCGCTACCACCACAACCACGCCTCGATACTCACTACTCGACAAGATATCTCCCCAGCCGCCATAGGTACCAGCTGTCATATAGTAACTATATGCTCTTACCAGGGCAATCCAAGCTTCCCTCGCAATTGACACAACTCCACTTGCCCTCCTTAAATAAGCCACCTCCCCAGAAGAAGAACAGAAAAGAGAAATACTTGAATGCAATAACCCATCGAATTCATTATATACACCCATTAATCCATAACGCATGCCCAGCCCTAAAAACTCACCGACCCCGTCAACTGCACATCCCGCACACTCTTCCCCACAAACAACCCATACTCGCCGCGCGGCAACACCCAGCTCTGCGCCACCACGTCCCAGGTACTCAGATCCCTACGCGTCAAGTTGAAGGTAACCTCCTTCGTCTGGCCCGGCTCGATCAGCTCCTTCGCAAACCCGCGCAGCACCTTCGCCGGACCCCCCGGGATGCCCACGTACAGCTGCGCGACCTCCTTCGCGGCCACACTGCCTGTATTCTTGAGGGTACACGAGACCGTGACCAGCTCGTCCCAGAGGGAGGGGAGGCCGCCCTCCGCGACGGTGGCGGTCAGGTCGGGCGGGGTGTAACTCGTCGCGGCCGTGGTGGTGGTGTTGACGACGAGGTTCGTGTAGGTGAAGTCGGCGTAGGTGAGGCCGAAGCCGAACTCGAACCGCGGCGTGATGTTTTTGGCTTCAAAGTGCTTGTAGTCGATGTACACGCCCTCGCTGAAGGTGTCCTGCGGGTAGTAGATCTCCGTCTTGTCTTTTTCGGTGGACGGCAGGGTCGGGCCCAGCAGGGCGCCGTAGTCGCTTGCGTTGCGCGCCACGGTGTACGGTAGTCGGCCGGAGGGCGATTGCTTGCCGTACAGCACCTCGACCAGCGCGGCGCCGCTGTCCTGGCCCGGCAGGTGGGCGTACATCACGGCGGTGATGTTGGGGTGCTCGATCCACGCGTCGACGGGTCGGATGCCTGCGTTGTGGATGATGACCATCGTGTTGTTGCATTGCGCGGCTACGTGCTGCACCAGATTGTCCGAGTAGCGGTCGCTTAGGGCCGGGCGGTCCCAGCCCTCCGCTGCGGCGGCGTTGATGAAGACGAGGCAGGCTTCGCTGGCCGGGTTGACGAGCGGTGCCGGGGAGGTGAAGTCCCACGCCAGGAAGGTGTTGTCCGCGCGGGCCTGGCGCTGCAGCGCGTCGAAGGGTGCGTCGATGTACGAGGGCGTGCTCGACCCGGACCCGCCCCCGGTGTACATCGTGCCGTTCAGGGCGATCCCGGGCCCCGTCGCGGTCGGGTCGGTGCTCGACAGGAAGATGTATTGCAGCATCGTCGGGTCCACCGCGCTGCCGTTGGGGTAGGTTTGTGTGTTCGTCCAGCCCATCGCCCACAGGCTCCAGGAGAGATCGTCCATCGTGTTCTGCGGGGCGGCGATGGCGTCGTAGCCGAAGAGGGAGAGGAAGCGCGGCGACGAGAGGGGGAGGGCCTGGTTCGTGTTCTTGACCAGGACGTGGCCCTCGACGGCCCCCTGGAAGATGGTCTCCTTGGCGGCCGGGTCGCGCGCGTCCACGAGGGTGTGGGGCTCCAGCAGGCTGACGGGCATGCCGTGGCCCGGGTCTTCCAGCTCCGCGTACTTGTACCAGGCGGCCACGATGCGCGTGGCCATGTCGTCGAGGCGGGTGGCGGCCAGGGAGCCGTTGGCCACGGCCGTCGCCAGCTGGTTGCCGTCCCAGTACTCGGAGGAGGGCATGGCCATGTCCAGGCCGGCGTCGGCGCTAGCCAGCCCCGTGTGCTGGGCGCTCCAGTCGGAGACGACGAAGCCCTGGAAGCCCAGCTCGCCCTTGAGCAGGCCGTTCATGGTCTTGCTGTTCTGGCAGCCGTAGCTGTTGTTGATGCGGTTGTAGCTGCACATGACGGAGCCGGCGCCCGCCTTGACGGCGTCCTGGAACGGCCAGAGGTACAGCTCGTGCATGGTCCGGTCGTCGATATTGGACGAGACCGAGTTGTTGTGCGAGCCCGTCAGCATCTGCGGGCTGTTGCGGTTGGTCTCCTGCTCGTTGCCGATCAGGTGCTTGACACACGCGATGACCGATTCCTGCAGTCCGCGGACCGTGTCCCCCGTCAGCGCGCCCGCCAGGTACGGGTCGTTGCTGAACCCTTCCCAGTTGCGGCCGCCGCGCGCGATGCGGCCCAGGGGGCCGGCCACGGGGCCCAGGGCCACGTTGACGCCCTTGCGCTTGAACTCGGCGCCCATGTACTGCGCGCGCTGGTAGGCCAGCTCCCGGTTCCAGGAGGCGCCGACGTGCAAGCCGGACGCATAGCCGTTGACCATGTCGGTGCCGCGGACGCCGCTGGCGGCATCCTGCAGGCAGATGCCGGGGTAGCCCAGCCGAGGGACGCCCGCCGTGTTGCCGGAGCACCCGTTGGTGGTGGAGGAATAGCCGTAGGTGATGTTGTTCTTCTCCTCGTCGGTCATCTGGGCCACGAGGGCTTTGGCCTTGGTGAAGGCATCCTCCCAGTCACCTAGACCTTGGGCCTCGGCTGTGGAAGGTTAGTTTATGGCTGATGGGTGACGGGTGATGCAGTGTTCGACTCACGAGTGGGATAGACGGGTTCTGAGCGGCCGTAGGACCAGTAGTGCTCGAGGTCGGTCACGTTGAGTGTACGGGGTTGGATGACGGCTGCGCCCGCCAGAGGCAGAGCTGCCGCCGTTAGGGGAACGGTGAGCTTCATTCTGGTCGAGTGTGCAACGACGCGGATGGAAGCTGGATGTGTTGGGATGGAGCTGGATCCAGCAGGCGCTGCGGGGGGCTGTTTATATAGACACGATTCCAACCTGGAGAATCGCTCAATCCACGCCGACTCCGCAGTCCACCCTGTCTGGCCCATTCCGCCCAACAATCGGCCACCTCAAGGTCCCAACTGCCGTCATGGTGGGCGAACATGACTGGTGACCGTGACGAGGGTGTCACCGTCTGCGTGGGCCGAGCTTGGCATGCGGCGTGGAAAACTGGCATGGCACGAGAAAAGCCCGGTGACTGAAGTCTAACTCGTCGCCTCCGATGCTAGGAGGGAGGAAAACAGCAGAGGTAGAGCTCTCAAGTGGAGCGTGAAGTGTGACATCCAGAAGTTAGGGTTGGGGTTCGGGGACAAACCGAGTCCGGGGATGGAGCAAGAAAGGGGAGAATGCGGGGACTCCACGAGGAATGGAAGGGAATTCAGCCAATGCCGCCGCTGTACCAGCCGAGCCGTGCTGCCCACCACCACCACCACCACCACCCCTCGGCAAAACCCCGGCAATTCCATGATGTTCTTTCTACAAAGCAAGAATCCAGAGGAATTCAACTCTGGAGGTGGTGGTCGACGCTCGGGCCTATCCGAGTCACGCGGTTTGGTGGCGGGTTTGGCGCTTCGTGACAGGCTCGTATCCCTCGGCGCGGTCATGGTGGGGCCAGCTGGCTGTCGGTAATTCTTGCCCTCCCCTGCCCTTTTTCTGCAGCAATTGGTTTTCCGTGGGGAGCATTCTGTGGGGTTGCGGTTGCAGAACCCGAGGATGTGGCTCGCTCGCACAGGAAGTGAAGTTCTCATCGTTGACATCGTGCCATGTGTGGCGCCTCTTGGGGGATGGTTGCCATGCCTTCTGCGATCCAAGCAGGGCTTCGGCGCTTTCTGCCCGGTTTCTTCAGTTTCCTTCACCATTGGTCACGGATGACTGAGTGGAGTGGGGGATTCTCTTCAGGGTAATGCTGCCTTTGAAGAAAATTCTTCTATGACGGCATTTTTGGTTTCAGAGGAGACATATGTTTGATCCGCAAGCATCAAAAATACCTTCACAAGTAACAGATGTCAACGGCTGCAGAAAGCACTTGTAGAACAAGCCCTCTGAAGTTGTGTGTTACAGGGAGTGCAGGTGGATGAGGTGAATGGGGAATTCGCGATCCCGAGCACGGCTCATTCACCCCGCAAGTTGGGGTTGCCGACGGGGAAAACGCGGGAAAGGAAAAAATGAACCATTATACGCCCTACTAGCTACACATTAGAGAGCTAAGTACTAAGGGAGTAAGGTCGCGTCAAACTCTTGGCCCGAATCGGCACTCAGCATCTATAGGTAGTCCCATCAGGAAATCTCCACGACCATCATGGATCAAAGTGTCGTCTATCCAGACTCACAACCACTCCTTCCGATGACATCCCATCATCCGAGAGTCACCAACTCGGAAAATTCTCAACCACTGTTCCGGTTAAGACTTTTGCAGCAGACGGAACAGTCTAGAATTAGCGCCATGTGGCAGAGCTTGGCAAGGACGGGCAAGTGGCCAGTAAAACCATGACTGATTCATCTCAAGATCAACCCCCGATGTTCGGACTCACTCCAAGCGGGCCTCCACGGCCACCATCGGCACCCCGGGGCTCTGCCAGACCTGGGCCAGCCGCAGCCCCGCCGCCTCGAACAGGCGCGCGAAGTCCTTGACCGTCCGCTCGGTCCCTCCAAACATCATCATCATCATCGTGTGATCCATGTAGGCGTGGGCCATGGTGGCGCCGACCTCGGGCAAGATCGTCTCCGTGATGAGGACTCGGGATTTCTCCCGGTCCATTGCCGCGGCCAGGTGCATGAGGATCTCGCAGACCTCTGCGTCGGGTCAGTCGTGCAGGACGCGGCGGATATAGTAGACCAACGCGCCTGAGGGGACGGTGAGAGTCAGCGTGCTTGATGTTGTTGATGCAGAAGAGCCATTATCCCTCGTCACGTACCTTTCACAGGCTGCGGGGTGAAGAAGTCATGGGTCATCGGCTCGATGCCATGGCGGGTCATCGCCGGCCCATTGTCGGTAATGACACTGGCGCGGTCTTGGAGGATGAAGCGCCCCGCTAGGCTGGGGCTGTTCTCCTTGATCTGGCGCAGGATGTGGCCTCGTTTACCCCCGAGGTCGACGATGGTCGGCTGATCCGCCTGCGCCAGCGGACTCAGTCGCTCCACGAACGGGTACAGCCCGATCTCGGCGACCATCGCGTTGTTGAGTCGGGTCAGTCGCGCGGGACTCTGGGAGATGTGCTCGAACATCGTCTGGTCCTCACATTGATGCACAGGGGCGTATGGGTTTCTGCGTAGGCTGATGCGATCCTGTCACTGGGTGTTGGCGGAGGAATTCGTGGGTGCGCAGCATCGCCGGGCGGTATTCGTCGACCCTGGTATCCCGACCTCGGATCATGAGCTGCCCGTTGCTGGTTGACTGACAACCAAACCTAGTTGAGGGATGATTGACAACTCACATAAAACTCAGAACGGCACGCATCTGGGGAGCGAGATAGATCTCCGAGTTGGGGGTGTGGGCATACTCCTCCTCGCCGGTCTCGCGAAACGGTCCGAAGGGCGTACCCGCCCGCATCATGCGCACTGCAGCATGTCACATCGATGTCAGAACAGGGCACGGGTCACCTCCATCCAGGAGAAAAGAGCTCACGATCGCACACCTATGATCTCCTTACTCACCCCCGTTCGAGCCCTGGCCGCCGACCGGGATGGCATCGAATACTCCGGCTGCGAGGAGCGTGCGGATAGCGCCCAAACCGGCCATCTCAGGACCCCGGAAACGTCTGGTCAGTTTCTCAATGAGATGATTTGTCTGCCCATGCCCACATTCTCGAAGTTGGCGAAGACCAGATCGGCAGGTCCGCGGATGGTCTGCACCAGACGCATCGCCTTGATCAGCAATTCGTACCGTGCATCCTGGTTGCTAAGCGAGATTGAAGGGTTTCGGAACTGGCCGATAGACTGAGCCACCTCGTCCAGACACTGCTGGATGCGATCGATGCTGGGATCGAGAGGCGCCATGACAGGTTCCACCGGTGACACAGGCACACGGACAAGTTCGGCGGAAAGACAGGATATTGTATCCGGAGGCCAAGGGGGAAGGGGAGCCGCAAAGTCTTATAGATTGGTCCTTTTGCACAGCTTGCATACGGAGAAAGGGGATTGGAGGGATGCCGATGTAGAGTGTGAATGAAATTGGATACATCACGAAAGGCAAATCAGGGTCTTATTGGCTAGACTCGAAAAGGCAACACGACCTGCAGCAATAGCCAGATGCCATTCGTGGGGCAGTGATTAGATCGACAGGAGATCTTTCCTGGTGGATTGTTGTGATAATACTGGCTGGCATCGAGTGGGTCCAACACCTGTCACATTGGGCTCTGTGCTCTCTCCTTTCTGCACGGATGCTCACGGAGTCTCAACGCCTTCAGGGAACCACCGAAAGACCAGACGGAATTTCACTGGTTTTCTGCGGAGCCACGAAGCCACTTCCTTTGCATATGCATCATACTGTTCTGGAGAAGGCCAGAAAAGGCTGGCAAAGGCTGACGATGGCTGGATCAGGGCTTGGGGAATAAGCGGGGGAGCCCTCATTTCTTGATTTCTCCGCGCTGTAACCACCGTCTTGGCCAAAGCCTCATCCCAACAAACAACCCATCTATCCAACTGACTCGACCTCATTTTCGGACAAATACACGATCACCGACCGGTGGATATCCGTCCTTACGCTTTTCACCCCATTGCATCGGTTTGTTGCCACCAGAAGAAAAGGAGAACTTGCACCTGCAGTTCCAAGGAAAGAAGCACATCCCCCAACGGAGAAGATCTCAGATAGGGGCAAACTGCGCTATCTGGATTCCTCCGCAATTATTGATCTTGCGTCCGGCCCTTTTTGCTTCGGGATGCGACCGGATGACAGGTCGTCTCCGCAAGCAGCGATCCTAGCCTGTCAATCGCAGAAACGGTGGCGATCGTCAGGGAACTTGCACCAGCACGTACTGTACAGGACTTGGCCAGCCCGCCCCCCTACGTCTGGAGAACAAGGCCAAGGTCCCAGTGCTTGGACCCTCCCCTCTTCTGCGGGGACCAACTTTCGCCAGAGACAATAGGGTTGATCGGGGCCCGGGTGGAGAACTTTGGATTGTTTGCGATCGAGGTGTCACTTTGTCTGACCCATTTCAAGAAACAGTGGGTGAGGGCATGCTGTGGATGGTGGCGTTAATGGTCCGACCACATCGAGCTGGGCGTCAGCCAAGGAGGTACGATCGCCATCTCCGCCCAAACTATGCAATGCAGGAGAGACTAGACCGGTAGTCGATGCATCTTGCATATGAGCTCTTCCATGGGCCCGGGAGGGGGCCGAAAGTACGAACGAGAGAGGGAAAGGCTTGATCGGATTGACAGGATATAAAGAAAAGCATGGACGCAAAGTTGGGACCGTGGACCGTTCAGTCCTGACTCGACACAGGGCCTCTTTTCAATTGCATGCCAAATAGAGCTGCTGCTGCTGCTGCGACGATTGCCGACCGGGACATCCAGCTGTTTATCCCTTCAACTCCATCATGTCAACCACTGCCTTGGATTTGAGCAAGGTGCCGGCGTCAGACCCGCCCCCCGGCGTCACAGCCAACTTCAACAACCCGGAGAATCAGAACTACCAGATCTATTCCATCAATCTCGCGCTTTGCTTGACAGGAACGGTCGTCTTGTTGTTGCGTTTGTATACGCGGATGGTCCTGCAGAAGACGATCGCTATCGATGACTGTAAGCTAGCTGCAGGCATTAATGCCAGCTGGACCGACCAGGCTGACGGATGTTTCCACCAGGGTTCTGCATCTGGGCTCAGATCTGCGCGTGGATATTCGCAATTCTGGGGATCGTCAGTAAGTCATGGAAGAGTTTCTCGAGTGCGTCCAGTCAGCTCAGAGTCCCACCTGCATAGACATTGACAATGGGTACGGGGTTCATATCTGGGACCTGCACCTCGACAAGATCAAGCCGTTCAAGCAGGTATGCATCTGGCTTCCCCCACCATGCTGTGCATCTGCAACGACAAATCCTGACTAAACCCATTTAGAATGATCTGGCAGGCGAGGACGTCTTCGTGGTCGGCATCTGGCTGGTCAAGACCTCGATTCTGCTGTTCTTCCTGCGCCTCAGCCCCGAGAAGCGCTTCCGGCAGATGACCTACGGCATCATGATCTTCGTCGCGGTCTACAACATGATCAGTCTGCTCGTCTTCACGCTCGGGTGCATCCCCGTCCAGGCCATGTGGGACGTAACGCTGATGCCGACCGCGCGGTGTGTCGACCAGCTGGCCTTCGTGTATGCCAATGCGGCCTTCAACCTGTTCTCGGACATCATCACGCTTGCGCTGCCTATCCGGCTCTGCTGGTCGCTGCAGACCACCCTGAAGCAGAAGGTGCTGCTCATGATGGTGTTGATGATGGGTTCCTTGTACGTGCTCCCTGCCCCGGCTGCTGTCCCAGTGTAGTCGTCCGTGTGATTCCGTGGCTAACGCAGCATCCAGCGCCTGCGTGATCGCGATCGTGCGAATTGTCACTATGATGCCCTTCATCCACGACGGCGACTTGACCTGGTACAAGGTGACCTTGGCGAAATGGGCGTATGTATCTCCAGACCTCCCCCTCGCACCGACATGCAACACCAACTGACTGACCACCCGGGGAAACAGCATGGTGGAAATCAATGTGGGCATCATCTGCGCGTGCCTCCCCGTGCTCCGGCCGCTGCTCTTGCAGCTGGCGCCGCACCTCCTGGGCAGCAGCAAGGTGTCCAGCGCGGCCAAGCCCCGCGGCCACGGCAGCGACGGCAGCGCCGAGGCGGTCGGGGCGCGCAAGAAGGTCATCCGCAACTGGGACTATCTGTCCACCCTGCGCAGCACCGCCGCGGTGCCGGAGACGCAGGACGACGTGGAGGCCATGCACGAGATGGTCAAGTACGACGCCCGCGAGCATGAATCCGGGATCCACATGTCGACGGATTATTCGGTCACGAGCAAGCGGGACTGAGCGTGCAGTCTATCTGGATACACTTCAGATATCTGGAGCAGATAAGTGCGATTGATTGGGATGCTGGGCTTGGGTTCCTGTTCCAGAATGGCGGGATGAATGAATGGGGAGTGCCCGACGGGGCGGACAGAACAGTTAGGGTTGAACAACCCCGTCTTTTTTTTTTGTTCCTAGTTGGCGATAGGGGGTGGGCCAATGTCTGGATCGCTTTCTTTTTCCTCGAGGTTCTAGTTTTTAATTTCTATTATCATTTTCTTTTATTCTTATCTTCCCCATACCATGCCAGTCCCAGTCCCTCCTTCAATCAGATTGCAGTGGGAACCCCGGTACCCGTATTTAACACTCGGACATGTCGGAGTGGAAATTAATCATGCAGACAGAACGCCACTACGTTTCTCGGCTGTCCGACGGTCTTCCCGGAGTACTCGATGTCGTATTGTCAGTGGAGTGGTGATTGGTAATTGCAGAACTGCCGTATCGATTGAGCACTCACGGGGTATGATGTGCTAATGAACCGCAGGTCATTACTGGGAATCACAGCGGTAATACAATGACAAGTGGCGAACAACGGCATGGCCTCAACGCGCACCGGACCGACTTCTCATATAAGGATCCAACTGAAAACAGCCAGCACATGGCATGGCCAGATTTGCCATCCTGGCCGCACGCAATTCTCTGCGTCTTAAGTGGCTTGCGGGCCTGGCAGTGGGAACCCATCCGGGGAGGTCCGGAACTTCCAAAGTGGGGCGCTTGTCTTTCCTTTTCCTCTGGTCCTGCGCGCTGCATCCACTTGCAGGCAGGTAATAATTTTCCGGGTTCTCGCTGATAAGCTAGCTATTAGCAGGGTCACACCAAAGGCTAACATGGGAGATATGGTGAACGACCACGCGACTGGTTCCTCGCAGGTTTGATTAACCCCTCAGTGTGATGATGATGACGGGAGTGGTTGCAGGACAGTGCACGGGGCGCGATAAGCGAGGCTTGCTGTCTGTCAAACTGCATTCCTTTGCGGGATTGCTGGTTAATTAATTCTAAATTGACTCTCGTTTGTGTGCGCGTGTTCTCTCTCTCTCTCTCTCCACGAAATGAGGGAGGATAAGGACTAAGCCAGCCGAAGCGAAGAGAGTGGGCCTCTTCCACGCAGTAGAGGCACACCAAGCTTTTTTAGCCGGGCCCGACAAGCTTTGCCGAGCTTTGAGGGTTTCGATTCGGTATTGTACCGTACGCGGTTTCTTCACTCCGAGACATCGTGGTCGGAGGCTGAGGTCATCGTGCAGCACAAGAGATGTCATCACTCCCATTACCATTACTGCAGTGGGTGGGATGATTGTCTGGGATTTGCCTGTGTCTCTGTCTCACCGGTGGATGCAGCAGCAGGATGGAGGAAGATAAGAAATCCTTCTAGATTGGCGGAGAACAATCACCACTGCAGGATAGTCTACCACACCAGCCATGATCCCACCATCCCAACCCACCACCCCCACCTAGCACTGCCCAACAGTCCAATCCTATCCCTAACACCATGATCCACTCGGGGGTGTGGTTTGGTTCGTATCCAATGGATGCTTGATAGCTTGCCCCGACGGTTGAACGGGTGTGGTTCTCCCCCTCCCTGGCACTCAATCAATCAATCAATTCGACCCATTCACAGTTCACAATAGAACTAGTCAATATGTGAACAACCATTTATAACCCCCTCCTGTCCCACAGCAATGTCCATCTTTTCTTCTCCCCGTCCCTTCTCCCACTTTTTCTCTCCCCCGAATAGTATTTTCGCATCCTCCGCAAAATGGCAGGCATCGTCTCCGCCGCCAACCTGGGGGGTGTCGCCGACCCGCGCCTGGGCAACGAAGCCGATCTCATCGGCACCGAGGCCGAACACGGCATCATCGTCGACGACCACAGCCAGCATGGCCACCCCGGCAGCAAGGGACGAACGCTCCACACCATCCCCGCCCCCGTCATGCACGGCTCGAACAACATCTACCTCGACTCCAGCATCTCCTTCGAGAACTACCTGTTCTGGGCCAAGCGCTCCCGCGACTTCGAGAAGCATATCCGCACCGACAACCAGGGCTTCCAGCACATGTGGAATGTGATGCTGGGGCGCGCGTCCAAGGAGACAGCGCCCGCCCCGCGGATTGTGGATTCCACGACGAATGAGAAGCAGAAGGGTCCAGTCGAGGGTGCGGTTGCGGCTGGGGATGAGAAGGCAGCGATGTCGGAGAAGGCGGATTCCGGAGATGGGTATGGAGGCGAGCGGGAGGGGAACGGCGATCAGTATGGCATTACCGAGACGGAGTGGGAGCTGGCCCAGCGGGCCGCGAGAACGGCAACTTGGGGTGAGTGAATGCTGTTTTCTGGGGTTTTGGTAGGTTGTGGATTGAAGGTGAGGCTGACGGTCTTTGCGCGGGTAGGCTCGATTTTCTATTTGATCACCACCGATATCCTGGGTCCGACGAACGTGCCTTGGGCGATCAGTGTAAGTGGTTTTCTGGTGGGAAGAGTTGGCAGATGCAAGGATACTAACGAGGTGTATAGGTGATGGGCTATGGGCCTGGTTTTGTGAGTCGGCCACTGAGCCGAGTCCCGCGGGCCCCCAGCTAACATAGGGTCTTACAGGCGCTGTATACAGTCTTCGGTATCATGGCATACTAGTGGGTTTTTCCCCTCCATATCCAATATTTCTCAATCTCTTGACTGAACGCTCGGCAGTTCTGGAATGCAGCTGTGGAAGATCTTTAACGGCCTCGATTCAACCCGCTATCCCATGCGCAGTAGGTTCTCCCATTGGCACTACATTTGGCAGAGGTATAAAGGGACTGGCTAACAGACTTCCCCAGACTACGGCGATGTAGCGTTCCGGATCTTCGGCCCCATTGCTCGTATTGTCGTCAACATTCTTCAGAGCTTCCAGTTCTTCCTGAATGTGACCTTGCTGATTGTAAGCAACGGCCAGGGCTTGGCTCAGATGGCTGCTGGAGTAAGCGGCACGGGAAAACTATGCTGTAAGATTTTGATTCCTCGACCTCGAGCAGCAATTGCGGCAGTGCTGACGTCTCTCACCCTCATAGTCATCGTCGCCGAGGTCATCTTTATGCTTATCGGCTTCGTTCTGGGGCAGATCCGGACCTTACAGCGTCTCTCTTGGCTATCGAACCTGGCCATCTGGATGAACTTTACTGTAATCCTCATCACGTACGAGCACGGTGCTGTCCCCAGAAGAGCAAGAACAGTGCTGACAGAATGACTAGTATGGGCGTCGTCTACGTATACCCCCCCACCGACAGTGTCGCTAGCTCTATTAACCTCAATCCCGAACCTATTCGCACCAGCGCCAATTGGCCGGCGGATGGGACTCTGTACACTCGTATGACGGCGGTGATGAACTGTGTCTTCGCCTACGGTGGAGCCACCCTCTTCAACGAGCTGATGGCCGAGATGCGGCGCCCGTAGGCCTCCTCCATGTCTTCTTCTGTGCCGTTGCAGAGTGCTAACAAATGGGTAGCTTCGATTTCTGGAAAGGCTTCATCTGCGCCGAGGTCTTCATCTACGTATGCTACCTCGTCGAAGGAATGGTCGTCTACAACGCGCAGGGCCAGTATACCTTCAACCCGGCCTACCAAGGTGAGTGCCACAAGCCTGACCCCCGTCTCTACCGGATTGAGGGACATTATCTTTGTTTTCATGTCACGCTGACCAGGATCCTCCCCCAGGAATCCCCGACTCCGCTTACAGCTACCAAACCGGCTGTAACGCGCTCTCGCTCATCTCGGGCGTTATCGCTGCTCTGCTGTACGGCAACATCGGCATCAAAGTCTTCTACGCCTCGGTCCTGCGCGACGTCTTCCACTTCCCGCCGCTGGATCACCGGACCGGGAAATTGATCTGGATTGCCCTTGGTATGTGCCCCGTGATCTAGGATCGGAGCATTGAGGTTAACGAATTGAACAGTCCCAATCTACTGGTGCCTCGCCTGGGTCGTCGCCGCCGCCATCCCGCAGATTAGCAACCTCACCTCCTTCGTCGGCGCGCTCTGCATCCTCCAGTTCTCCTACACCTTCCCGCCCATGCTCCTCGTCGGGTTCAACGTGCAGAAGGACGCCATCCTGCCCGAGGAGACCTTCGACCCTCACACGGGCGAGACGAAGCGCGTGGACTCCGGGTGGAAGCGCTGGGTCCGCGGGTACCGTCAGCAGTTCGCCCGGAATACCTTTGATGTGCTGTACTCGTTGGCCGCGTTGGGCACGGCGGGGCTGGGGCTGTGGGCGTCGATTGTGGCGATGGAGACGGATTTCAAGGGAACGCCGTTGACGCCGTTCACGTGTACGAACCCGGCGGGTTAAAGATGCTCTGTCGGTCCTTGAGAAAGGGCAGGCATGGTGAGGAGTGGGATGCGAGGGCTGTACGGTATGCTAGATGTGGTTTTGGCTTATTTATTGTTTGGAGGTGTATGACTTGTTGGTTTATGAGCTTCCTGACTTTAGTCAAGTTCTGATGGGTTGTTTGTATATATAATCTAGAATGATTGATGCTTATTGGAACCTGGTCACAACACGGTGCTCGGTCTTGTTGGAAGGTTGGTATATGCTACAAGTGGCCATTTGGCACTAGCAAACATCGAAATGCGAGGGTACACGAAAAAGGCCACAATTCAAGATTTCGCAAGTCTTGCACGACTTTGTACAACGATTTGGCCCTGGCCTGTTTGGTAACAGATATGACCAACAGGAATAGACACGTGGATAAGAGATTGATCCAGGCTAATACAGGCAAAAGAGATGCCGAAACAACCACATAATCGGCCGCGCAGGTGCCCTACTCAAAAGTAAAAGCAGACGGTAATATCTCAATAAATCAGGCTAGAAACCCCCTCCCCTTTCGCCAGTCCAATTGCCGTCAGTCATGCATATAAGATCACGGATCCTCCTGTCCCCTTCCTAATTGAAGCGCTTTGGTTCTCCTCAACGCTCGAACCACAAAGGCAAACAGTAGTCGCCGGAACGTCATGCCCCCGGTGCGCCCGGATTCATCGAAGTACAGTCCTCGCACCGGTCGGTTGGTTTGAGCGGACGGGAAGCTGAAGATGAACATGGCATCCCAATCGAAGACCGCCACATAGCGGCAATGTTTGGAGTACTTGCCGGCCTGCTTGGGAGCCACACGGCATTGCTCTTCAGCAGCGTCAAACTGCTCTCGTTCAGTGCCTGGACCAATTTCGCCTCCACGGTCTGCTCGTCCACGGCAGCGGCGGGCCTGAAATCCCCCTTGTGGACCACCTCGGTGTTCTTGATTTCGAGCACGGCCAGCCGAGCGACCAATGCGCCCTGAGCGTCGCGCAGTGACCACTCTACGTAATCTCATTCTGATGATTGGCGAGTATTTTTGTAGTTAGTTTAGTATTGTTAACTTACTTGCTACTAGATTAATAGGTAGTGGTAAAAATAGACGGCGCTTACAGCTGGGACGGCGCTTGAAAATCGATTTACCGATGAGTCACTGCAAGGGGGGAAATATTAGTTGCCTGCCCGTCTTTTGTACATTATGTTGTTTAGAATCTCCAACTATCAGTGCAAATAGCATTTTTTAATTTTCAATGAATAGTAACAGAGGAGAGAAGAAAATTCTTCCAGGCTGATTTCAACCATGATCTACGTGGAAAGTTCCCCGCCTATGTTCGGGCCTCCATCCACCGAACTCCCCAAGCCCTCATCGCCGTACACCCCGGGCTGGCGATTCCAAGCCCAATCCCACGCACCTCTAGCTCCGACTCCAGTCGTACGTGAATGCTGCATCAGTAGTAAGAATGAGCAGGAAGAAAAGGAGCAACTCAGCCCCGTCGAGCGATGTGTGAAGCGACTCCCGTTGCCGGGCAACGAGGGTGATGATACGATCAGCCTAGAAGTCACCGGCACACTGAAAGCCGGCGATGGTCACAACTCCCAGGTCTTGACGGTCGAGGTACTAGACTCGACATCGACATCGCTGCCCCGCAAGGGCACAAGTCTCGTTGCCAAGATCTCCGACCCCCTTTACTTCGAGGACGATGAGGGATATCTCGACCCATTCCGCTGCATAGACAAGTACGACACCCACGAGGCCAATGCATATCAGGCGCTGCGCGAGCTCCAAGGACGAGGGATCCCGATTTACTTTGGTTCTTACACTTTGAGCCTACCGGTAGATGAAGGCCGCTCGCGGGCCGTTCGGATGATTCTGATGGAGTATGTCTCGGGCGTCACCATGGCCGACGCGCAACCCGGGGACTTTTCGCAGGGCGATCGGCAAACCATCATGAAAGATATCGTAGACCTCGAAAGCCGGGTCTACGAGAAAAATCTGTGGCTCGCCGATTTCGCGTTGACGCTGAACTATTTCCTTGGGGAATACATTTCACCTCTCCTGCGCTGGAAAAACCCCAGACGCAAGGCGTCTCCCTTTGAAGACTGGGTGGACTGGGAGTGGGTTCCCTGGCTCACGGCGGAGTTTGCGCACACCGTGACCAGTATCACGCCGGAAATGCGAGAGCGATGGGCGGATATCTGAACTCTCTGCGATTCCGGTTCCTACGTGATTTGGGTGTTTGTTCCAAGGGCACCCGACAAGATTTGGTACTACCAGGTAAAATGCTCCCTCGGTCAAAGTGTGAAGCACGAGGACCTATATGAGAAAGAACGGTCAGATATTATTGACACACCCTAAACACACTTTGATCAAGACACATTGAAAAATTAAGCCATGTGGAATGGATCGGAACATAAAACCATGACCTATAGCATATTCAGCCTCGCACAGCCGTTCTTCAGGGGATCTGGATCTGTGGTCGTGAAGAAGCTGAACCAGAACCACTCGCTTGAGTGAAAGCTGTTGCTATCTCCCCTCGCCTTAGGGTCTGGTGGTCTTGCTGACCTTCCTGGCCGCCGGCATACCTGCAGCCACCGCCGAAGCGAGTTGTTATCTGACGACCATTCCTATTCTCTCACTCCACCCCACCCCCCATCTCGTATCTCATATAGCATTGCCCCTGTGCTCATGTCGAATACGACTTTGGGAACCCTTCCACTACCAACTAAGCATCCAACCATCAACTCTCACCATACAATCGTCTCCTCCATCAACCCAACATCAGGCCCACTACCTCCCCTCACATACCGTAGCGTAGCCTTCCTCCCTTCCGCAAACTGCGGCGACGAAGAGCGCACGCGAGCTTCCAAGCTAATGTCTGCAGGGCAATATACAGCAATGCCTGGCTCCACGCCGGCCGCCTGTTCCTCGATTGCAATGATGCGGCGCGCCACCCGGGCGGCGAGGTCGGAGTCCCACACCCCTTCGCGTCGACGACAGGTCTCGAGCAGACGGAGGGCGTGGTGTCGGATCGTCGAGTCCCGGCAGCGAGTAGCGCAGATGTAGAGCGGGGTGAGGAAGCCCAGGGAAAGAGTGAAGATGGGCTGGGATGGGGCTGGGGGTGGTGGAGTTGGGAGAAGTGGCGGTGGTGCGGGCCGGCGCGAGGGGTTTCTGCTGTCTTGTCTGGTGGTTGTAGGGACTGACGCGACAGTATGTGCGGCGGATAGGTAATTAGTGCAGCGATTACCTGTCACAGTAGATACCAGGGAGACGATGGATTGGAATTCGGGGGTGAATCGGTCCCACGCCAGCTCGGACGGCGGCCAGTCTATCCGGAAGTACATGCTGAACAGCAGCTTCCAGGCTTTAAGGATAGCGATGGAGCGTGCGTGGATAGATGCGGTGTAGGGATCTGTCTGACATGCATGAATGGTCTGGCATTCGAAGTCGTGCATCCACGTTTTGAGGTCGGCGCGGACCCGGAACCACTCGGCCAGTAATTGCTGTTCGTGCGCGATATGTGCGGGGGAGTTGTCGTTGGGGATTGACTCGAATGCCTCGATTAAGGCGTCGATTTGCACAAATCGATAGTACAACTGTCGGAAAATGCGTTGGTGGTCTTGCACGTCGAGTGGTAGGCCTGTTGGAAACGGGTTGGCATTTAGAGCAGGCGGCGACAGCTTGGGCTGCGATTCAGGATCCAGCCCTTCCATACCCTCGATTTCAAGCACCTGGCTCTGGACATCGTGGAAGAGAGAGGACACCGCTGCTGGAGCCTTTTCGAGAGAGCTAGGGGGGAGTAGCTGTTGCTGCTGAAGAATTCGCAGCCCAGACAAGGCATGCTGGATGGCGGTCTTGTAGCGGCCTTGGAGACATTCGCAGCAGAAGAAAAGGATACAGGCGAGAAGGACGGTGCTTTTGCTCTGCGGAGACGTCACAAGCTGCCGAATGGCCTTGTTGTAGTGGAGCAGCGTGAAGGTGGTGTCTTCATTGCTTACGAAGGCGAAGGAGCGGTGCACGGAGCCTACCGCCACAGCCACGGACCGGATCACCGGCTCACTGGTCGTGGCCTGCAGCAGATACGAGCCCACCTCTGGACCTAGACCCGGGAGGGTATAGTGGTGGAAGAATTCCAGACTGCGGTGCTCATCGACATTCACCTGCACTGCAGGCTGGATCTGCCGATCCGGCGGAATATGCTGTATGATGCGCAGGGAGCAGGGTTTCTGGACCAGCGATTGTGACTGAGACCCATCCTGATAGCCGTCGCAGGTTCTCCCAGTGGACAGGCACCGATTGCACTCGGGCCTTTGCTCGTCACATTTCACGCGACGAATCCTGTCGGGGTGAGTTGCTCTGCTGCCGCACCACCACCACCAGTAGAAACGCAGACTTACTTGCAGGTGATGCAGCCATTGCGGGACCTTGCAGCTTGGGGTCTCCCCGTCATGGCGCGTTCGGTCCGAGTTGCGGAGAATGGTTCATTCCTTGGTTCAATTGGTTGTTGTCAGCCTGCTGGGCTGTGTAGCTTTGCGACACCCTGGTAGAACCCCGAAGAGAACCCTATGTTGGTTAGCGTATGCGAGGGCAGGCCGATGAGTGGATGCAGCAGGGGGGAACATCAGACGGTCAGACCCGCCGACGTGGCTGCAAGCGACTTTAAAACTAGGTTAAACACCTATAACCAAGTCAGTTAAGGAGCCTCAACTTAGTGCAATCCTGCGACTAGTCGGGGTCGGGTTAGTCTATGCGAGCGGACCAGTGAATGTTGCCATCGTCATCTCCACCCGCGTTTCATCCACAGGATCTGATTAGACGAGGCTGAGTAGGGCTCTCCTCCCTGTCGACATACCCGGTGCAGATCAACGCCCAAGCCTCTATCTAGATAGCTTTGGACCCCAAACTCACATGTTGCTCTTCGTCTGCCATTGCTACATCGGGAGCAGTTACATGCTAGCTCAGCCTTGCGTACAGCACGAGCCATGCGCGATGGTGTATAAAGTCGAAGAGATGCGCTCAATTGTCGGAGAAACTCCAGCTCCAGCTTCGTGCACTTTGCGTCTTTCTTTGCACTTTCCCAATATCTTCCACTCTGGGGACTCTAATTCATAGTTCATCATGACTCCTCCGCAGCATTGGTTATTCCTCACGGCCCTTGGGTCGTTGCCGCTGTGCCTGGCAGTTCCCCGGCCGTCTGCTCCTCGACACATTTCCTCGCACATCCCATTAGTACGGCGCACAGACCCGGCAGCCAGGTTGTTTCGTCGCGATAAATATGGCGTCGAGACTGTCTCTGAGTCGGATGTAGGTCATATCCCATTCAATCATTTGTACCCCAACTCACCTCAGTGGTAGGGCTTCTGGTTCGGGAGCTTCGATGTCGGCAGCTCCAAGAACCTCCATCTCCTCATCGACACAGGATCCTCCGATGTGATCATCAATCCTGGGTACTATAACGCGAGCTCTGCATCGGTCAACCTCAATCTCACATTTGAGAACGACTACGGAACGACCCAAAGCGACGGATCTGGGACGGGCTCGGTATGTGACAGTTTCCGCACTCCATGTCAAAAGTGTATAGCTAAACGCCGGCTGGCTCGATTCAGGTAGCGGGAACCCTATACAACGACACCATCACATACGGCAGCTTGACCATCGACCAGACTATCGGCTCCGCCAACGGCACGGCGCTCATCCCCGCTGATGGGATCGTGGGCTTCGCTGGGGTTGAAGTGGCTCAATTCCCCAACGGCGCGCCGCCCTTTTTCCACGCGCTCTGCCAGCAGGGCCAGGTCTCGTCGTGTCGCTTTGGCGTGGTCCTGGGCAGCAACTCCACCGGAACCCAGGTGCTGGGCGAGCTAGATACCTCCCTCTTCGAAGGCAACCTGACCACCACCTCCATCGTACAGGAATGGGCCTTCTTTGCCGACGTGGCCGTAAACGACACTATCCTCACCAAGGATGTGCCTATCGAGCTCGATACCGGAACCGCCACAATCACCGGGTAAGTCGATGAGTTTTCCCTCCAAAACTGTCATCCAGGAGACGATGTTGACGTGGAATAGTCCGGTCGAAGAAGTGCTCGCCATCTTCGAGGCGACCAACATCCAAGCCGTGGTCCAGAACACCAGCGAGGGGGTGACCGTCACGGGTTACTTCCCCTGCGACAGCCCTCCCACCGTGGGCTTTAGCATCCCCTCGCAGGCCAACGCCACGGCGGCAGTCGCCGCGGACTCCGACCTGGTCAGTCACCAGAGTGCCATCTTTAACATCGCCGCCGACCAGTGGATTGCCGCCAACAACGGGAACAACAATTGCACAGCGGTGCTCGCGGGCGCGACCGTCGCTTCGTACCCTACCCTGTGGGTGGTCGGTCAACGTATGTTTTTGCTCTCTTCTTTGCCCTTTTCTCCGTTCAGATCGGAGTCAGAGAGCTAACTTCTCGCAGCCTTCTTCCGGGGCCTGTACATCGATCACGACGTCGAGAATGCGACCGTAGGTCTGGCTGTCTCCAAGACTCGATCCGGCACGCAGACCTCCGCATCTGCGACACCGAGCAGCTCGTCCTCGGTGGTTCCCAGTAACGGTGCGATGCTGGGACAGTCGGTGAATATTGCCATGCTTTCGCTTTCGGTTCTTCTCGCGTGGGTCTTGCATTGAGCAATGGATTATGATGACTTTCTGCATCTGTGTTCACATTGTGAGGTTGTTTTACGGCAGTGTACATACCAATGAATAATTTCTACCCCGCAATGCCATACGCAAATTTCCTCGATTCCTGCCTTTATGGGTTGATTGCTACTGGTGATGCTGAGATTTACAATAAGCAGCGAGCTTCGGGGAGGTTCCGAACGGTGAGCCCTATGGGGAAGGAATGAGTTTAAAGTGGGTGTCGACCTTGTCCGATTCGGATAAGTGTGTATAGCTAAGTTCCCTTGATCGGATTGTCCGCGTAAGCCTTAGCCCTGTTTCTCGTCTCCACTTAGTTTCTTGTAATATGTTCCCCTATTCGTAGTTTGATGTGCTCAGTAGCTTAGCCCAGCCTTCTGTCGGATCGCACAGGTCCTGAGTCACCGAGTGCTGGGTTGGATCGGAACGTCATGCCGAGGCTGTCATTTGCAGGGTCGCACAGGGTTCATCGAGCAGCAGGTCTGAAGTCCCTGCTGGAGAGGGTGATCGGTGCACTTGAAATGTGTTCCCCCTTATGTCTTCTGCATGTCCCTCGTCCACGGCATCAACCCTGACCGTCGTGCCCATTGCCTCCCCCCGCAATCCTGTCCTCACCCACTGACGCATAACTCAGTGGCCGAGTATTTCGGCCTGCAAGACACGAGCCCACAGGCCCAAGTGCGTGCAGAGTAGAAAGTACCTGGCCCGAGGTGACCATTCTCCCGTCGTGAGTCGGACATAAAGAGCGAACAGATCTCCGAGGATGGAGATGTAGAACATCCACTGCATTTTGGCGGCTAGTTTCGATAGCGAAAAAAAAAGCTTGGAAGGTAGAGTATTGAATGAGAAGTGCCGGTGTGGAATATGGCAACGAGAGGAATGAGGTTGACAATTTCTCCGGCGAGTGTCGTGTCCTATTTATACCTCGGGGAGATGTTGAGTTGAGGACACATGAGAGATTTTTCGATCCTCGCGATTCTGCCATCCTCACTCTGCTAAGACGGCGCCTTGCTTGGATGCTAGGCTTGACCTGGATACTAGATTGCGCTATTAGATTTAGCCGGCCAACAGCGTGAGGTAGTAGTCTAGCAGCACCGGTCGTTCACAGTGACTCCACTTCCAACGATCAGTGCCCGCTACACTCACAGACGCTCGAGGACAGCTAAGATGCTGCGCCTCCATTGAAGTTCCTTGGTCATCTGGGTCCGATCATCATGGTGACAGGGCTTGCGGGGCCAGCAGTTCCTTGACCGGATCGAGCGGATCTGGTTGGAGGCTCTGCGGTAGGGCGAATATCTATCAACGGCTGAGTCTCTAGTACTCAAGTCGGAAAAACGGCTATTTTGAATCAAGTTCGAAACGCTTGATCATGCTCTGCTAGCAGGAATCCGACCTCAGCCATGACAGGGACATAGCGGTCGGGCAGGGGTTTCAACCCAGGTGATAATATCAGCTGAGTAGCTAGTCTAATCTCACAGATGAAGGAGATTGCTTTATGATGACGGCCAGGCCAAAGTGTTAGCGACAGGTAAACAGACTCGAGAGGTGGTGAAGTGAAGATGTTGTGTATCGTGCATCTTATGCAATCTAGAATGGGAAGGGTGTCATTGCTGACTAAGTCATGTACAGTCACGTGGCTTCACTCCCAAATTCTGCCATTTTCGACCATAGATCACCTGACACCCGATGAAACACCCATCATGTCCTAATGTCCTAAGAATACCTACAATCAATCATGCAAACGTCCGCGTCTTTCCCAAGAACCACTCCCAGTCCAAGCAGATAAGCCATCCGGCCGCACCCGCGGACGATGAATAAAATCCGAGCAGGTGCATAATCTTCCTGCGGGCCTAGACTACTTTCAGCGCCAAGAAGTGGGCCGTTGACGTGGAAAGCCTGATTCATGCATGCATCGGCTTCATATCACCTGGCAGTCGGCCACCAGACCCTTTGCTCTGCTGAACCCTGTCGGGGTTCTATAACTCCAGATTCAAATCCTTCTGGTCTCTTGGACCGACACAATGATGATCGGACTCACGACCAAAGAATAGAAGGGCCTGACGCTCGACATCCATCGTAGGAATCATTCGGCTGGTACAGCCAGGTGCTTACGTATGCCTTCGTCCTGGTACCTCCTGCTCGTTGGCTTGGTCCCTCCATCCTGGAGGCCAGACACGTAAGCATGGCAGATCGAACGGTCTGACTGACTGCAGCCGAGCCCTATCAGTACGTACCCTTTTCCCTTGTCGCAGCGTTCGGCACGTACAAAGAGGGTCCGGGTCTGCTGCATCGGACTGCCGAGGCGAGGGTGGGATTTCCTTGACGCTGTATTTGACAGGGCTGCGCGACCTTAATCGTGACCAGAGATCTTTTCCACAATTTCTGGGGAATAACCTGAGACGATTAAACGGCACTCCCTCCAGTTCCACCCGGTCAGGTTGTCAATCACCTGCACATCAATGGTGTACCGAAACCTCTCAAGTCAGGCCAGTGACTATCCCGAGTACGAGCTCACGAATGTCCCATACACGGCCACCGGTAACAACGCCGCAGCAGCCACCCACCCAGAAGTCATGGAGAAGTCCACGAAGCCTACGACAGCCGCAACGAAACCCTGGTACGATCCACGCGGCTGGTCGTTACTCACCAAGTCACTTGTTGCGGCCGGGGTGGTTGTCGCCATCGTTGCCCTGATTGTCGGATTCGTAGAGGGCCTCAAATCGTCCTCGTATCCCGACTACTCCGCGCTGAGCTACACCCTGTCTCGCAAATACTCGGGGTCATCCTTTTTCGACGAGTTTGAGTACTATACCGCGACTGACCCGACGGACGGGTTTGTGCAGTGAGCACCCACATCCGTTTCTCTACGAGTCTTCGATGACTAACGTAGAGCATCTAGATATGTGGACTCTTCCACGGCCTCAGAGCTGAACCTGACCTACGCCTCCAGCTCCCGTGCCGTGCTACGGGTCGACACCAGCACCTCTAACCAAACCAGCGGTCGACGGTCCGTGCGCGTGACCTCGAAGGAGACGTACGAGAATGGACTCTTCATCTTCGACATCGTGCACACCCCGTACGGCTGCGCGACCTGGCCCGCGCTCTGGCTCACGGACCCCAACAACTGGCCGGAGCACGGCGAGATCGACGTGCTCGAGTCCAACAACAAGGGCACGCACGGCAACGCGATGACCCTGCACACAACCAGCGGGTGCAAGATGAATGTCAAGCGCAAGGAGACCGGCTCCGCGACGTACACCAACTGCTTGAACACGGCCAACGACAATGCGGGGTGTGGCGTGACCGGCGGGAAAGCGACGTATGGGCAGGCCTTTAATGAGAATGGTGGTGGGGTGAGCAAGCCCTGTTAATATCTTTACCTCCATATCACACGCACACACACACACACACACACACACTAACCTTTCTCTGTGGCAGGTCTACGCAATGGAACTCCGCGACGCCGGCATCCGGGTGTGGATGTGGGCGCGCGACGAGATTCCCACCGACATCTCAAACTCCAGCAGCAGCCCCGACCCGTCCACCTGGGGCGAAGCGCTGGCGGATTTCCCCAGCACGAACTGCGATATCAGCTCGCACTTCACGAACCAGAGCATCATTGTGAACATCGATGTCTGTGGCGACCTCGCGGGGGCGTCGACCTATTACACCGATCTCTATGGGTGTCCGGATACGTGCACGCAGTGGGCGGCGGAGAATGGGGCCAACTTTACCAATGCGTACTGGGAGTTTAATAGTTTCAAGGTATATCAGACTTCGTCGGGCGCGTCGACAACGGCTACGACTACCTCTTCTGTGGCGGGGGCAACATCTACGGCGGCTTCGGTGGGGACCACGTCTGCTGATGCGGCGTCGGCAACGTCTCAGGCGCAGTCGCAGGGGCAGAGTCAGGGAGGTTCTTCGTCGCAGCAAGAGCAGGGCCAGCAGGGTCAACAGCAGCAACAGCAGCAAGGAGGACAGTGATTATGGGAGTTGGTTTGGAGTTGTTTTCAGCGCATGCGTTTTTTCCCTCCGTATTTTACATAGCTTATACACATTAGTAGGGTTTAGAATAATTTCATGTCGGGCGCTTCCTTTTGATCTGGCATAATTTGCTCTATTCTTGAGTCGGGTGGTGGATAACCTGCGGGCCTCGTTTTTTATCGGTAGAGTAAATCATCATGATCTCTGGGGAGGCCAACCAGGATATATAGAATTCAACCAGTATCCACATGCAACCAGCCTGACCTCTCACGGACAATCAAAAGCACAGGAACAAGGAGAAAAGACAGATTTTCGATGATGCAGATGTACATCGAAGATATATTATGGGATATGATCCCTGTTCGACCCTTAATGTATGTAATCACGACAATGGTGAGAGGGTTGATCCTCGTGGGTGTCTGTACACTATGACTAACATGTCATTGCAGAAAAACGTCAAGATTTCATCACCAGGGGCTGTGGTTTAGTGGTATAATATTCCCTTAGCATGGGAGAGGTCCGGGGTTCGATTCCCCGCAGCTCCATCTTTTTTGCTGTTTTTCTTTCTGACCTTCTGTTCCGGTCTTCCGTTTCCTGTAACTTACCTGTTTGTTTGTCTGTGCTTTTTGCCCAGTTATCGATAAGGCACCGCACAACAACCCACACACCCCTCGGGCCATCTTTCCACTGCACCGCAATGTGCATGACCTGTGCGCATATTTGAAACCATAACCAACTATAATGTATTGAACTTGTCCAATGCCGTGGAAGACATTATTACAATATATGACTGACTCTCCAATCTCCCCATGCACGGCCAATCCCACCCCAAGGCCCAATTATTCCATCCACAGCCCCTGGTTAGAAGTATACATCCGTGGAAATTCGTGTACTCCCCCTCAGCACACGCAAACCTCACACCACACCACATTGACGTCAACCTCACAGCCAAACAGAATTCACCCGGACCTGTCATCCAACAACTAAGCTTTCAATCCTATCTCATGCCCCACTTACTCAAGCCCACCCGCCCCGGTCCACGCGTAAGGATGCAAACCGCAACAGTTACACTTCCATGACGCAACATCGTCATTGCCATTGCCCTTCCACGATACCGTATATAACCCTCCCCGGGACACCAGACTAACCAGCAAGCATACTACAAGCATTCAATCTATCCACCCTCCTACACAATCACCTACAGAATACAACCAATCCACCTACAATACTACTCTCAATCCAACCCACGACCAGAAAACAAAATGCCCTCCCAACCCACGAACCGCGACTTCCAATCCGCGAAGAACATCGAGCCCCTCGACGAACACAACACCCAGTCCGAGGACGCCGCCACCCAGCCCTCCTTCTCCGGGCCCGGGGCCCACACCTCGGCCGCGTCGACGACCAAGCCGCATGGCAACAAGATTTTGAACAAGCTGGATCCGCGGTTCGATAGTGATATGTTGGAGGAGGAGCAGCAGCAGCAGCAGCAGGAGAGGTGGGAGGGGACCCATGAGTAGGGGGGTACGCGTTGGGGCTTCCTGCTAAGGTGTGCCGTGCATACATGCAGGTATCATGCTGCAGGCAAGGGTTCGGACGGCAGATCAACGAGAAGTTGGCTGTTAAGCCAGGATAGATTTCACTGTACTATATCACGAACATATTCACAATGAAGATTAAACCAACTAGGGTCTTTTAGCTTAGATCAATAGATGTAGAAGCGCGAGCTAGATCGGTTTTGTGCTACACGTCCCAATTAGTTCGATCCGTCGATGATGGCCTGGGAGATCTTCTCCGCCAGCATGTCTATTCCCCATGATCAGTAACCCACTTGGAAGATGGAACCAAGATGCAAAGGGTCTCTCCAAAGGTAGGGAAGACTCACAAACAGTTGACTGGGGATGACCCGGGGGCAAGAACGGGAAAGCGCTGGCATCGACGACCCGCACGCCCTGCACTCCATAAACACGCGCCTCGTGGTCCACGACCGCCATCGCGTCGCTCGCCAGCCCCATCTTGCACGTGCACGCGGCGTGCCACAGAGTCATGACGTTGTTCTTGATGAACTCGAGGATCTCCGCGTCCGTCTGCGTCTGCACGCCCGGGTTGTACTCCTGCCCAATCACCACGGGCGCCATCGCCTGGCTCTGGAAGGCCGCGCGGATGCGCTTGAACATGGCCACCGCCACCTCCTGGTCGGCCTGCGTGTCCAGCCAGTTCGGATTGATGATTGGGAGGTCCGAGGTGTCGGCGGACTTGAGCGTCACGTTGCCGCGCGAGGTCGGAGTGATGAGCACACCCAGCATGGAGGCGTACTGGTAGCCATCGCGAGGCTGCGTCGTCAGGAGGTTGGAGAGGTTGCCGATGTACCCGGCGCCGGAGATATACTGGTTGGGTTCAAGTTAGCCTGAGCTTTGAGACTTCGATCTTAGACAGTAACAAGCCCTACCTCTGCCTCGGGCCAGTCACTGGGGAACGTAGCGAGATCCTTTTCGGTCTGTTGGCTGAAAGCCGAGCGCAAACTGGCGGGGATCTTCTCCCAGGCGAGATAGTCGGCGATGGGGTTGGTCAGCGGGCCACTTCTCGTGGTGACTATGTTAAGAAACTGGCCGACCAGTTCCAGCAGGTTCAAGGCGATGGCTGTGAAGGTCTGCACCTTGACACGGTATGAGGGCGCAAAGAAGGGATGGTCCCACATGTTCTGGCCAACACCGGGACGGTTCGCAATGACCGCGATGTTGTGCTGCTCCAGAACTTCCTGCGGACCCACACCCGAAACCATCAGGAGCTGGGGGGATTGAAAGGCACCGGCCGACACAATTACTTCTTTCTTCGCTTTGATGGTGGAGACGATCCCAAGTGCGCCCTTGACCTGCACACCGGTGGCCTTTTTGTTGCTGTCGAAGATGATCTTCTTGGCGAGCGTGTTCGAGTACGTGGTCAACGTGGAGGGTTTGATGGAGGTCAAGAAGGACGATTGGGAGCTACTCCGCAGCTCGTCCTTGGGGTTGATGGTCGAGGAGCAGTACTGTCCGCCCATCAGGGAGCCGGTGTTGAAGTCCTGGGTCTGGTTGATACCAATGGCCTGCATGCCAAGGTCCATCCACGTCGAGAACGGCATCGCGTAGTTCGCGTAGGACACCTGCAGCGGTCCTCCGCTCGATGCGAACGCACTGCTGTCGTACTCGGTCGTGGCATTCTTGAACCGAAGCTCGGTGTTGGGAGGCGTGAAGGTCACGCTGCGCTTGTAGTATGGCAGAACTTGGTCGAATTCATAGCTGCTGTCGTTGACGGTACTGGCCCATTCGTGCATGGATTCGCGCGTCGGCCTGGTGATTTCGCATCGGTCAGTTACATTAACCCCCAGGGTACATCATCCCGATCGTACTGAGACTTACCGTTGGTAAATCATGAAGTTCATCGCCGACCTGCCACATTATCTGTCAGCGCAAGTGCACCCGAACATCGTATTACAGCGCATCACATACGATCCACCCAAGCACTTCCCCCGAGCGTAGTGGATCGACCGTCCATTGGCACCGGGCTGATTTTCCGCGACAAACCCCCAGTCATGAAGGGCGACGGTCTTGGGATCGGAGCCAACAGGGAGCACATCAGCTGCAGGCACGGCGGCCACCGATTCCAGCTCGTAAAGGCCTCCGGCCTCCACCAAGGCGACCTTGAATTTCTGCTGGGCCAGGCGCGTGGCTATGACATTGCCTCCCGTGCCACCGCCGACGACCACGTAGTCAAATTCAGTATCGAAAAGGCCGCGCTCCTGGTGGCCAGTGGGCGAAGCGGCGGTCCCCGGGACCAGCCATTGTAAAGCGAGTGACGCAAGGAAGACGCGACCTATCATTTTGGACTGCAAAGGAGTGTGGATGCCAGAAAAGGCGGAAAGGTCAAGGATCAAGGAGAGAATCAAGGATAGAACAGGGTATCAGAAGCAAAAGCAAAAAGAGTGTCGATGGAGAAGGGAGACCGCGGAGGAGGAGCTGCAGCAGTCGTTTATGAGACATGCTTGACCAGCACGGGGGACTCCTCACGTATGGCAGGACCGAGGGATCAGATCAGGATCGTGGCTGCCCAGAATCTAAGCTACATTGTGGATCAGTCAAGTTGGAAAAGTGATCGATCTATACAGTTGATCGGGCTCTGAATGGCCCATTCTTCAGGAGCCCCATACTAGTATATCAGGAGCTGAGCTGCAAGCGAGCGCCAAGTTGAAATGCTGCCAGGCTTAGGAATTAGTTTCCCCCCGACCAGGGCAACCTGGCACCGAGATACGAGACCCGGCCCATATTGAGACCGTTCCTGCTGCCTGGACCATGCGATTGACTCGAATTGCAGAGTCGTGCATCATAGCCTTGTGGGGAATGCGCTCTGGTCTCGGAGCATCAGAGCAAGATCAGGAACTGTCCTCCGTGCGCCCCCTTTCGCGTGGGAATGGCACCCGTGGACAACACCAGCTCCAAGCCACGAACCGGACAAGCAGGATCTGAGGTTTGCGATCACCAGGCACGGTGGCTCAGGCTGAAACCACCGAGCGGTCGCGATCACAAGCGAAGTGGGGATTAGGGGCTGAAGATCGCAAATATCGGGCGGGCGCAAAATTGGGGTGGTTTGGTTTGGTTTGGAACCTCCCGAAACACTAACTCAGAAATAGAAACACCCGTGAACTCTTCACAGAGCCAATCTGACCCAAAGTCCGCTGATGACGATGTATTATTGAAAGACTCCTAATACAAATAGCATCAAGCACCCTATCGACTCACTTATGTGTGATTGAGTGTGATCGAATGTGATATGTGGACTTGCCGCGTAGTTCCGATGCAAGCGTCCTGGGGGAAATTAACTGCTGGGGAAAAACAAGGTACAAGGCACCAGGTGGACCCATTTTGATCATCAACCCCGCAAATCCTTCGATTAGCCCATTCCCTGCAATAGGTTCAGTGTACGGAGACATACTCCGTATAAAGCCAGGACATATCCCTCTGCTGGCCTGCCAGGAAATCGAGTCTGGCAATTTTTGAGACGGAGTAGGGTTGGGAGGGGAGAGGAGGGGAGATGATGACTAAACCCCTTTTGCTCTGCGCCATCGCCCAAATTGGCAATGGTTGCGAGAAGCCCTGCATTGCCTTTTTTTCGGTCTTGGCTTCAGGCTGCCCAGGGAGCTTGTTCAAGTCTTGAGGCTCCTAGATCAATGACATTTACTCATGATTATCTCGAAGATATTTAGGCATCAATGGTAATTCGCAGTTTGAGTGAATGGTGACACTTACTGGCTGGGGTTGGTTGGATCCTTACCTCCGCTCAGAGAAGTACAGTACAGTGTTATGTATGTACCTTGTATTGTCCCTGCATACACCTAGATGGAAGACAACTAAAAGATCATATATCGCAATACATAATTGTTACACATATGGAACGGAAGCATTGATTCGATAGCAAAACTCATGGCCTACAGCTTCAGAGAAACACAACCAGGCACCCAACCCTACATCATCCCTTCTCAACCACCGAGGCATCATCCATCCCCAATAGAAGGAAATCTGCAAACCTTACTGCACGTGCCCCCGGAGTCTCTAACAGCCTAATTGTCTGTTGAGCCGCCGTGGCCAACAACGGCCCTCCGGTTCGAAGGGATCTGCAGAGCCGCGGTGATTGTCCCCTCACCAAGACGCCAGCCGAACCCTCCTCTGCCACCACATGAACCCAAACGCCGTTTGTCACATGCTGAACAGCCGAGTTTGTCAAGGAAGACTGAAGACTTTGCCTCTTCGCTGTGGCTGGCGGCAAGGATGAACCCTGCCTATATAGTTGCCCCTCCAGCCATCCGCCATGGCCGTCACCAGACACAGCCATCAGCCGACCCCAGGCACCCCTCATCGCTCTTGATATCTTTATCAACAACAGAACCATCATCATGAGTGGCACACATCCAATGCCCAAGGACTCGATGAAGTCCACCTGGCGCCAGCTGGACCGCGACCAGTGGAGATTTCCCCACTGGATGGTCGAGATGCTTGGCATCCACCACATCAACCTGGACCAAGACGTCCCCATCCACTCCAAGGAGGACAAGATGCCCTACATCGGCGAGTTCTCGCTGCACCGCTGGATTCTCTGGCACTCGGTGCTGCCCCTCCTCATCCACCAGCTGTATGTCTCCTACACCGGCCGTCCCATGAGCCTCATCGCCGCCTTCTTCTTCTACAGCCTTGCCTTCAAAATGATCGCCATCCACGAACTCCACGTCCTGCGCCGACTAGGCCACAAGGTTGGCTTCTTCGACGGCGACCAGCACGCGCGCGACGGGGTGCCCGACGTGGGGATTGGCAAGGTCGTGCAGTCCCTCATGTCGACCTCGACGTTCCGGCCGGTCATGACCGTCTTCTTCAGCTACCGGCCCAGTCAGCCCCCCTCCCAGATCAGCTGGACCTGGCTCATCCTCGAGATCGGGCTGTACGGCATCGTCCTCGACTTCTGGTTCTACTGGTACCACCGCATCATGCACGACTTCGAGAGCCTCTGGAAATACCACCGCACGCACCACCTCACCAAGCACCCGAACCCCCTGCTGTCGCTCTACGCCGACACAGAGCAGGAGATCTTCGATATCGCGGGCATCCCGCTGCTGGCGTACTTCTCGCTCAAGCTGATGGGGCTCCCCATGGGGTTTT